ACCAAACTCCTCCTTTTTGGCGGGTTCCTTGCGAAGCCCCTCTTGGAAAAAAGGGGGGTTTTGCCCTCTGGTCTTTAGCACAGGGGGGAGGTTTCGGGGTTCCTGAGTTTCCAGAAGTCGGATCTGTGCATCGCGAGTTGGGCCTGAGTCATAATCAACACCTGGCGCGTGGCCTACCCAGCACCTGTGGCGAAGAACCAAGTCAAGAGGGCGGATGTCCGCACCTAAAAAAAACTGGGGCTCAAGGTGTGATTGTAGGTCAATTAGGATCGGGCTCTCAACAGGTGCATGGTTATGGCAGGTTCCAACGTTGTACAGCCCACTTTTGGATCCCACTGCAAAGCCGGGACAAAACTTGTTGTTTGTTGTAAAGGGACCGGTGAACTTCTTCGGACATTACTTCGCGTCGAGCAATCCCCACCCTCCACACTCACGAGCGTACGACCCTTACAACAAATTCCGCCGCATCCTAGAGACTTCGACTCCAAATTGCCATCGGCCCTGTTCGACATTAAGCAGACTGGCGAGCTGCTCTGGTTGGATACTGGCGAAATCCACTGGCGAATGCTGGCAAGCCGCTCCGGCTCGATACTGGCCGGATACTCGGCAGGATCCGCCGGCAAGGGATACTCAGCGGGATGCTCGGCGGGATCCACGGGCGAGCTGCTCTGGGATACTCAGCGGGATACTCAGCGGGATCCACTGGCAGGCTGCTTGGTGGGATACTCGGCGGGATCCACTGGCGAGCTACTCTGGCGGGATGCTCGGCGGGCTACTCTGGGATACTCAGCGGTATACTCGGCGGGATCCACTGGCGGGCTGCTCTGGTGGGATACTGCTGGCGAGATACTCGGCGGGATCCACTGGCCAGCTGCTCTGGCGGGATATTCGGCGGGATCCACTGGTGAGCAGCTCTGGCGGGATACTGGGCGGGATGCACTGGCGAGCAGCTCTGGCGGGATACTCGGCGGGATCCACTGGCGAGCTGCTCTGGCGGGATACTCGGCGGGATCCACTGGCGAGTAGCTCTGGCGGGATACTGGGCGGGATGCACTGGCGAGCAGCTCTGGCGGGATACTCGGCGGGATCCACTCGGCGGGATCCACTGGGTGGGGGCGTGTGTAGAAGCATCGCAAACGCGGATTCCAACATAAAATCTAACAACCCCTTCCTGTCGGGTGGAGAAAAATACATTGCTTCGAACAATCCCACCTCAGAAATCCTTGTGTGGATGGCTTCAACGTGCCTGGAAACCCGAAGGGACGTTTTGCGATGTTCACTGGTTCCATTATTGCAACAACATCAAAGTCAACTCCTCGTTGTATGTATAAGCATTGCGCGGAAAAATCAGTTTACCTTAAAACGTCTGGCTAAGTGAGTCACAATTCAAACCTGCTACTAACGTTGTCTACCCAACATCCATGGTGAGGATTCAAGATCCTGGCTGGGATTATCCAGCTCAGGCACAGGTGTGAAAGATTGTGAAAGGAATGGCACTTGCGTACCCTGGCAAGTAAATGAGCTGACCAAACCCACATGCGGGAAATGCGGCCATTTGGGGTGTTCCTCGAATTTCCTTTCAAGCCCAAGCCAAAAAGGTTTTCCTAAAAGAAAAAAGACGACACCCCCCATCTACTTTCTCCCAACCTTTTCAGCGAGAGAAACTCCCACACCCCGGAGAAATCTCTGAGCGCGGCGCATGCCGATGAGCAGCGCCCGCTTGGGACGCAGCTCCCGGATCTGCCATGCGGTTAGTTGGTGTCGGACGAAGCGTTTTGGGGGGTTGGGGGGGTGGTGGATGAGAACCCAAACACATCAATTCAAAGGCAAGTCTTCGGAGGTGTAGGTAACCAGCCATTGCCCTAAGTTTTAAGGCTTTTCATGGGCAGTTCCGTTTTGTTGAGCGTTTTGTGGCGTGTTGGGGGTGGTGGATGAATGCATCAATTAAAAGGTGGGTCTTCGGAGGTCACCAGCAGATAATCAGCCGCCCTCCAAAGGCTTGGTTACCTACAACGGTAAATGGACTGCAGAATGCTTTGGCGGTAAAGCTAGTGGTAATAATTTATGCACGTCTTGAATTGGCCTACAGGGGTCCTAAACTTAATTAGAACCAACCGCAGGCGGCCAAGGTGTTGAGGGGTCTTTTGTCCATGGCATAGTGCTGACCTATTGAGTTGACAAGCTCGAAAAAGTGAAATGGCTGGCTGTAGACGAAATGAAGAAACCTGGCAAGAAACATCCCGACCATCCCAGGCAAACTCACTTTAAAAGGACTTAAAGAGGCCGGGTCATTGTTTAACAGGCTGCAGTGTGGATTGCTGAGCCCCGGAAGAAAAACATACAAGGTGGTGATTATCCCCAACCCTTTGCAACCTTCCGGAAGCTTTTCTGGGCAGTGACACTCACCAAGGCTTCAGCTGGGGACAAGGCCACACACACAGTCGACATTGGAAGGGTGGGCCGGATCACCAGCTTACCTCTGACGCAGCGAAACCGTGCATATTGGATGATAGAGCATTGAATACATGATTGCCCAACTTCTTGACCAATGACCCTATTTCCTTTTGGTTTTACTATCCTCATACTAAACTGAAACCCAGCTGCAACCGACCAAGGGCTGAAGCCCAGCTGAACAAATCACAGCCAAGAACCACGCCGGATTCGCCAGATCCAAGGCTTGTGGCAGGCCGTAGTGCGAATAGTTCGGGCCTCCGCCAGCCGAGCGAGCCGCCGGTTTTGGCCGCTGAGGAATGGGTGGGGGGGTGGTGGGGGTGTCCTCAATCCTTATGCCACACGGCCAAGCGCTTTGAAGCCATCCACGGAATCTACAACAAACATTCTGAAATGAAGGATGATGATGAGTTTGTTTCGCCCCAGTGGCTTGGCCATGAAAAACAGAGTAGATGACCACTCTACCATTTGAAAGAGGATCTTCTTGGTGTCACAGGAACTGGACCTAAACCCTGATTCTTCACAACCATGATCATTGACGTGCTGTCGATGGGGAAACCGCTGAGACGGAAGGTATAATATTGCTCCGAACCCCCAAAGCTTCCCACAGTTTTGAGGCTGGTAACATCTGGTAACTTATACTGATGTCCTCGGATTGGACAAACCGCAGTCCAAACTTGTCTCGACCCTCATATTTTCAAGGCACGTATCCCACCTAACCTTGGCACTTAGAGGATGGGGTGCGGTGGGTTTGGTCCCTATGTCTTTCCGCGGCCACAATCACCATGCAATCCCTGAGCTAAGGGTTTCTAGAGGGCTCCCTACATAGGTGTCTTTTTCGGGTGCCCTTTTCACATTGGTTCAAGCCATGATTTTGGGGGTCCCCTAGTTTGACACATATGAGACATACCCATATGTCCCCCTTTTTCACATCACCCCTTTCAGGAAACTCACGAATCACATGTAACCAAAGGGTGATACTTAAAACCCATTCAAGGGACCTGGTCCCACGCTTATGGCACCCATAACCAAATATGGACATGGATCAGCCGTGGTTCAGACCCCTAGGCAGGGAAGCGAAATCAGCCTTAGTGTTTGTTAAGGACCCGGCCTCAACATGGAATCTAATTCTTGTTTGATCCAGATTTGGAGGAATATCATGGAATATCCTTTTGAAAAATGGGCCACGTGTTGAACTTGCAGCGGACTAAACCGATTCGCTGCTACTTAAAGTTAGCTGACTTGGGGAAAAACACGTTGCTTCCCAAACCTCCCGTTGAACCGGGGGCCTCTTTGTGTTGGTGCTTGATCTTGCATGGAGCCTCCCTGCACACAAAAGGAACACATAATTCCCTTTTTCTGGTACCGATAGCTGACTTCAAAGGCGGCTAGAAAACCCACCGCAAGTTTCGTCAAGTTGAACCGCTGGAAGCTGAGTGCCGCGCCCGACTTGAGCAAAGCGTCCACCACTAGGACCTGGCGACGCGATCCGCGTGCCAGCGAAACGCCACGTGCGTTTCGACCTCATGGCCCCAACAAGGGGCAGGGGAGCTTTTGGGCAGCTCAGGGGCCCAGTGGTTACCACGAAGCTGTGCCACTGCAAGGCCTTGACTCACCCCATCAGAATTCGGAGAATTCTATGCGACTATTTGAACAAATTGGGAGGGTGTTCCTCAGGGGAAGAAAAAAAACATAGCCTGGGTCATGATGGTTGTTTTAGGACTTCCAATTGGTGTCTACATCAAGACTTTGGATCTGGATATCACTTTAGGAACACACAGGCCGGGAGATGACGCAATTTTCCGTGGTTTAGCGGGGCATCCAACCTGAGGGAGGGGGCTTGTCTCCAGGGAATTCGACGGGGCAATCCCTCCAGTTCCATGCTGCAGCAGTGGATTCCGGGGTACACGTGCCTGAACTCAACTGAAACCAGGGATCCTCTCGAAAAGCACCCACATGGTGAGCTCGCTGGACTCCAACCCCGCCCAAATCATCGGCAGTTCATCCGTCCACAGTGGCCTAGGTTCTTGGTTGCAGCTGACCCCTCTCCCAAAAAAGTTCTTCACTTTGTGTGGGTCCAATTCGGAACATCCGGCCTGTTTCAACCAACAAGTTAAAGTTCAAGGACTCGTTACCAATCGCCAAGGTTCCCTCGCCCAAAGTCACTGCAATGGCGCAGCAATGGCCTCCGCACGGTGCGACTTCAGGACCTTCATCGTGTCGTCAGGAACTTTGCTGACATCCTCAGGCAAAAAAAGGGGAACCAAAGGTGGCATCCTCCAGTAAACCTATTTTTACAGGAGAACATCGTGGGGATTCATGCCCGCCACAAGATGGAGGTTCCCTAAGCTTGCTGGTGCTCAGTAGGGAACGAGGGAATGAACCCAGGGATCCCCTTAGAGGAAACCAGAAGGGATGCTCGCCGACCCGACAGGAAGCAAAGGTTCAGGGGATCGCAAGCACTCAGGGACGGCTGAAGGCAAACTCAGTGGCCCAAAGGACTGCAGAAAAAAAAAGGTTAGCTTTTTGGGGCCACTAAAAATAGAAGGGGAAACCAGAAAGGTGAGCTCAGGTCGATTCGCTTTGGACAGAACTCACAGGAAAAGGAGCAAGGATCTTTCCGATGCGCCAGATCTCTGCACTGTACAAATCTCTGACCCAGTTGCCTGGAGGACCATTCGTGGTTGGCACCAAAAAGGGAGTTCGGTGCTGAACCACTAGGTCCATCCTTAAACAAGGTAAACATCAGCAACCTGTACAGCTACCCGCGCGAAGGTCGGGCAGGACCTTGAAAGTTGGACATGTCCAGTTCCTAACGCTGAAAAGAGATTCATGGAACCAAACAGAAACAAAGGAAACTCCATTGGGAGGATCCTCCTGTTTGGTTCCGTGACTTGCAGAGCAAATCAAAGCCCAAGCACTTCCATCTCCAATTCCTCCCTCAGAATCGCACCCTTGGCTTTCGTCTTCCGCCCCAGGAGGCTCTGCTCCACGTGAAAGCTGCGATACGCCGCCGGCATTTTCTTGGCCTGATCTTGAAACAGGGACCCGCAAACAACCCTTAAAGATGGTACCAAATTGAGAGTCTGCAACATATTCATCCCCCAGAAACTAGGGCTATGTAGCACTGAGTTAAACATGTGATATATCTATATATATATATACTATTGTATACATATATGGCCCTGCGAAAAAGGGGGTCTTTCACTCCTGCCTGAAGAACCAGGAACACAATTCGATGTTTGGATGTTTGGAGCTGTCCCAAAATCCATGGGTAACGAGTTCAGGGGGACAGTGCTAACCCTCATCTAGCCCTTCATCTAGCCCTTGTGGCTGTCGAAGTGGGTAGCTTCAGGTTGCTCCCCTTGTGATGTCAACTTTGGAATGATGAAAAAGGACCGTGAAAAATCAGGGGCCAACCAATTTAGGGGGATTCCAGTTATCTGCGCCTTGAATGAGTACTCTGGAAGGTCGCCCCAAGTTGGGGGGCGTTTTCTGTTTTTGTTGAGTTGGGGGTCAGGTGTTCCAATCAAAAGAACTGGAATGTCCTCCCTGGCAACATCCAGCACTGTGAAGGTCAGTCCATAGGAGCCACTTTGGGGTGGTTGTTGAAATGTCCTTGTTTGCAAGGGATTCCAACTCAACAAGCTAGAAAAAAAAGAACAGGGGTGGTTCCTGGGGACTAAAACAAATACAAAAGGAAATGACCATGAGCATAGAAGTGATTACGTGTTTGGTGCAAAGTGAGTTCGGTATGTGTCAAAATCCAAGGATTGAGCCAAAATCAAAGCACATGTTTTCCTTGTGGTTTCCCTTTGAACCAACCTGAAACTGGCTCCCGCAAAACACACACACATGCCCTCAAACCAAGCACGTGCGCAAACACACAACGCACAAAAACGCACACACACACACACGAGGCAGAGGGGTCCCATTTTTGCCCAGCCCACCATGACACACACACACAAACACACACCCTTGCTGGTACAGCTGGGTCACCAGTCTGCTGGAGAAGGAGATCCGGCCAGAGCCGGGCACCGGCCCGCGGCGACAGGCTCGATGGTTCCGTCTGGCGGTTTCCCACTTGCCTGGGTCCGAGTGCCCCAGGCCATGAGGGGAGAGGAGGATTGGTACTGATATGGGCTGCGTGATGTATGTCAAATCCATCTAAGCTAACAATATTCAAACGTGTCTACAAGGCTAAAATCTAGCTGGGAACCGTCGAGTTGCGATTTTGCAGCTTGTAGACCTCGTACTCCTCCATCCAGAGCCCATCACCTAACAGGGTTTTGTATATTTCATGCACTTCCCGCCCGCCAGGTTGGGGTTGTTGGATTTTATGTGAAACCCGAGAGCGTGACAAACAGCTTGGCGACAGACAGGGCTTGGGGCCGGCAGCTTTGTGGCAGCCAGGTGCGACACGCAGCCGTGACGCGCGTCACGCGAGCTTTTTTTTGGGGGGTTTTGTGGGGCTTGTGGCTTGACGAGGGATTGTGCTCTTGGGCGCGGGCGTGGTTGGTGAGGTGCCTGTTTTTGTGCGCGAGCTGCCGCTTTTCTCCGCTCTGGGTTTTCTCGGGGTTCTGCGCGGCTAGGTTCGGGCTTCCTTTTTCGTTTTTCAATGGTGCTTGGGGTGCCGGCGTGGTGGGTGACGTGTGCGTTTTTGCGCGGGGTTTGTAGCTTTTCTCGCTGTTGTGCTCTTCGGCGCGGGCGTGGCGGGCGAGGTGCGCGTTTTGCGTGGGGTTTCTGGGGTTCGGGTTAGGTTCGGGCTTCCTTTGTCAGTTTTCAATGGTCTTTCTGGGGGTTGTCCGGTGTGTTGTTCGTGTGGGGTTCGGGGCGCCGAGCTCACCAGAAGTCGGCGGAATGAGCCGGAGGCTCTAAAGTACATGCCTCCTTCATGGGCAAACTGCATTCCGTTTTTGTCTTGGGAAAACCGTCGTGTTGATCATGGCTCTGTGACACACTCCCGGATAACGATTTTCAGGGTACATTCAGGGTCCAAAGGCATCTGACCAAACTCCCTTGGCTGCCAAGCCCAACTTGCCCGCCTGAAGGTCGGCATTCAGGGAAGCACAGCTCGCAGTAACCTTGGCCCAACTGACCCGCGAAATCCGAGCTGGCTTCCACTACCCCCAAACAGGTGCTTCTCAAAACGGTAGACCCCTCTTTTCTTTTTGGTGGCTAAGTCCCCAAATGTTCTCCGTGGAAAGCGCGTGTCATCTTCGAAAAACCTCCTGTGTCCTTGCATATATGTGTTGGTTGTAGTGCAAACACCTTCGTCATATTCCACAACAATCAAGGTGGGTTCGGTCAAATCAACGAATTATCAAAAACATCAGATTCCCATGACACGTCACTCCGTTGAGAAAGCGTGAACATATATCCCGGACCCTCAAAATACCTGAGACATGGGAATTGCCGCAACACATTGCGGGGGCATCCAATTTACTTGGGGGTAGTTTGGCGCGTCCCGGTGAGTATCAATTGTTTCATCAAAAAGTAGATGAAAGAGAAAATGTCAACAGGGGGGAAGGTCTAGATATCATTTAGGCTGGGATTCATGTTCGTTTGGGGTGCTTCTCTAGCAAAACTCATAGCCACCCGAGCCACACATGGAGTTGGTGTAGAAGCTGCTGGTCTCCACGTCGCCGTAGTTGACGGTTGCCGGCGCCACTTCAGGGCCCTTGCATAAGCTCCGCCAGTACAGAAGGAGCCTGGCTCGATGGGGATCACATGTGCTCGGCCTCTGTTTGACAACCTGTTGACTAATTTTGATAAATGTTGACTAGCTTTGACTCTTGTACTCACTTCCTGAGTTCATAGGCAAAAAACAATTTCCGTTTGCCGCTAAAATGGGTTTCAAGTTCATGAGAACTCCACAAGTTAGTATATGCTTCAAACCTTACAAACCACTTTGCGAATTTCCTGGAAGTATGCGGATTTGACTAGGGACGTTTTTTGTCGGTAATCCCCGGGCCCTGATTCTGGAAGTCCCCAAAAGGCACCCATCTGTCTTGGAATGACTGGTATACCTAGAGTAAAAAAAAGACTGTGGAATTCCCAAAAGGCACCCGTCCGTTTGAGAAGCAGATTAATGATGATAAATTGAATACACAGCACAAATGAGTCTTGAATGTCCCAAAAGGCACCCGTCGCTTTCGGAGCAGCAAGAATAGCTAGAATAGCTTTAAAAACATTATCCAGCGGCACCTTGCACTTTCAGGAAAAAACATAGAATTGAATGGTTAGAATAACTTGAAAGATACACAGCCTTATCTTTTAGATACTTATTCTAATCATTCTACTTAGTTTGAACAATGCGAAATTTGACAACCAATGAATCTGGAATTCCCTAAAAGACACCCGTCCCTTGAGGAAGAGTTCGAAAACATATTTCTTTGTACTACACATAATAAACACTCGTTCTAAAAGTTCGAACCAATCAGACAAGTTAGACGAATAGGGTCTAGGGCGTTGTTTTTTTTTTCAAATTATTCCAATTTCACGACAGCCTGGATAAATTAGAACATGCCACGTAGGATAATTAGCAAACAATGAATCTTGAACTCTATCCAGTTTTTCTTGCGAATGATTAGAACAAGTATAATTATTGTAAGAAGCATACTACTTAGATTGAAACATGAACCTGGAACTCCCCAAAATGAGGCCATTCATTTGGGAATATTCAACGAGTGACACGTGAATGTGGACTTCCCCAAAAGGCACCCATCCCTTATGTGTCTCTCCCTGGCATGGCATGTGCGGCCAATGAACTCTCACCCGCGGCCATGTTAGCCCAATGTTCCAGGAATGGTAGGCTGGCAAAAGTCACTGGGTGAAGACAAGAAGCTGCACACGTATCACGGACATAGGGTCCTTTTGGTTGAAATAGATTGGGAAATGAAACCGAACGGAGCCATCTAGATATCACCTATGACCATGGGCCCTGAAGATACTACGCCAAACGAGGTGGCAGCAGCTGTTTTGCCGCGGATGCTTGGTGCTTCTCACAAACAGCTGGACGCGCCGCCTTGCCCACAACAGCTGGACGCTCGTCACGAATTGTAGGGGGAGTTGTCGGGGAAGGACTCGCAACGCGGCCCAATTTTTTAAGGTGCGAGTTCCAGCCAAAAAAAGCATTGCTGAAGAGCAAACAGCCCAGCTCCTCGCGCGAAACGAACCGAATCGCCTTGAAGCTCTGGATATGTTCCTCCCTTTTCCGTTCTGGTAGCATGTCTAGATCCTCTTTCAAATCCCTGCCGAATGGCGACTTCTCCCAATTCTTCAGAGCTGCCAACAAATGGCCGAAACACGTGAAACATTCCTTCCTCAAATACTTCATCTCCTGGGGACCGGCAGGCTCATGCGTGATTTTTCTCAAAGGGAACGTCTTCGAAAGGCGCCATACAACCGCCTCGAGCAACAATCCCTTTGGTCTCCAATAAAAGAACTGTTTCACTCCGATGATGGCAAGTCTGGCTGCGAAATTCTCCTTCAGGAACTGATTGATGCGGGCGCTGTTCTCATAGAAGTTGTCCCCCCCGCGGAGCTTTGGAAACTCTTCTAACCTTGGGTTGGCAAGCACAAGGTCGACAGGCAACTGTGGGTTGGCAAGCACAAGGTCGACAGGAAACTCCATGGTGAACTTGATGGCTACATTTCCAATTGTGACAGGCCCAGTGACACAATGCAATTTCTCCAAGTTTTGGGCAACCTTGCGCTTGTCAGTGTCTGTAAAGAGTTCATCCGCCTGTTCGCTCCCAGGAATTCTCCTCACCTGGAGGTCGACATCGCAATCTTTGAACGATGCTGTCTGTCGCGTAAGGGACCCCACCATTTCCACGAGAACATTGTCGCCGAGGGCATGTTGGCATGCTTCCACCAGCTCATCGTATGATCGCGTAGCAAAACAATCCTCTGCTCCCCTGAGCCCGCTAACGACGGCAACGAAGAAGTGGTCTAGGTCGCCGTTCTTGCTCATGTAGCGGCCCCAAACTTGGTTGAAATGTTCGGGAATACGGCACCACGCCGCTGGACTTCTATAGGTCCAATCCACCACCCGAGGATCCTTCCGATACTCTGCCAATGAACATGCTGAAGCAAACTTGCAGGCCCCAGCACACGTAGCCGCAATGCCTGTCACTACAGCATGTAGGCTTCGCCTTCGCCTCTCCTTGTACATGGCTCGTGCTGACAGCGGCTGGGCATTATCTGAAATCAGCATGGCGTGTCTACCGATATCAACCGATACGTTAGACACTCCAATTAGATGACTAGTGGATACTTAGTGGTTGTCCACTCTAATGGACATATACTATTTATGAATTTAACTATGAATATACTATATACCACTCTAATTGTCCAATTCTTAGAATAGTGGTGGTCCATGCGTCGGTATGACTAAGAAACTTGAAGCAGAGTGGTTCTTTCCCTCGCCTACAACAACAAAAACACCGCCGAGGTGTTTTCAGAGCACCATGTTTTTTTGGCGTCTCTTTCAACGTTCCTAAAATTGGAGGCCAGTTTGGGGGTAGTGGTTGAAGCGAAACCAAAAAGAAACTGAACAGAAACAATGATAAAGGTGTACCCTTTTTGGGACTTGCGTATCTTCTCGTTGGGAACCGAGATAGCAGCGCAAGGCGATCGTCTTTGGAGCGCATTTTTTAGAGATTTGTTTTACTAAGGCAAGTGTTGCGTGAGGATATACAGAAGTACTCTTTGGCAGCGGTTTCATTGCTGACGGCTGACAAAATGGCTCCTCCTCTGAACGAAGGCATAAAAGCAAACAAATCTTTCTCGGGTCCTAACAAAGTTGGGGATTCCTCTCGCAAGGTTAATGTCGCCAAGATAGTCAGTGGTTAGCCACCTGGGGTATAACCCCGTAAGGACAAGATGAACCCCACTTCGGGGGACTGTTAAGTGGGTTATAACCCAGGCCACCAATGTGACTGTAAACAGGGGATTTACGGGTGTGTCCGTTTTTGGGGTGCCCGTTTGGGGGAAATCCATTTCGCACCACCTAAGCAACCCTGGTTTCTGATGATACCCCTGCAAACACCAACCAACGTGATGGTTTCGAGTGGCTTCAAAGTGGTGGAGTGCTGGATTTCGTCCATCCACAGTATTTTCGATCCCAGATTCAAAAAAGCCCTTGGAAGGGCCTTGTTTGGATGTACCACACTCAGGTAGGGTGCCATGCTTAGAACCGGAGCTCCCCTTGCCTGGATCTGGCGCTCACAAAGCCGCGGTCCCAAGTGTTTGGGTCCTCAAGACAGAAATGGGTGGCACCTCCCACCAATTCACATGGAACCTGACGTTCGGGATCCGGTCCCTTTAGGAGAAATGGCCTGGCAGGACCCCTCTGTCAGGCTCCATCTTCATCGGTTGAGGGTACATATTTTCGTTGTTCTTCATTGTGGCTAAGGGCAACGATGTAAGATTGTCCCAAACGATAACCCAAACCCTGCCGACCCATTGACGCTGACGGGTTGAAAACTGTGGTTCCCTTTGGGGAAGCTCCCCCTGTACACTTCCATGATTGTCAACACGAGGGTATTGTGATAGGAACCAGAAGAAAACCACCCATCGGGGGTGCCCTATTCTGAGCAACACCCAATGTGGGCCATGGTCAAATGGTCTTTCTCTGATGCTTGCGCACTTTTGGCCAATGCGGTGAGCCGCGCAATGTCACGCTGGAGACTGTCGATCAGTGGCCATGGTCTTGGCTCACGAGTTTTAGCAACCGCAAGTACAGAGGTCTGAGCACAGCACATCTGGTTGTGTTGTCTTGACTTGATTCAAAGGCAGTTTCAGGAGTGTTGAAAATACGGAATGAAACAAGAACAGGCAATCTTGATTTGGGCAGGGTGTATGCCCCGTTTACCAGTCGTAGCTATAACTCCTCCATATCTCCTTGAGCACATCTGCGTTTGTGGACATGCAATTGGGCACCACCCATAATCTATTGACCTTTGGTTCTACCAGAATGGCTACAGCATAGAGCTTTATAGAGGCCTCACCAAAATCCCAATCGAACCCGGTAGAGCCCGCTGGCTGGTTTCCTGGTGCGATTCCCAAAAAGAACACCAAAGCAGGCGAAGGAGAAAAGCCTTTCCGCGTCTGTGATAATTCCCGGGGAGCGGGATCGGCTCATGGGCACATCAAATACTGGAACCATAGCAAGGGGCTTTCCAGGCAGATGCCACAAAGGTCCCGTGGCTCCCTGGAAAACCCAAGGTCATGGCCTTCAAAGGTCCGAGAGCTCATCAGACCTCATATCTCAATACTCCGACCAACCATGAAACAGCGAATGTCAGCTTCGGATTCATCCAGAGGACCCTAAATGAGGGGTGGCTCCCTTTGAGTACGACATGGGTCTATTTTGGTGGGGTTTGTCTAATTTGGTTGACACCGATGGCTTCACCCTTCAAGTGACCTCCTCAAATTGGGCAATGGTGGCGTGAAAGGGAAACCACAAGGTCCCAAGAGGATCTTTGAGAGCCCTCCCAAAAACAAGACGCAACAACAAACAATTGCCCTTGTGGTTTAAAGAGAAGCCCCCTTGAGTCATTAGAACCCCTCATGCAACCAGCTCGCCAGCTTAAGTGGGGCCAGTTGAGTCATCAGCACCTGGCATTAAGGACCCAAAAATGCGGAGATCCGCACTTGTCTGTGGTTACCTCTCCCTTAATTGCCAGCCTTCTAGGTCCTCCTTTCGGGAATCAAGTTCGGGGCAAGGGAAAAGGAAGCCTTAAAGGGATCCCCTCCGACGCATTCCTTGCGCATGGAGACGAGTGAACGCCGCTGGTCTCTTTATGAAAATCCCCTTTCCGGTTCACTCGCGGACTTCCATGATGGAAAGAGGCTTCGCCCCAGCTTCCCCATTGTTCAAAAGGAGCCACACTGCATGCGAAACTCACTTCCTGAGTGGATGGGCCAGAAAAAGTCGCCAAGCTGTTGGTCTACCAGTAAAATTTGGTCCAAACCCAAAAAAGTCCTAAAGTCCGAAACGGAACTGGGGGAGTCCGGAAACCCTGCGGCTCACGGCTCCTCTGAGATTTCGGAGGTCCTGAAGGTGAGGAAGGCTACCGGCCAGCCGACCCACAATCCGTGCGAAAGCTCGTCTACGCCCAGCTCACCTCGGAACGGGCAAGTGCTAGGCCGTTCCAAGTCCCCCGAAATGACGAACGGTTTGGATGCACTCTTGGTGAAGTTCACCTCCTCTTTCCCCTGTAGGTTCTTTTTTAGTACTCTTTTAGTACTGCTTTCATATCCTGCAAGGGTGGATCCACAGCAAAAGCCACATCCAAACCGTGTTTCTAGAAAATGACATCATGTGAGTGTGATGTTTAAATAGCGGCCCTTTGGTGGGCATCATTTGGGTGGGGATTCATGTCCGCGAACCACCTGTAAGGTGGTTCCCCGTTAAAATGAATCTCCATATTTGAGAACTGCCTTGAACTACCTGGACTTTCAGAGTACAGCTAAGGCTCTACTTAAATAGAGTAGAGGTTATACCCAAAATGGAGGTACCCATCCAATATGGACCCATTCGGTTGTACCCCAAGAACCCAGCTCCTAAGGCACTATATACCCAGTAAATACCACGCCCCAATTACCTGGCTAGGTTGGGCATGTTCGTTCGGGACACGGAAGAAGGACCTTGGACATGTGCGACAATGAGGAGGGGGACCTGGACCTGCAAAGTACCCACACCAAACAGATATTTCCAACCAAAAAAGAACAAAATACAACTTGCAAGAATAGTTTGAGGGCCAAAAGGCGCCATGTAGGGATTGCGTTTAAGTCGAAAACCACAGGAAAAGAGTTTATAGATACCACAAGACCCTTGCAACCCTCGGAATCATAGCCCCGACCCTGGCAGAACGATGCTCATGGGAAAGAACCCTCTTTCAGGACCCCTTTTGGATGGCCCAAAGCACCTGGAAATCAAAGGTCCCATTTGGGATGCCAAGAAATGTGAGGGCCCAGAGCAGTCACCATATTTTGCCCAGATGCTTGTGTTGCACCCTTCAAAGTAGGGTGTCCCCGGTCTTCAGAAAAATAGTAACCAAGGCTCGGGGCGAAATATATAACCATTCAGAACGAGTGAGTCACAACCAACCTCTCCGTGATAAACGGCGGCTTCCGTATAGACATTTCTTTGGGCTAGTTTTGACATGACTTGCGTGAGAACCACTTACAGTACCCGTTTAAGCAAGAAAAAGCTGGTGAAACTTGCCAGCATCTCACAAACTGGTTCATATGAAAAGGTGCAAATTCCTATACTCGGACAACTGAAATGGACATAGAAACAAGGAAGAAGCTCTCACAGAGCCAAAGTATGCGCTCTCGGGCAGGCCCTGATTCTGTGATGGTTTGGAATATTCCAATGCCTTTGACGTCCATTCCTGCTTTTCGGTCCAGTGAAACTATGTCAACACCTAGACAAGTGTGGATGACTGAGGAAAAGGTCATCTTTCTCTTGTGCTTCCCAAGTCAAAATTCCGCTTTCGGACAACCGGCGAGTGGCTAAGGCCCTCCGCACACCTGGACACCACATCCTGGAACCAAAGACGCTCATGGATCCGACCCCTCTTGAGGACGCAGGGCGCTCATAGTTTTGACAAGTTTCGTTTGTTCACCCTGTTTGCAATACATAGTTGGAGTTCATTTGCCTTTGAAGTACCCCACCACCCCATTCCGATCATCTCGGGCTGTAGTACCTCCTGCAACACTACTTTGGCATATGGGTCCAGTGGAAGTCTACCTTCAGGGTTGCTCCTAAGATCCAGGAACTCGACGAACTGGGTTGATGAAAGGACACCAAAGGAAACCCTTTGGACATCTTTCAACTGGATTGGTCATCTGACCCCGTTGCTTCGGAGAACCTCAGGTGAGCGTCATCTGAGCCTAGCAACCCTGTCCAACGGTCAGATACAACCGTCCCTTCGAAATTCCGTGGGCATAAATCACACTGCGGAAGATCCGGTCAATCTCCCATAGACCTGTTTGGTTCCGAACAAAGAGGCGCGCCTTCAATCGGACGGTTTCCACCAGGTATCGGGCTTTCAATTCAACCTCCACCAAACACCTGCAACAACCTATGAAACCGCCAAGGGGGTTTGGGTTCCCTTGAGTTTACTGAAATGCTTCATCGCGATCAAGACCTGGTAGTTGAACGGTCTACCCAATGAAGCAAATCAAAAGGATAGAAAGCCGGGACTATCCCTAGCCTTCTACCCGAATCAGTTGTGGCTCAGTGGGCACAAGTTGCTGGCTTCCCGGATTCATTGACCCCTAAACCAGAGGTTCATACCAGGGTTTCGGGTTGATGGGGGCTTTGGACACTGCTTACGGTGCAGGGTACGCAAGGTCTATAGGTGGTGAGTATCCTTGGTCATAGCTCACTATCTTGTAACTCATGTACCCACCTCCTGTGTTCACCACAAACTCACAAAGTTGATCTCAGGGAGTGTAAGTAGGAGTCATGACCAGTCTTGCTCACCACTTACCAACTCCCCCCCGCCCCAGGAGGGGGGTGTGGGGTTTGGGGGTTGGTTGGGGGTGGGTGTTTGTTGTTTGGGGGTGGGTGCTTGTTGTTTGGGGGTGGGTGCTTGTTGTTTGGGGGTGGGTGCTTGTTGTTTGGGGGTGGGTGCTTGTTGTTTGGGGATGGATCCTTGTTGTTTGAGGGTAAATTTTCTTTTGTTTGGGGGTTGGTTGGGGGGTTGGGGAGTTGGGGGGGGGGGGGGTTGGGGGTTGGGCCCCGTCGCTGGCTCCTTCTTGCAGAGCTTCGATCCCCCGGGCGCCAGCAGCGCCATCTCCGTGGCCGCCCGGGACAGCAGGAGCCGAGCGCGGGCCACCGGACGGCGCTCCTGAAGGCTGTGCCAGTGACGCAGCCAGCGATCCAAACCTAAAAACGTCCATTTGGTTTTGACCCCTGGAAAAAATAACCTATTGCCAGTAGTGATAGATTCCCTTTAAACCCAACAGAGGAAAAGAACCATATTAAGCAAATGGAAGAACACCTACCCGTCACTTTCCCCACATATGGCTGTGGGTCAAAACCCTGGAAACCCCTGGTGAACATCAAAATAGGTGGCAAATGGATGTTCATGCACCCCAAAATGGAGCCATAGGTTATGCCCCATGGCCATTGGGCGCCCATCAACATTGGGGAGCCCATTTTGGCCGGCGCCTATTTTTGCGGGGGAGGGTTCTTGTTTCTATGGGGCCATGGGGCCATGCCTCCTTGCTTGCGCGCTTGCCTTTTCATTGAACAAGCGGAACAATCTATCCGAGTCTTGCAGAGTTTTTCTTCAAAGCCTCCACAGGTCCCCCTGAATTTGTCAGTGGGCCCTACGGATTCGTTCTCCTCACTATCTGTGGCGGGTGCAATCGGGGCAATCTCAAGCTCACTCCTTCGTGTCGCAGGGAGCTCGGGCCAACAGATGGGGCCCTTCAGAAACCGGATGGATCTGATTTCTCCATGCCTGGAGCTCCAAGAAAGGCGCCCACATGGGATTTCTGTGTACAGTTGGGACACTGGAGCCCCAAGAGGGGGTCCATGGCCAGCTTGGAGCCATTTGGGAGCCCTGCTCCCCAACTGGAAGACATGCCTGGAGTTTGGTGTCCGTGGCCGCCCGAGTTAGGCATGGTGGACAGAATTCGGGGGCGGATGTCCATCAATTTTGGGATCGGTGGCTCCAAGTCTTAAAATGTAGAATGTGGGTGTGTCTTAACCCCAAAAAAATGGTGGGGTCGTCTTAACTTTATATAGATTCCCCAGAAAAAAAAGAAGAAAAAAAAACATTTACCTGGTTTGTAGGGAACAATGGGGTTTCCCACCCGCTAAACATCAATAGGAAAATGGCGAAGGGTTGCCTACTATAAGTGTGAAGCGCCTGGGATCTGGGATAAACCCCCTTTTTTGGTTGGTTTTCAAGGAAGCCGAAAGGAATACCGATGCCATTTGGGGGAGGGGGTCAAGACACACCAAGATATAAGGAAATCAAAGCCATTTTGAGGGGTCCAACCTGAACAACTACAAAGCCACATAGGTAAATGGAGTGACTGGTGACAGTCCCCTAAAAACCTCCATTCGGAAAAGGAACAAAAAAACCAACACATTTCAGCAGAAGCACGTGGGGGGAGGGTTCTAACGGACCTGAGTTGCACCGGTCCCAGCGGCCCCGGTCCCCTCCTGGAGCTTGGAGATCTCAAGGTCGCGCAGCTCCACGCAGAGCTTGGCCAGGTCAACGTCCTCCGACTTTGGAGCTTGCCCGGGCCATTTGGTTGGAAGTTTGTTGGTGGAATCATGGACCCCAAGTGGAGCTATGGGGGGTTACAGTATAACGCCCTTCAGGCCTTAAGGGCTTATCCTTGGCTGATAAACTCAAGGGATAGGTTCCCCTCAGGGTCCATTGTGAAAGCTGCGGGTTGACTGGCCCCATGCTTTTGCCAGCAACCCCCATTCAGTCTGACTTCTTGAGTGGATTGGCCAAACAAATTGTAGCGCGACTTGTTGTTCGCCCACTAAGATTGTCTTCTCAAAAAGTAGCAAGTGCAGGAACTCAGGAAGTGAGAAGTGGTAGACTGAAGGGGAACCAACAACCAGTTTCTGACTATAACCCCCACACAGACAAATCATGACCCCAGGTTGATGTCCTCAGGTAGCCATTTGAGGCTCAGTACCCCAGCAGAAAGCCATGAGTGTCTTTTTGTTGAGGCTCCGTACCCTCTTTTGGGCTTGGTCGAACTGGCCCCATTTGGGTATGAATTCTAATTAGGGTCCCTTTGGTGGACGTCATGTACCTGGGGATTTATGTCCACCAACCACTTTTCAGGGGCATATGAATTCCGAGCCATTTTACCAAAGTCAGCCCGGTAGCTCAAAGGCAAAAGGCCACCGGCTAGGAACACCTGGGAAGATCCGCTCTGAGGCCTGCGAGCCTTGGGTTCCCTAAAGTGGCGGCCGGAAACTGGGGGAAGTGGAAGCCCTCGTTAGGTCCTTCCCCCAATCGTGGGGAGAAAACAGACCATACCACTCTAAGCTGCCAGTTTTTGTTGACATATTCTTTGAGAAACAAGCAAGACCCGACTCCCAATCCTGCGCAAACAGTATGCAGTCCGCTCCCTTCGGTTTGCCCATTGCTCTTGCCAGAAAGGTTTATCCTGGGACTCCTTTCTATCTTTCTATCCAAGGCGGGGGGCGTGGCTCAACAACGCCTTGGACTCGCGATGGCCCCAAAATCGATTTCAGGGGGATCAAACGGCTCGGCCGGTCCAATGGCCAAAGGTCCAATGGTCCCAAAGGTCAGAAAGGTTCAAAGCCAGGTTCAAAGATCAAAAACGATGAGCCAAGCACTTTTCACAACTTACACACGTGCAGACCATGCAAACCAACTTTGCCCGACAGCCACGTCCTCTTCCCGTGGCTCGGCCCTGTGCTCCACGCATGCCTCGAAGAACTTCAAAGCCGCCTGACGCGGCTTGGACTTCGGAGCGCACCCAGCGGAAAAAGGCGGCGTAGGGCCACCCACGACCCGAACAAAGCGCACCCAAGCTGCTGGAAACATGGCCCATGGAAAATGGTACTTTGACGATCTTGGTACAGTACTGGTGTTCCTATTTGAGAGCCTGCCGAAGCGCAGATCAGATCAAATCAGCCAAACAGGTTACCTTTTCACACATAAGGGCTGCCGGTCCAGGGATTTATTGGGAGGGCTGGGATCCGTGATTATCCCGTCTGAACGAACTGGAGTGCAGCTCGACCCTTTGCTGGACATCATGTTCATGTCCACCCACCATTTTAGAGGGGGTGCTCTATTGAAACTCATAGCCCTAAAGATGCTCAACCACCCCCAAAAGGGGAGACATATAAGGAAGTTGACATTGATACCCAATGAGTCGACCACTTTGAGGGGAACCTTGCACGTCGGAGCATAAGGAAGCCCAGAATCTATCCCCCGGCTTCCTTCTCAGGATGTGCAAAACACACCATGTCGATGTTGGCTCTTTCAAGGGTACCCCTTTTGTGGCTGGTTTGAAGGAAAAGCAAGAAAGGAATATACAAATAGCAAAAATAACGGGTCCCCCAATGTCTTTTGGGGGTACCCTTCAGGGAGGTTTTAAAGGGCAAGGACACCGAAGCCCAGGTCTCTGATTCCTAGAAAAACCATTTTGCCCGAAGTTTCACCTGGCCCTTCGGACCTCAAACGAGCTTCTTTCCCCAAACCGTTTACTGTTGGGGTTCTTAATTCTTACTGAGAATTGACGCTGTCACGAGATGGTCTGGCCTTGTCTCCCGGCTTGTTTCCCCTTTGTCTCCCCACTTGTTTCCATTTGTCTCACGCGCTTGCTGGGCTGGATGCTGTCACGAGATGGTCTGGCTCGGTCAGCCCTTTGTCTCCCCACTTCTTTCCATTTGTCTCCCCACTTGGTTCCTCACGCGCTTGCTGGGCTGGATGCTGTCACGAGATGGTCTGGCTCGGTCAGCCCTTTGTCTCCCCACTTGTTTCCATTTGTCTCCCCACTTGGTTCCTCACGCGCTTGCTGGGCTGGATGCTGTCGCGAGATGGTCTGGCTCGGTCAGCCCTTTGTCTCCCCACTTGTTTCCATGGCCTTGTCTCCCGGTTTGTTTCCTCTTTGTCTCCCCGCTTGTTTCCATTTGTCTCCCCACTTGTTTCCTCACGCGCTTGCTGGGCTGGGTGCTGTCACGAGATGGTCTGGCTCGGTCAGCCCTTTATCTCCCCACTTCTTTCCATTTGTCTCCCCACTTGGTTCCTCACGCGCTTGCTGGGCTGGATGCCGTCACGAGATGGTCTGGCCCGGTCAGCCCTTTGTCTCCCCACTTGTTTCCGAAGCCGCAGGCTAGGCAGGCGCGCTGCCTGGGCTGCAAGTTAGGCGCTGCAACCCGCTGGTGACGCATGTTACGCACGGAGGCAACGGTGCGAACGTGGAAAAAGTCCGCCTGTTTGCGCGCTTGGCGCCCGATATCCGGCCGCAAATCCGCAAATCATACGTGCTGCCGCACGCCTGGGCGCGCCTGGGCAGCACCCCCGGGCAGCGTGCGCCTGGGCAGCGCGCCCCTGAACAGCGCGCCCCCTTTCTCCGGCGGCCATCGCTTCTCTGGGTGGCACCACTCCACCCGTCCCTGAGCACTTCAAGGTGCTCACGCTGGGCGTCGCTCTTCTGGAGCTCGCCTCATCGTATCTCTTTTCTATGGCCCTGTGGAATCCGTTCCTCACCGCACCAAAAGACTCTGGCAACTTCCGGCTGGGGGATTGGGTTGCGCAGTCATCGTCTCCCCACTTCTTTCATTTGTCTCCGCGCTTGTTTCCTCGCGTGCTTGCTGGGCTGGATGCTGTGACGAGATTGTCTGGCTCGGTTCCCCACTTGTTTCCTCACGCGCTTGCTGGGCTGGACGCTCTCACGAGATGTTCTGGTTCGGTCAGCCCTTTGTCTCCGCATTTGCTTCCATTTGTCTCCCCACTTGTTTTCTCACGCGCTTGCTGGGCTGGACGCTGTCATCTCGGTTAGCTCTTTGTCTCCCCACTTGTTTCCATTTGCCTCTCCACTTGTTTCCTCACACGGGGCTGGATGCTGTCGCGAGATGGTCTGGCTCAGTCAGCTCTTTGTCTCCCCACTTGTTCCCCAAACAGTTTACTGTTGGGGTTCTTCATTCTTACTTAGACTTGATGATGTCACGAGATGGTCTGGCTCGATCCCCGACTTTGTTTACTCACGCGCTTGCTGGGCTGGATGCTGACACGCTCTTTGTCTCCCCACTTGCTTCCAGTTGTCTCCCCGCTTGTTTTCTCACGCGCTCGCCGGGCTGGGCGCTGTCACGAGATGGTCTGGCCCCACTTGTTTCTTCACGGGCTTGCTGGACTGGATGCTCTCACGAGATGGTCTGGCTCAGCCAGCTCTTTGCCTCCCCACTTGTTCCCCAAACAGTTTACTGTTGGGGTTCTTCATTCTTACTTAGACTTGATGATGTCACGAGATGATCTGGCTCGATCAGCTCTTTGGCTCCCCACTTGTTGCCACGTGTCTCCCGACTTTGTTTACTCACGCGCTTGCTGGGCTGGATGCTGACACGCCCTTTGTCTCCCCACTTGCTTCCAGTTGTCTCCCCGCTTGTTTTCTCACACGCTCGCCGGGCTGGGCGCTGTCACGAGATGGTCTGGCTCAGTCAGCTCTTTGTCTCCCCACTTGTTCCCCAAACAGTTTACTGTTGGAGTGGGTTCTTAATTCTTACTTAGACTTGATGATGTCACGAGATGATCTGGCTCGATCAGCTCTTTGGCTCCCCACTTGTTGCCACGTGTCTCCCGACTTTGTTTTCTCATGCGCTTGCTGGGCTGGATGCTGACACGCTCTTTGTCTCCCCGCTTGCTTCCAGTTGTCTCCCCGCTTGTTTTCTCACACGCTCGCCGGGCTGGGCGCTGTCACGAGATGGTCTGGCCCCACTTGTTTCTTCACGGGCTTGCTGGACTGGATGCTCTCACGAGATGGTCTGGCTCAGTCAGCTCTTTGTCTCCCGACTTGTTTCCATTTGTCTCCCCACGTGTTTTCTCACGCGCTTGCTGGGCTGGATGCTGTCACGAGATGGTCTCGGTTAGCTCTGTGTTTCCACACTTGTTTGCATTTGTCTCTCCACTTGTTTCCTCACGCACTTGCTGTCACGAGATGGTCTGGCTCGGTCAGCCCTTTGTGTTCCAATTGTCCGTTTGTCTTCCCACTTGTTTTCTCACGCGCTTGCTGGGCCGGATGCTGTCACGAGATGGTCTGGTTCGGTCAGCTCTTTGTTTCTCCACTTGTTTCCTCACGCGCTTGCTGGGCTGGATGCTGTCCCAAGACGTTTTGGCTCGGTGGTCTGGCTCGTCTAGCTCTTTGTCTCCCCACTTGTTTCAGTTTGTTTCCCCACTTGTTTTCTCACGCGCTTGCTGGGCCCTGCAAACTTGGTGGGAAGCTTTGACCAACTGTTCGCCGCAAAGGCTGCGCAAACTGTTGCAAGTTGCAGTGAAGCTCGGGAACGACTCCGCTGGCCCCGGCGTGATTAAGCTGGCGCGCAGAGAAAAGGGACCATGGTGATGGCCCAATTGAAAAGAAGCCACATGGTTGTCGTTAACGGTTTTTACGGAAATGTCGGTGACCGTTTCTGCTGAGCAGGGCACAAGATCAGGTTTGCTGGTTGAGTTAGGTGCTGAGAACAGCTGACGCAATTGAGCCAGATTCTCACGGGTCGACGGCGTAATTGGATTATAGTTGGCTAGAAATCCATGGACCTTGGAAAACGGGGTGCCGCCAATCCAAGCCAGCGGAATATCATCAACAAACTAACCTATAGGACACCTACATCCACCTAAGAAACGCTGGAGATGTAATTTTTTGTTTTTAATTGCCCAGTAAATACCTACCATGGCTTCGGTTTCAACCATGGTTAGTAGTGTTTTATAAACCCAACCCCCATTTAGCCCAAAGCTGTCCTCAGATCCCCTGCTGAACGTTTGACCTGTGGAAACGTTAAGTGGAAAACCACCACGAAACCAACTAAAAACAACTACAAGCAACTACAAACAACTACAAACAACTACAAACAACTACACACAACTACAAACAAGTACAAGCAACCAAAAACCACAGCAAGCGGACTGGTGGTCGAACCACCCAAAACGGATGCGGCGAAACCCGAAACCCCGCCGGCAGCTCATGGTTCGTCTCCCTGGCGCCGCGGGCGCGCAGAGAAGCCGCCGCACGCGCCAGACCCCGGCAGCAGGCGGTGAGCAAAGGCGTCCAACGGCCTCAGGGGAAATCCAGTGACCTATTTGCAAGTGTTTTTTCCGAGATGCTTGTTGTTGCTTTTTGTCGTGTCTTGGTCACCCCCTTGTTGGATTGGTGGCTTTCATTCTTTTGTTTCGCTCCTTGTGAGGAACACACTTTCGGCTTTTGTTCGTTCAAAACGAAGAGAACCAATGACTAAACACTCGGAAAACACATTCCGAGGGCAGTGAAGATAGCCTGTCCATAACAGACCCCTCCGGCTGAAGGTCTGTCAAAGTCACCACACTGGCACATAGGGACATGACCCCCGCCCCTCCCCATTTTCTGGCTTTGACCCCCAGAAGCAGTCCCTGCCTTTTCACCTGCGTTGTGGCCCAAACCCCAATTTCCGGGGCCTTTTTTGCCTTTTTGTGGTACCGAAAGTCTATTGGAAGTGACAAGATCTCCAACCGTTTGTGCAGGGCATGGATTCGACCGAAGCCCTTTGAATATCAAGATAAAAAAGGCCCCTGCAGATTAGCAGGTTATGAGCCCAAAACCCTAAAGCCATGCGAGCGCGAAGAAGCGCACACCTTCGTGGGGGCCTGAAGGAGACCTTCTACAGGAGGAGGAAGACCGTCAGGTGGGGGAGTCAGGCCAGGGCAGTCAGCAAGAGGCCCTGGCACTGGTGGAGCCGGCACCGGGCCTTGAGCTGATCGGCCAGGAGCTGGCGTTGGTGGGCCAGGAGACGGTTCAGGGGAGTGGAAAGGGCAGCTCAGGCAGCGGGCCGAGGTCGACTCGGAAGGCGCCTGCGGGAGGACAAGGAGGAGCTGCAAGTGTTGATGGCGCTGCGGATGGTGGCGCTGGAGAAGGAACAGAAACCCCGGGCACGGTGATGGTGCCAAGGAGACTTTGGTCTACGGCGTCGAGAAACCCGTGGGCATCTCCGGTGGTGGCGGGAGAAGAGCATCAACCTGGAGAGGAACAAGGAGATCGGCAATGGAGAGGTGGTCCGAGTGGGTCACCGCAAGCCTATGGTCCGCTCTTCACTAAGGAACAGCTGGACTACCTGCAGCGGTGGGATAAGCCGGGAGGATTGGTGAACCTGGGGAAGGCGAAGGAGGAGCCGGAACTTCAGCTGGTGAGACCTGGATTTTTGGACCAGGAGAGACTTCATCGGGCACCAGATGGAGACGGTCCACAGCAAGACCCAGGGCAAGGGAACCAGGACTACCTCATCAAGGAGATCCAACGGTTGCAGGAGGAGAACAGCAAGCTCAAGGCGGCCACGGGCTCGGGGGAGACCTATGTGACTCCGGATCACCCCAGCGTGAAGGACGCGGACAACCACAAGCCGGAATCCTCGGAGGAAATGATTCGGGACGAGGAGAAAGCTAATCCAGACCACCTTGCGATCATTCTGAAGCTCATGGAGGGCATGCAACAAATCCAGAAGACGCTGGTCAGCGGTGCCAAGGGCAAAGATGATGATCAGGTGGAGGTGGTGAAGGCCGGAGCGATCGAGCTGCCGGTGCTGGCAGAGCTATGTGCGGAGACGAGTTCAATCGACCTGCAGGACTGGCTGACGCTGATTACCCCGGCGATGGCGGACATCTCGGAGACCAGCCAGGAATGGTGGGAGCTCGTGTTGCAGGAGGCAAAGGCGTGGTACGATAAGTACATGCAGGAGGCGCCGTTGAAGAGGCTGGCGATGGTCCCTACGAAGGGAGAGTCGGAGAGCCCCAAGTGGAGAAGAGTGGAAAGGAAGGCGGTCACGCTGCTGGTGAAGGCGGTGCCCGACCAGGTCAAGGATGAATTGGTGGCGACGAAGAGCCTGAACGCCCTGTCGCTGGTTTGCAAGCTGATGATGATGTACCAGCCGGGTGGTATCGCAGAGCGAGGCACGATCCTGAGGAACTTGGAGCAGCCTCTGGAGGCGAACAATATCCAGGCGGCGGTGACGGGCATCAGAAGGTGGCTTCGCTGGAAGCGGCGGGCGGAGGAGATCGGGGTGTCCTTGCCGGATCCCTCGGTCCTCAATCGAGGGCTTCATCGTCTGGTTCGGAAGGTGCTGGAGGGCAACCGGGACCTTAGCTTCAAGATAAGCCTGGCGAAGTCGCAGCTACAGGTGGACACGGTTCCGACCCACAGCACGGTTGGCGTCTACTGCGAGCACTTGCTGTCGGAGCTGGAGCAGCTGGTGCATACGGAAAAGAAGGTCAGTCCCGGGGAGGCGAGAGCCAAGAAGATCGAAGGCACCTATGCGGAAGACAAGCCCAACGGCAAGGAGGAGACGACGAAGGAGAAGAAACCCTGTCGCTTCTTCCTGACGGACATGGGATGCCGCCGTGGGAGTCAATGCACATTTGGCCATGATGCGCGAGATGGGCGAGCTCGGTGCTATGGGTGTGGAGCGGTCAATCACTACGCCAAGGACTGCCCAAGGAAGGTCGTCAAGGACTACAAGAAGGATGCGAAGCCGTCGTCTCCAAAGGTTGCGAAGATGGAGACGGAGGAGGGGGCGACGTCGGTTTGCGAGAAGGGTGAGACGCCGAGAGGAGCAACCAACACGGAGGGGACATCGCCTACTCAGAAGGAGAAGGGGGATGCAGAAGCCTTGCAGAATGTGTTGGAGGAGGCCGGGAAGATGCTTCGCTCTTTGACGGTGACGACCCCACCGAAGAAGACAGGGCGGGAAGCCCGACTGGAGGACATCCAGAAGCAGCTGGACGACATGAAGTTGCGAAAGTTCGAAGAGGTGAAGGTCTCGAAGATCAACTTCCAGAATGAGAGGGGGTTGCTGGATTCGGGAGCCACCAGGGAGAGGAGTTGGAAGACCTGGAGGTCATCCAGGTGGAGCTGGCCGGAGGTCAGAAACAGGAGCTGAGGATGACGAAGGGCAAGGTCATCGTTCATGACGACCCCCAGGTGCAGCCGATCGTACCGCTGGGCTTGATGGTCAACAAGCTCGGCTGTGAAATCAAGTGGAGTATTATGGGATCCTGCAAGGTGAGACATCCGGCTCTGGGTGACATCCCGGTTTGGATGAATGCTGGATGCCCGGAGATTGACCGAGAGCTGGCGCTGTGCTTCATCGACATGTTGGAGCAGACGGAGATCTCGGGAGCCAGGGTCAGGCTGGCAAGGCACGAGGAAACGGAGCTGAGCGGTTTGGCGGAGAAGGAAAAGGTCTTTTGGGGCGTCCCGGAAAAGATCATGGAGAAGGTGGTCGAAAAGCCGGCGGACAACCTAAGAGGCATCCCGCTGAACCGGAGCAGAAGGAGGACGTTGGAGAAGGGGTTTGTACTCCACTTGTATGCGGGTGAGAAGGACGGCTACACCTTGCAGAGAGCGCTCAAGGAGGTGGGCGGTGACACAACCCGATTGGTGGAGGTGGACTTGAAGAGAGGCCAGGAGCACGACATGATAGATGGGCCCCTCTATGCGTCACTGTTGAGAGCGGCTATGGACGGCTACATCTTGGGAGTGGTGGGCGGACCAAACTGCCGGACAAGAAGCGTGCTGCGACATTACCCGTTGCCCGCAGGCAGGCCTCGCCCGGTGAGAGGAGTCACTCCTGAAGATTGGTTTGGTCTTCCGGGGCTCGATGAGGAGGAGAAGAAGCAGGTATGGGAGGACGACGTACTCCTCTACCGCATGATCATGATCTTCTGCGTGGCGGAGGCTGCGAGAAGGGAGAACAGCAGAAAGGGATCAACGAGGGCGAGAGTGACCTTCTTGCTGGAACAGCCGGAAGCGCCGGACTACATGCCGGAGTGTGGGTCATGGTGGAGGACGGACAACTACCGGAACTTCAGGGACCAGCATGGTTTCGTGGAGCATTGCTTCAGACAGGGGGACTACGGCGGGGTGGCAGTGAAGCCCACGATGGTGGTCACGGACTTGAATGTGGAGCTTCCACCTCGGAGGTCGTCTTCGGCAACTACGAGAGGAGCAGTGGCAGTGGGAAGCTCAGCGGCCTTGTCAAGATGGGCACCGGGCTTCATGCGTGAGGTGGCCCGGGCAATCCAGGAGGAGGTGTTTGGGAAACCGGCTCACATCAAGAAGCTCAGCTGGGTGGAGCATGTCCGGCATGGACATGTGCCTTTTCGGAGGGACTGCCGGGTATGTCAGGAAGCCTCGGCGCGGGGGAAGAGGCATTGCCGCGTTACCTACCCGGATGCCGCGGTGCTGAACGCGGATCTCAGCGGACCTTATAAAGCTGGGAAAGACATCAATGACGCCACGATGAAGTACTTTCTCATCGGCTCCTTCACTTGGCCAGCGGAGGAGGATCAGAAGGAGTTCTTTGAGGAGAAGAAAGGGACTGCGGAGGAGGACCTCCCGGTGATCGAGGAGAAGGGCGACGACAAAGAGGATCCGGATTGCGAGAAAGGGGATCTGGATTGTGAGAAGGGAGAAGGTGATGGGGAAAAGCAAGGAGAACCAGATCTGGATCCCGAAGAAAAGGCCAAGGCGGAGTGTGGGGAGCCGAAGCCGCTGAAGCTGATTGTCAAGGCTATCCCGTTGCCGGACAAGAAGGCCAAGACGGTGTTGCAGGGATTGCAGGACCTCTACATCCAGTTGAAGAGAGAGGGGTATCCGGTCCAGAGGTTGCATACGGACCGGGGCAAGGAGTTCCTGAACCACGACCTGAAGACCTGGTGCATGGTAAGGGAGATCGAGAAGACCACCACTAGTGGAGATGCACCGCAAGAGAACGGTCGTGCGGAGGCATGCATCAATAGCCTCAAGAGCAGGATCCGGCGATTGCTGAAGGGCGCCAACCTGGATGTCAAGTTTTGGCCAATGGCGGCGCGCTATGCGATCGTGGCGGAGGAGAAGCGGATGAAGAATGAGATGATGCCGGCAGCATTTGGGGAGGAGGTATGGGTCCCAAAAAGGTCGTGGAAACGGCTGCGGGATCCGTTTGGTCCTACCTACGAGAAGGCGCGCTACCTGGCGGTGGTCAAGGAGGTCACGAGCGGACACGGTGTCCTCCGTGAAGATGGAAAGATAGAGGTGGTCTCTCGAATTGTGAAAGGGGTGGTGGAACCAGAAGATCGTCTACTACCGGAGGAGGGAGAGCCGCATCAGCCACGGAGGAGGATCAGAGGAAAGACCAACGCAGGCGAAGAGAAAAAGACCGAATTGGGCGCCCTCTTGATGTTGCGGGCAACCTTGGAGGACGAGAAGGAGGCCATGGATCAAGATGTCGGTGAGGCATTGGGGATCACGGCAGCCAAGATCCAGGAGATGAAGGCGATGGAAGAGGCTCTGATAGAAGAGATCATGGGCCCGGAGGAGAAGCAGGTGTTGCAGACCCGGATCGCCAGTCAAGCGGAAGTTCTGAGGAACAAGGAGGAATGGCTTCCGGCCATCAAGGCAGAGGTGGAGTCGTTGTTGGAGGGCAAGGAGGCGGTCAGACGAGTTACCAACGAGGAGGCGAGGAGGTTGATGATGGATCCCAACTATAAGGTGGACGTCATGCCGGGCAAGATGGTGCCGACCATCAAGGCACCTACTGGAAAGAAGAAGTGCCGCATCGTGATTTGCGGGAACTATGCCGAGTCGGGTGGCAAGGATTCGGATGAGTCCCTTTATGCGGGAGGTTCAGACGCGATCTCCATACGGACCATCACCAAATACGCAGCGGAGAATGACTGGGAGGGCATGGTCCTGGACATCAAGACTGCATTCCTGAATGCCCCCCTCCAGGAGAAGACGGGAAAAGGAGAGCCGGAGAAGGTGTTGTTGATGAAGCCCCCAGCCATCCTGGTATCCCTCGGGCTATGCAGGAGAGATGATTACTGGGCAGTCACAAAGGCCCTGTATGGTTTGCGCCAGTCACCAAGAAGATGGTCAGTCTTCCGGGACCAGAACATGAGAACTATGGAGTGGAAGAGAGGATCCGACCTCTTCTGGCTGGAGCAAACGGTGTCAGACCCGAACGTCTGGAAGATCCTGAAGGGCAAGGGGAGAGATGATGAACGCGGAGAGCTGACGGGCCTGATGGCGATCTATGTGGACGACATCTTGGCGTACACGGACAAGCTCACGCAGCAGGAGCTCTACAAGGTGATCCGGGAGAAGTGGGAGACCAGCGAGCCAGAGTTCGTCACTTTGGGGGCCAAGGTGAGATTCTGCGGCATGGAGATCAGCCGCACGGAAAGAGGCTACCATCTCGGGCAAGCGGCGTACACGCAGGAGCTCCTGAACCGATATGGAGATGGTGGTTATGGGTCGGTCATTCCGATCAGCAAAGATATGACGGAAATGCCGGAGGAGGAAAACATCACGGCGGCGGAGGTGCAGGCTGCGCAGAAGGCGGTGGGAGAGGTCTTGTGGCTTACCACCAAGACGCGACCGGACCTCATGTTCGTGACGAGCCGGATGTCCTCGGCAGTGACAAAAGCGCCGAGGTGGACTGTGGAGTTGGGGAAGCAGGTGAGAAAATACCTGTACAAGACTGTGGACATGGGCCTGTGGTTTGAGAGAAATGTGGGCGAGGGCATCACTGGTCTGAATGAAAGGAGACTGGAGGTGTACACCGATGCCTCGTTTGCGCCAGGAGGAGGACTGAGCCATGGGTCGGTGGCGGTATTATGGAACGGAGCAGTGTTGGCCTGGAGGAGCTCGAGGCAGAGTTCACCCACGTTGTCGACAGGGGAGGCGGAGCTCATGGAGTGCCTGGAGGGGATCATCATGGGCGAAAGCGTGGAGGCCCTTGTGATGGAGATTGAGGAGGTCACGGGTGGCAACTACAGAAGGCAGCTCCTGTCGGACAGCTCGGCAGCGATAGCCATTACGCAAGAGGCTAGTGGAAGCTGGAGAACTCGGCACCTCAGAGTTCGGGCCTACAACTTGCGGTGGAGATTGATAGAGGAGAGTTGGTCGATTCACCATGTGTCGGGAGAGGTGATGCTGGCGGACTTGGGCACGAAGGCACTCACGGGCAAACGCATCGAGGACCTTCGCAAATTGTGGAAGCTAGAGCCGTTGGTGGAGAAGAAGGAGCAGAACGTGGAGAACGTTGGCGGTGAAGAAAAGGAGAAGAAGGTGACGGTTTTGCGCGGAGATCCGGAGGAGACGGCAGCCATGATCAAGGTGGTTGCTTTGGTGAGCATGATCTCGAAGGCGCAGGCGGTCAAGGAGAAGATGGAAGAGACGGGGGAGGACGAGAATCATGACATGCTGAAGGGCCTGATGATGCTCGTGAGCATCCTGTCGATCATCCTCTACAAGCTGGTGGAGACAGTGTGCCAGAGATCGGTGGCGCCAAGGATCAGAGCCCTTCGGAATCGGGGAGTTCTTCGGGAAGATGAGCAGGAACCGGAGGAGGAAACAGATGGGAGTGCAGCGCATCAGGTGAGAAGGACAGTGGAGCCGTGGGGCGAAACTATGTCAAGAAGTATGTCATCTACCGGAGGTGGAACGGCTAGTGGGCCATCGGCTGGAAGTGGAGCGGCCAGTGGGCCATCGGCCGGAGGTGGATTGTCGAGGAGGTCATCTACCGGAGGTGGAACGGCTAGTGGGCCATCGGCTGGAAGTGGAACAGCCAGTGGGCCATCGGCTGGAGGTGGAACGTTCGGCGGGCCGTATACCGGAGGAGCATCGTCATCCCAGAGGGCGTCTACTGGAGGTGGGACGTCAAGGGGGTCATGTACCGGAGGTGGAGGAAGTCAGGCTTTGGGAGCCAGACCCAAGTCTTTGCCAATGAATGCCAAGGGGCGTGGGAAAGAAGGAACAGGTGCCAGGCGTTGGTTGGAGCCGGAGCCTGAAGAGGAGATGACGAGCCCGTCGGAGCAGTATGAGCCGGTCATTCCGCCGGGAGATGAGGACCTGCCATTGGAGCCAATCCTCCTCAGGTCTCACTGGGGGGAAAGGTATCATGTGAGAAGGGATTGCTATGGCCTTCGACGGGCGACAAGGACCCATGATTTGATGCCGTGCCCCCGGTGCTGTACGCCAGATTTCAGGAGGTTGGTGACAAGCCTTCCGGGCCCAATCTACATCCGCAGCCCGGGCTACTACCACTTGCTGATGACTTGCGCCGGAGGAGAACCTGAGAGGCTCACATTGTGTGGGTATTGCATGGGAAGCCGAAGGCAAGGGGCTTGAGCACGTTTTGTGCATGCAGCACGTAGCCGAAGCTGCATGGGAGGAGTGACAAGATCTCCAACCGTTTGTGCAGGGCATGGATTCGACCGAAGCCCTTTGAATATCAAGATAAAAAAGGCCCCTGCAGATTAGCAGGAAGAATTCCACTAGGCCTTGACAATTAAGGCTTACTGATTTTACCCCAATAACCAAAGCATCCAGCGGCCAAGCATTGCTGGTACATCCACCGGAACCCGATCGGATGGATTAATCCACCGGTTTCGAGGTTGCCTTGGGGCGCTCAAAGCACCTGGACGAATGCCCAGCCCGAATGTGCGAAACGTAGAACTCTGGACCCTCAAAGTACACTATGGAAAGGACCCCAAATTGTTCGTCAAGATGGGAATAACCCTTGACCAACCATTGGTTTCTCATAGTTATGGTTCTCAGGTCTCAGGGAAGGGGTTGATCTTGTTGTTGAACATATTTTTCAGTCAACATGTCGTGTCTACATGAAGAGTGGTTTCGCTTCCCCCTTCCCCCCCCAAACAAAAAAAATACGGGGGGGGGGGGAACGCTGCGGTAATTTGCCTGCAATAAATTCGGCTGTTCGGAAAGCTCCAATGGTAACCTTTAGCTGGCTTGGATCGATGGATTCGGATTTGAAGCCCTACTTCTAATGGAAACAAAACACCCCGAAACATGTACATGTAACAGGGCTCCTTGGATGCATCCCAAAACCACATGATTTACAAGGATCCAGATCTAAAAGGCAGCTGGGACCCTGAACCGCCAAATTAGCCAGAGGTGGGGCGATGTTGAGCACAACTTGAGGGATCCTTGATGAATCTAGAGGACAAATGGGACGTCAACCCCCCACCTCACCAACTCGAGGAAGCGTTTCACCCAAACTTTGCCCCGGATCTTTCTTTGTATTTCTTCGTCGCGGGTGCAAAATTTGAAAGCTGGGGATCCGCAGGTTTTCGTCTTTGTCTCCAGCTGCCAAGGTCCCATTTTGAGGGATTCCATTTTTGGAGCAGCCATTTCCGTGCTGCCTATTTGGGTGTGGCTCAAAATTAAAAGGCTAGGGCTATGCAGGTTGTAGTCTTTGATTCCAGGAACCCAGGTGCCATGTTGGTACATTTTTGCTGAGCCACATCCATTTGCCTCAGCTGCCTCAGTTGCGGGGGGAAGCTGGGTCCTCCAGTAGAGAGGTTAGAATAAGGGTACCAGAATAAGGGTACCCTTTTTCCATCTTTTTCCTGTCGTCTATTTTATTAGGGGAACCCTCCCCCCAAAAAAAGGTAAAAGGGCACTACTCGGGGACCTAGAGGGATTCCATTTTTGGAGCAGCCATTTCTGTGCTGCCTCTGCGCCTCAGCTGCCTCAGCTGCCCCAGTGGGAACCTCAGCCGCGCCTCGGGAGGGCGCGTTCACGCAGGCGCCCCCGGCGCTCATCAGCTTCACCGCCGCGTCGGCATCCTGGCTGCTCATGTTGTCCACCGCCAGCTCCAGCAAGCTGTACTCCTGCCGTCTTTCTCCCCGAAAAACACGAAACAACCCGAAAACGGATGGATCCCTCCCAGGTCCTTGTCCACGAATGAAGCCAGGAAACGGATCCCGCCCAACAAAGTCGCACCCATCTGCCTAAGGGCTGATTCTAATTCCACTCGCTTCATCGAATACCATGTACTTGTTCAGAGCAAAAGCAGGCAAAGCGATAGCAACCCAGTGATTCTAAAGGAATAAACAACCTCAAGGGTAGAGTGGAATATGGTTATGTCGTTTTTGTTTTGCGGCACCATTGTTTGCGTTTTCAAGGACAACCAAAGGGTTGTAGCCACTGTTTTGAGGGTCCCCGAAGAAAAAAAACGACACCCATGTATATATATATATATATATACCCTCTGTCCTGGTCCTTGTCCAGCGGATTGGCTTAGAGGTGTTCCGGGGTTGTTTCAACTCCTTTACCTCAAACCTGGCGTTTTTTTTGTTACCCGCAGGCCTTGGAAAAAGAAAAAGGGGGGTTACCCATTTGCCTGGCAATTCCTCTTTTTTTTGGTAGGTAACCAAGAAAACCAGCCTGGAAAACAAAGGACAGGGCCTGGTGACCTTACTATAGTGGACCCACAGCGTTGGGTATGTGGAAAATAGCGATGAATGGTGTTTTTCTTAGTCTCCTTGTCCGTGTTAGGCCCAAATCTGAAATACACAGACAATCATATCAGATCCTGGTTCATATTTCGTCCATCCGGAAAAAGTATCATGTTGCCGCGTGGATCCCAGCAATCATATAGCAGGAGCAACCGGTCATTCTCCTTCGGTTTTCGATTGGTGGTTCCAGGAGGTTACCTACTATGTGGCCGCGTCTTGTTTTAGTGGAACTCCCTCAATTGGGTGTTCCTTTTACCTTTTCTTAAAACCAACCAAAAAGGGTTCCCCAAAAAGAAGACTCTATGGCAAAATGGAACTTCTGGGGCGGGGAGTCCCCTGCTCCTCAGAGCTTGACCCTTGTCGTGGATTCAGCTCTTCGGCTCACGTCGTGGAACGGTCGGAGTGCGCGTGACCCAAAGGGTATGTTGAAAGAAAGGCGCCGGAATCTTGGGCCGCCTCTGCGGTCATAGGAGTACAAACCCGAGAAGGGTCATACATAGGGTTAAAGATCGGTTGTACAAGAACCAGCCATTCACTAAAACCCACAAGAGGTCCCAGACTCTCTTGTTAAGACGGGGCCCTGAAGACTGGTTGCAAATTGCAAATGGGGTTCTTAAGCCTAGCAAGCCCAGTAAGTCGCGACCCGCCTAGCCAAAAACGAACTGGAGTCGAAATACCGCCCCCCCCCCCCCCCGCTGCCCATTCGAGGCGGAAGTCAATGTCCCAAGTGAAAACGGATCCGACCACTTGCAAAAGGGGGACCTGTTGCTGGTTGAAAGGGAAATGAAGGAACACCGAAAGGGCCAAAAGTGAAACAAGCAAGACAAGTCTGGCAGCGAGAAACCATTCCCCTAACAACATGTGATGTTTGAGCAGAACCCAAGGCTGAGCAGACTTTTGGTTCGAAACCCAACATGGTCATGAATAAGGCTTCTGTAGCCCTTGCTGGCAACCCACACGAAACAAGGTAGTAGAATGAACCAGTAAAAAATGGTCAAGGAAGCTTCTCAGAAGGAGCTCTTAGAAGATTTGAGGGAATTGGCATTGATTCAAACAGTGAAGCCGACCAGAGCCCTAAGGGTCTCTACGGGTCCCTTGTGAGGCCAATGAGTCCCAGGCGTTTTGCCACTATAGTTGGTAACCCTTCGATCCAGTTTTCTTTTGGTTTTCAAGGGTGGCAAGGCCTTTAAATGGAATCACTCGGAGGATGTACCAAATGACCCCTGAAAAGGTCTCTGAAAAGAAACATTCTGGGCAGTGGACTGCACATGTGAAACAAACGCCACAAACCGATAGGCGACGATCCAAAACCACACACTTGTAAACAGGTAGCTTTGCTTCAACCAAACCCTGAGTCTCTCAAACATCACTGCCATTTGCTAAAGCCCCCTGGAGAAAAAAATGTCCAGTAGTGATCGATTCCTTTTAAAATCAACAGGGTAAAATAATCAATATTCTTAAACAAATGGAACACCAGCTTGATTCATATTATTGAAGCCTTGTAAATAAGTAGATTTACTTCAACCAGACCTGAGTCTCTCAAAACATCAGCTTCCCAAGCCTGGATTTGGAAGAGCACGTCTCCAGAGAGGATGGGCTCTTTAAAGCGCTCCAGGAACTTCGCGCCACTCAGATACTGACCTGCGTAGGTGGCGGAACCCATCTCTCTACAACAACCAGCGGTTCAAACCCACAGCCAAACAACAAATGTTGACCCAGGATTAATAAACCTGTCCCACTATTAGGGGGTGTTCCATCCAAAAGTAATGAATCCCCACTTAAAGGGGACCCCCCCTAATAATCAACCAGGGGTTTATTAATCCGGGGTTAACATTAAGGGTCACCTGAGGTCTGGAGAAACACAATACTCAAAGAGAGCCTGCCACCCATGACACGAATGACAGGGCTCTAGAACAAGCACACAAACTACCAATCAAATCATTTTGCTTCCTGAAAAACAAAACAACAAATTACCCAACCAGCTCCTCTATTTGCTTGGTGGGAAACCCCCAAAAGAATTGCCATTGATCGGATCCAATTGGCACTCTACGCAGAAGAGGTTCATCTTGCGCTGCCGGAAGTACCGGCTGCGGAGGGCCTCGAACATGGTACGGCTGCGCCTTTGTACCTCACAGGGGTCACTGGATCTCACCTTCAAAAGCTGCAGCTTGCTGGCGGGTTTCCTTGAAACTGCCACTTTTGAAGGTTCCAACAAGGTCTTATCCTTGGGACTCATCCAATATGGATTCAGAGCCATAAGCTGAATAAGGCTGATCTTGCTTGAGAGCAGCCCAAGAGCAGTCAGGAGATACTAGCGCTCCCGGCCCGTAGTTACGGGCTCTTGGGCTTCCTTTGAGCACACAAGGAATTAGACACCTTGCACTATCGTCATTCGCTTTTATGGTGAAAGACAAAAAACCCTCGTTGTCAAGCGCAATGTTGACAAAACATGCGAGGTCCTGCGTGCACATCACACAGGTCAAGCATGTGCAAATTTGGATTGGGGATGTGAGTTCAATGCAGCCCTGCATGGATACAGGCAAAGTGCCGGAACACAAAGCCAACTGCAGTGGATAACTCTTGCTGCACATGGAATCCCTAAGAAACCAACCACTCCCCAAAGCACATATCATCTCGTGCAATTGTTCTCAGGGCACACCAGTGCTCATAGGCACTGCTTGCCGGCCAGGGAAGTAAAACAGCTGTGTGTCCAATGTTGGAAGAGATGCTGAAGGTGATGAAAACCACAACTAGCACCCAACCAGGTTGCGTGAAGTCAGGGCGAGAAGGAAAAACGCATGCGCCACGTTTGATAGCAGCTCTAAGGTCTGCTTCAAGCGGTCTGTGAGCAAGGAAACCTTCTCCTTGTGCGCCGGGGGCAAGCGAGACCGAGACCTTCCGACCGAAGCAGGGAAGACAACACCTTGGTATCTTGGGCAGCCACGGCGCTAGCGAGCTCCTCCCAAGTTGTTGGAGGCTCGACAGCTTCACGGCCTTCCTTGAGCTTGTTGTGTCTGCCCCCTGCGAACCGCTTGCCGGCAGGGTGGATGTCCGGAGCAGCCAGTCCTCCAGAGTTTTCCGCAAGGGTTTCAACTGCTCCGCTTGTGCTTTTTCTGCCGCTTCAGTCTCGATCTGCTCCTTCAAGCTTCGGAGTTCGTGAAGCTCGGCTTTGAGCTTCTTGTCTCGAGAGCTGTGTTTTCCCAGTCCAGGAAAAGAACAGGGCGAAGCTGACGAGTCATCATCTGATGACCTGGGCCTGCCACCATATGATGAGGACCAAGAGCGCTGGCCCCCTGACCAGTTTCCCCAGTGTCCTGGCCACGCCAGGATTTTTTGCCAGAGCCTTTGCCTCTTGTCACAACTGGGGACCAGATGGCAAGCAGGGCAATGCAGCCCTTGCAAGGAGCGCACAAGAAGGCTTCGGCTTGACCGGAGAATGCAAGCCAAGTCATGCGAACGGAGCGCCACCCTCAAGGACCGAATGATGTCTGCAGTCTCAATCTGGGTCAGATTTCGCTTTGACCAGCCACATCTATGAAAGGCCAACAGTAGCTTCAGCATGTGCCGTTGAGATTCCCGAGGCTCTTAATAGCGCGCTTATCACCAAGGGTCTCAAAAAATGACGGGTTTTTTTTCAAGGGGGCGGAACAGACACATTTCCCACTTTGGAGCAATAGAACAGCAAGAAGTGTCGATCACCATGTCCAACCAACATTGGAAGCGCGCCTCTTCACATACATCAAAATGGACAGAGTAAATACAAGTGACCATATGTTGTATGTTGCAGGCAATCTCGGCAAACTACCTGGGAAGCGAGGAGCACATCGTCAACATAGCGCAAATGAAGCACTATACTGTGCCATCTCAGAAGGGAAGCCATGTGCGGCGCGGCGGCTGGCAGACTGAAACCATGCCTCTTCTTTTGGCCAACTGAGACAAGAGAACCTTCATAGCTGCACGGAAAGCCGAAAACATAGACAAAGCGGCCATTGCCCTTCGAGCCTGAAGCGTCTCTTCTTCCGGCGGCTTGCAGCCACAAAGCACCAGCCACGATTTGCAGCTGTCATCACTGTCTCAAAGAAACATCTGCATGCCGCGGGAGAGCTCACTTCTTCATAAAACTGGCCGGCATCAGCAACAATCAGGCAAAGAGGCTGCTTGTCACAGGCGCATCTTGCGCATTTCGAAGGAGCAAGCAAAGTCGTCAACTTGTTGAGGCCAGCGCGCAACCGTGTTGAAGCATCCCGGAGGCTCCAGACTTCTGCGCCAGGCGCAACTTCTTTGATTAGAGCCGGCAGGGCCCAGTGCTTTAAGAGCAGATTTTTCGAACGCAGCTGTGGAGATTTATTTGGCAAGTGCGATCTGCGGAGTCTCCGTTCCACCAACAAACCTCCATGTTGAAGAGAAGAAAACAAACACCAAGCAGAGCATCCGGTAAGCCATGGCTGGCAAAATCCATGCAATAGACTTCTTGTCATCCGGCACAACGGCATTGAAACGAAGGGGCCGCTTCATGCCTGCTGTGTATTCCTGGTACGCCGGACCCGACGCCCGACGCATTCAGAGATTCAAGCGAACAGCGAACGTTTCTGGAGCGTTGCAGCATGCTCGGGAGGCTGGTCCATGAATGCCACACAGGGACAGGGGCCTGCTTGACAGATTTCTGCACTAGGCTGCATCGTTCTTGCCAAAGCAGCCTTCGTTGCACTTTCCAGTTCCAGTCAGGTCGCTGGAAACCCTGGCCTGTCAGGATACGACGCAGCTCGTCTGTCTTGAAGTTTGCGTTTCTAGCTGTTCGGACATGTGACCAAGCCGCTTTGAAAGGTTTTTCCCTTGTCTTTGTAGAACATGATCTGGGACCTTATCCAATGCTTTTGTAGTGGGCCCCAAGCTCCCGAAGCATGGATGGTCATGCACCTTTTCAGAGGGCCTAAGGAAACACCATCTGTCCGGAACTGGCTGGCTAGGCAAGCCCTGGGCGCGTAGGTACTAGCTAATTTTCATGGCCATGGCTCGCTTCTGGCCAGGCCGTGGCAAAGAAAGCTTTAAAGCCTTCAAGGATGGTGGCTCACAAAGTTGTGAGCAGCTGAGGCGCTCTGGCAATGTACGTCCAAAAACAAGGCTCTGAGTTCGTTGGGAAAGGCCCGAAGTACTGCGCCAGCACGCTCGCTCCGTCAGCGGCGTTTAAGCCAGAGGCACCCCCATGCAAGCGCGCAAGTGCAAAGAATTCGGTCAATATCATGGCATGCTCTTCGCAGTGGAAACACCCATTTGATGAGGAACTCGAACATATGATTAATGATTGCCCAGAGTACTGCGGAGTGCCGTTGGTGGAGAAGCACCCCTTCAAGGCGTCGGAGGCTGCGCTTGCAAAGGCAGGAACTCAGTTCTTCAAGAAAGCGCCTAGGTGGCTTCTGTGCTAGAGAAAGTTCAGTATCGGAAATATGTAGGAGGAATGCCCACAGAGCACACGTGTGAAAAATTGCAAAGTGAACATCCATGATATGGACGCCCCCCCTGTTCGCCGGGGACCGGCAAATCTACAAGCCCGCCGTTGAGGCAAGCCTCGTCAACAAAGAATTGAAGGCGCTGCAGACTCCGGAAAAAGGCTTGTGCATGCTGACCATAAGCTGAATAAGGCTGATCTTACTTGAGAGCAGTCTTCTTTTCCATGGCCCAAGAGCAGTCAGGAGATACGGAGTGAGACCTGCCTGCTGCTAGCGCTCCCGGCCCGTACGTAGTTACGGGCTCCTGGGCTTCCTTTGAGCACAAAAGGGCAAAAGAGCAAACCATGAGCTCTGAGAACGTGTTGGCCCTTATGGTCTTGAATAGTCACTCGCCTTGGATTCCAAGTAAACACTATGTTAATGGTGTTTGCAGCAAAAGCGAGTTGAGTCCGGCAATGATTCACTCAGGTGACCCAGAATTAATCACCCACTGGTGGATAAACTCACCCCCTAATGCAAATACCAACATTTTAAGGGTGCCCAAACAAGGGCACCCCCAAGTGGCAATGTTGACCAAGGAGTACTCAAACCTTAATTTATCGCGGGGAGCAACCCACGTTAGGTGAAAATCCACTGTTGGGGGAAATACAACTATTCTGTGAGGCAAATAAATCTGGGGTCAACAGTCGGTTCCCTAGCTTCCAAATCTCCGATAACTTCAAATGCCCCCGCATTGACAAACCGTGCGGTTCAATTCGGGGACAGTTTCCCAAGAAGTGAAGGAACCTCTCGTCACTTCCTAAGTGGATGGGCCAAACAAAGTCGAACAAAATATGTTTACCACTAGATTGGTCTTTCCAAAGGGTTCGAAGTCCGAAACGGAACTCAGGGAGTAAGTCTCTAGACTCTACAAGTTGACACCCAACAAAGATCAAGGGGTTAATGCATCCGATGAAGACCAGCCAAACAGAACCAAATACTCTCCTACACAAAAGGAGATTAGCCCCAAGCAAATTCCTCCAATGGGAAAGTCGGAGGCTTCCCAGTCCGGACAGATCCGCCAAACAGAGATATACTCTGTTGCTGCTGGTTAAAGATCTGTGTGTTTTACCTCCCTCCATCAAAACCGAACCCAAACGGGCCCGCCCATACAGGCCTATACTTCTTGCAGGAGTGGGGCGCCCCTGCCCAACTGCCCCTTTTTGACACACAAGGCAAGAAAGTCTGGACAGTACTGGGCTCAGCGTACCTCCGGATTCTTCTGCACCGTGATTGCCATGAGGTCCAAACACGACTCGCCCTCCAGCAGATCCTGCGAAATATAACCCGCGCGGCTTCAAGGCGATAATCGGGTGCCAAGAAACTTCCCACAACCCTTGCTTCTATCACTCGAGAGGATGGGCTAAAAGTGCCCGATTTGTTTTTCCAAGTGCTTCCCAAAAGTTAGGCCTGGAACTCAGGATGTGAGAGAATTGTGTAGGTGCTTCAGGAGAACCCTTTGACTTTGGAGATTTACAGTTAGAACCCATTGGAACGTTGGTAAGCTAGTACCCCGGGTTCTGACGCATCTACCCGGGTTCAGATAGGGGGTGTGTAGCCAACGGATATCATGTCTTCTCCTGCAAGCCCACCCCTTTCATGATAAATTTGCCCCAACGCAATTTCAGTAACAGTAAAGCCTAAGCCCTAATATATTTACGGTACCAAACTAAGATGGGGGTAGATCAAAGACCTTTACGCAGGATGACCATTGCAGAACACCACTAACAAAATCATATTTCCACATGGGACAAGTTCCCCACCGTCAATTCGACGGCCTTGCGCGGGATGTTGATCAACCCTCTTTTTGAGGTTATAGAAGCTATTGCTCGCTCGGGTCCTCCGCTAGAAAATGGGTCTAAGCCACAGCTACGCGAGTCCTTACACCCCCCAGGCCCACCCCATGGGTCCAGTTTGCAGCTTCCCCCATGGCCAACCCATTTTGGGGGCCGTTCGCGGGAATGTTGGAGCCCCACCCCGAAACGCCACCTCCCCCCGATTCCCCCATGGGTCCAGCAGGTATCCGCCCAGCACCTCCCCGCTCTTCACCAGCCGCAGCTGCCAGGCTTCGACGCCCAGCTGCCTCGCCGCCGCAAAGCGCAGGGAGGCCACGGAGTCGTGGGCGTCCAGGGTGAACAGCAACTGCCGGCGGAGAAAGCAACCAAAACAACAGCGACCAACGCCCGGAGAAGAAAAACACAAACACGACTTTGGGTTTTCATGATGGCTCTAAGGGAGTAGATGGATGTGACTTTCTTCCTTGGTGGACCCCCAAAGAATGTGGTTAAAACAGGGGGGCCCTTGAAAGAAGACACTCCCAAGTAGGCCTCACAACCCAGGGTTATGGACGCTCAATTCCTTTCAGCCCCTCACTTCCGCAATCATAGCCAAAGGGAGTCCCGCCCGTTTTAGCAGATTGGCAAAAGAGTGGACTGGCACGCCAAACAACAACACATTTCCAGTCGGGATAGATTCCCTTACAACCAACAGCAGAACAGAAATTGGACGTACATATGTTGCGTGTAAAATGGACCTCCAGAAAAGCATCATACCTGTGCTGTGTATACTGACATGGTCCCATCCAATGACTCTCAAGTGAGGGCAACAATGGAGGGTTCTGTCGAAATTGGGCGGCTGTCCATTTAAATCCTTGACCAAAAAGGAATACCTCCCACAGTCTTGGGGCAATAACCTGTTTTTATGGGTAGTTTGAGGGTCGAGGTACCGACATGGTTGTGGCAAATAACCCTGCTGATACCAAGAGAAGCCATCTACCTGATTACTTTCGATCACTTTGACGGGGATTCGTGGCAACTCAACATTCAATTGTCCACCAGCGCTCTCTCCCAAGAAACCCATTTGATGGCTGTCGGGGCTCCTGGTCAAGCATTGGTTTTGGGGCAATCTCCTCATTTCCTGCGTGGACTGGCCAGAAAAGTCCAGACTTGTCCACATTGGTCTGGAAGCAGAATGGTCGTCAAGGGAAGTGAGCCTCATTTCTACACAAGTCCAACCTCATCCCCCCCATCCCCCCCATCCCCATCCCCAAACCCCCCCCCCACACCCCAGCCCAGCCCATTCGGTTAAATCGCCTCGCGCCCAGACAGCGTTGTCACCCGCACATCTATGCGATGCTCCATGGCGCTTTCGAATCTCGTTCAGCTTTCGAGCTCCGCGGCTGAGACATGGCCGATGTGGCACCAACATCTGGCAAGATCCATCCTGCTTGTTTGGTGTTCTTTTCTTAATAGAAACCAACAAACAAACACGGGGCAATAATTCATGTCATTCTGTTCAAAGTGGGATATGCCCTTTAAAAAAAAAAAAAGCAAGTTGACCAACATGGGGCAAGGTCCCATTTTTGGGGACAAAGGGGAGCAATGCCCATCTTGTCAAAAGTGGGATTTCCCCCCCGCCCCCCCCCCCCAACAAGAACCGGCTGACCAATATCTGACTTTCAATAATATGGATATTGTTGAGCAATGTCAAATTTGTCCGAAATTGGATGTGCCAACAGTTTGGGGGGGGGGGGGGGACAATAATTAATGTTCACATCAATGTTTAAAAAAAATGGGAAAACCATATTGCCCCAAAACGTTGAGCAACATCCGTTTTGTCCCCGGATTTGTTGAGCCAAACTGAAACGATTCTTTGCAATGGACTCTGTTCCGTGCTGATTCTAAGGCAAAGACGTAAGACCCGATTTGAGGGTGCTTGAAAAAAAAAACAGCCACGCGGCCCTGCAAAAGGTGAATGCCTACGGCGGACGTCCAACGTCCACAATTTTCTTGGGGACCCCGGAGCGGCTGCATCCCCTGAAAGTGGCTCCGTCAATTAGTGGAGTTGTGACTTTTGAGGGCTTGCGGGCTGTCACCCCAAGCATCTTTAGGGGGAAACCTGAGCCTACCCAGCAAAAAAGGATGGGAATCACCCAAACCAGCTTGGGGCAATGTCAGGTCCCATACTCCCAGGGTTCAGGTGCCTACGGCAGGGTTCCGAAAGGATACAAATCCAAAAACCGCCTTGGCAAGGAGTCTCCAAATTAGCTGGTAAGCGAGTGATGTTGTCACTGGCCCTTTGGAGCTTTCTGTTTCATGAGATGGATCAATCCAGCCCCAATAAGCAAAGGAAAGGACCCCACGATATAGACACATGTTAGATGCCCCAGCTGTGACCGATGATTGCACACTTGTGGCACTCCAAGCAAGGAATCCAAGGCTGGTTTCGGCATCAACCATAGGATACGGAAATTCCAAAGTTGGTGTTCCCTTTGGTTTCCCTTTAACCCAATCTGAAAAAGATCAGACCTCTTTGACTCCCTTTAATCTAATTGGTCTTGCCTTTGACTTTCCTCGTCCTTTCATACCTATACTTTCTTGGGAGTCAACCTCTTTTTTTTGGGCTTTCCCTTTTCCAGCTTTGTTTCCCTTGGGTGGTCCTTTTCCATGTTGTTTTTGTTTGGGGAGGCAATACCTCTTCCCTCTCCCACGAAATGAATCCAACCTGAACAAGGAGCACACCCAAATCTGCGTGTCCTTGTTGGGGTGTCAATAGTTCTTCCCTCTTTCCCGCGTAAAAAGCAAAAAAACGACAAAAAAAGAGCAGACCCTCGACGGCTGGACGGCTGGACGGGACGGGTGGCGGACAGATAGACGAACTCCCCCCGCGCGCCGAAGCGGAAGCCGCTGCTCTCGTAGGTGCCACCGTGCAGCACGGGCACCGTCTGGACCTGCAGTCCTGAAGCGAATTCGAATCGACCGGGGAGGCGACCCGGAAATTTTCAGGCGAAGGGAGGGCCGGTTCTGCCGTTTTTGGAGGGAACTTTTGGGTCACAAAGGAAAACTTGAGGAAACCCCGTGATTTCTCTTTTGGAGGGCACTTGGACCCGAAAGAACTACCCCCAATAAATAGGGTGCCACAAAATGATGCTTAGTGATGTGCCTTTGTTTCTTGGTTTGAGGGTCCAAGTGGTGTTTTTGGCGTCCTAAAGTGAAGAAACCCCTGATTTAAGACACACCCAACCATGGATGTATACTGGACCATACATAACCCCCATCTATTGTAATCCAAATAAAATCAATGAACAACCCCCTGAACACGAATCATTTACCCTCTACTCTCCAGGATAAGTTTAAAGACAATCCAAAAGCAACCTGGATGGCAGTTCGAACTCTTGTGCAAACCAGAAATAGTTGATGGCTCCCGCATCGTTTGGTGGAAAAAAATATTCATATTCCAAGAAGTTAAAGTCCTACTCCAAATATCCCACTTTAGAACCGCCCCTGGATTTGACTTATGTACCCCCTACTCCAAATACCCACCTTATTCTTGTTGGTTTGTTTTTGGGTGTGTGGTGAGTAACCTGGTTTCTCATGGTGATCCAAATACCCAGTTGATGGCCAACTTGGCTATCTGTCCCAACTCTGGGTACATATCATTGTTATATTCTGGTGCATACTCACTCAACCGTTGAAAAATATCAAATATGTTCTGAGACCCCGTACTCCAAATATCCACTGTTGGTTAGTTGGCGAAATAGGACAAACTCAGGGTGTTCCATGGTAAGTACCAGGGATCCACACCATACCCTTACAGACGTGGGTTTGGGGTGAAGTTGCTTCAGGGTATGTCAAGGACAATTTGATTTGCCAAGGAACAAAGTCCTCTTAGTCAGGGGCTGACAAAAAAAACAGGGGAAATCAGTCAACACCCAACACTGTTTGTGTGCGGGATAGTGTCCTGATGTCCTTTGCTTGTTCCGGGGCCTGAGCAATGGGAAGGACTGTGGTGCGGCTTGTTTTCGGGGACCCTTCCCTGAACATCTTGGTTTGGGCTGGTTTCTATTTGGGTGTCTCTTTTCTAAGGTTGGACCCCAAAATGGGTAGTTGTTCTTTGGTGTGCCTTTGAAGCCACCAAATCTGGGATACCCCCGCCAAAACAAGAAGAAGAGAGAAGACAACCCACTTTGCGGTGTTTTTATTTGGATGGGGATGTTGGGGGTAAAGTGCCTTATACAGTTTTGATGTTTTCAGCTTTGGACTTCTTGGGTAGAACCCTTATGGTAGCATACCTACAGGTTTCTACCACTACCCGTCAAAACTCGGTTTTTCGAGGACCAATTTCTCTTTTGTTTGGTTGGAGTTTGCTTGCAGTCTAACACCTCGCAAAAAGGGTCCATGTTCAGAAACCTGCTGGTTTATGTCATATAGGATTTATCTCAACTCAATCGAAAGCCCACAATCAATAGCTTCAGAGAACCCAGTCACCCCCCCCACAGCCCCGCCACTCCCCCCCCCACGCCCACACCCCAGACCCCCCCCACCCCCCCCACCCCCCCCCACCCCCCACCCCCCCACCCCCCCCCCCACCCCCCACACCCCCCACACACCCCCCCACACCCCCCCACACCCCCCACACCCCCCCACACCCCCCCCACACCCCCACCCCCCCCCACACCCCCCCCACACCCCCCACACCCCCCCACACCCCCTACCCACCCCCCCACACCCCCCACACCCCCCCCACACCCCACACACCCCCACACCCCCCCACACCCCCACACCCCCACACCCCCACACCCCACACCCCCCACCCCCCCACACCCCCACACCCCCCACACCCCCCACACCCCCCACACCCCCCACACCCTACAACCCCCCCCCCCCTCTCCTGGGATGGCCTGGAAGTTCTGAAAGTCTGTGACCCTCATTGGCGACAGGCCCGAGACACTCCGGGAGCACGAGGTGCGGCGCCGGAGCGTGGGCTCCCCGCTGTTCTCGGGCAGCAGGTAGTGGAAGTGGGACCACACCTCGAGTCACCAAAACCCGGTACAAAAATGGTGAAACCAGAATGTAAAGGATTCAGAAGGCGGCTATTCGCACCTGTTTATGGTTGGGATCGCCCCTAACCTTCATCTGCCCGGGTCCTGATTGTGACTTAACTCGAGTCTCGAGTCTCGGGTCGCTAGGCTTCATTGGGAACATGTGACGAAAACGGGAAAGGTGTAAAGACCCGATGAAACATGTAGTAGGTGGAAACAGGGTAGCACCATCCTGTAGGCTCCCCTAAGGCGGAGACACCTCGAGTCGCCAGGCTTGGGGCTCATCTTGAAGGAAATGTCTAAACACCAGTGAAACATGCCATTGGTACAGGATTTTGGGCCACTGGTGCTTTTTAAGCAGGAAACGTTTAAAGACCTGTTTAATCATCCTAGCAGTAAAGGTTGTTGGGTTGAGACAGGGTTTGAGCACCTATTGTTCAACATATATCCTATTGGTTCCTCTAAGTTAGAGGCCTTGGGCTGGAACAGGGCTTAAACACCGAATGTGTAAGAATGCTGGCTCCCCTTTAAAGTTGTTGTTCGGCCCGTTGGCAGAGCCAGCGGAAAAGCCAGAGGGCCGAGAACACGCACAAGGGGTCACCTGACAAACCCGACAAACACCCCATCGATGTCCCAAATAGCTACATCGGACCCACGAAATGGCCTTCCTTCGGTGTCCCAAACAGATTCTCCTAAGCCCAAAAAGGATGTCCTTCTGCCTCAAGAACACAGCGCCATGTCCAATGTTTAAGGCGTGTCCAGGTTCCTCTGAGTTAGATCCTGGTTCAAGAGAATGGTTCGGGGGAAGCATAGGGAGCCCTGTCAGTATTATTGAATCTTCTAAATGCGGTCAACCCCAATGGGAATAGCTCCCAAGCTGAACAATTCGCTAGACCTAGGATCCCAACTCCTCCAAGCCCCGGTACTGCCTTCCAAATTTGGCCGAAAGTTAGGGTCTAAATCAGAGGAACATCGCCTGGCCCAGGAATCTTGGCCAAGGAACACAGCTAACATGATTCTCTGAGTCTGGCAATTTCTCACTTGCCCCAAGGGCCCAGAAAAAAAAAAAAAAGAGATAACCTCTTGGGGCGATGACTAAAAATGGCCAAAAGGGAAGCAACAAACGGTCAAACGGTCGGCAAAGTGAGATTCACTCTGCCCAAAAACAACATCATTGTGGAGGAGACCCCAAGTCCCAACCGAGCGACCTCCTTCACCGTGTCATTGGTGGCGATGATCGGCGTCTTCGCCTGAGGCTCATGCGAGGACCAGACGCCAAGCGCCAAGCTGGGTGCCGGACGGGGGGGGGAGTGTTGGGGGGGGGAGAGGGCGGCGGTGGCACTCACGCAGCATGTCCACTAACTTGCTCCGGATGGCTCTCATCCAAGGAAGTCGAGAAGGAAATTCTGTGGTGCTGGAACTATTTGAGCTTTGCTGTCGCTTAGAACTTAGAACTCCTTCTATTTTGCCATGGCAACACCCAACAAACAGGCTGGCAAACCAACCAGAAGCGGGACCGCAAGCGGGCACGCCCCGGTGTGAAATCGGCTCTTTGGGAGGCACGCAACAAGTTTATACAAGTTCGGCGTGTTCTGTGATGGCCCCCTCGGCAGTCTGGGAGCAACATCGGCGTGCGTATGCCAAACCCACACCGTTTATTTTGGAAAAACACACACACAGTCTTGGTCCTGTCGCGCGGCTAAATGAACAGATGTGGGAACCTGTTTAGCACGACTGTAAACTGGGGTATCGCATTTCGGGAAGATCGATCTGGTGAAACCACTGGCCCTTCTTTTGCAGTTTCAAGGAGGTGTGCATAGCGTATGGCAAAAACTTGGGTGAAAGTAGAAGTGACCCAGCTCACTTCCTGAGTGGACTGGCCAGGAAATGTCCTGGAACTTGTTATTTACCTCACCCGATAACTTGAAAGTCCATGAACTCAGGGAGTGAGAGTCAACACGCGGATTCCTCTGATCCCAGCCAAGTCTCCTTCAGCTTCCATTGACTCGGCGGCTCCCTCGCGAGCTGCACCTGAAGCTCGGCCGAGCCGAATGTTTTTTCACGCACCCAAACAAAACGACCCTACTGTAAGGGTCAGGGTACTGAGTGAGTAACTAGTAACCTCGGTTACCCACTTATTTGGCTCATAATAACAAGTCCTGTAGGTAGGTTATAACCGGTCCTGGTCAAATTCGTATGGTCAAAATTGGTCGTCAACTCCAGGGTATGGACCACAGGTTTTCGTCCATGTACCGCCAATTGCCAGAGTCAACCCCTTTGGGGTTATCCCATTGCTTGACCCACAGCTACATGACGATTCACGCACCCAACCTCAACGACCCCTACAGAACCCTCATGGGTTGATTGCACACCGATCTCGAGGTCGATTTGGCTTCATTTTCCCAGAGCCCATGTGCGTGTGAGTCCACATGAGCCAGAATCAAAGCCAGGTATTTAAATGGCCTACCCAACCAACGTAAAGAATTACGAAGGCGGCCGCACCTAAATCTGGTTGGACTATTCCTTACTGACCTCGTTTGATCGTGGCTCGCACGTGGTATGGAACTTGCCTCCAGAGTACATACGTAAACATACGCTTGATATAGTTTGAGTGTACCCCTGTTGGGGTCTGTAAAAGAGAAAGGACACCCCCCCAAAAGAGATTGTTCCAACACAAGCGTTGCTTGAGCATGTCAAAACATCGCGCAACCCTGGTATCCCAAAAAGGGTACCGAGCCTCAAGCACACGCCTGAAAAGTTTGCACGAAGCCCTCCACAAGGGGTACCCTCAAAAGGCACACCCATATATGGGCATGTCTGCTTTTCGGAGACCCCCCAAAACAGCACGGTTCCTTCTCGTGTCCCTTCAATACCTACCAAAAAGGGTATCAGCTCCAAAAAAGACACCCCTGATGGTACCCAAGGCTTGTTTTGCAGTTGCCACCCCGTTTTTGTGGGTTTCCAAGAAAAACACATTTCGGAAACCCACCCATTTTGTGGTTCCAACCTCCAAAGCAGATCTTAAGGGTACCCCTTTGCTGTGGGTGTTCAAGGGAAAACAATTTCGGAAGCCCACCCTAAAAATGACGAGCCACCCAACAACGGAGGAGACGCCCAAGACCCCCGCCAGCGACGCGCCACGCGACGCGTCACGCGACGCGCGTCTTCGAAAAGCGACGCCTCCCGCAGGGAGTCGAGGCCCAAGATGGCATCTGCATGTCCGTGGGTCAGCAGCACAGCCTCGGAGATCGGGTGTGTCTCACAGGCGTCTGCATGTGCCTCACATGTACTGTCTAGTTTTTGAAAACATCATGGAGGATCGCACAAACAAACAAACAAGCAAGCAAGCAAACAAATAAGCCAAACAAAACAAAACCCACAAACAAACAAATCGTGCTTTTACATAGTTACACCCAACCCAATGCTTTTTGTTTAGCAAGAAAGAAAAACCCGATGCCGCGAATCAAAAAGGGTGGGTGGGAAAAGGAAGACCTGAAACATACCACAGAAGTGGTTGCAATCTTCGCCCTGAATGTACTTGTTGCCCCAAGAGAAATTGGGGAGCATGAGGATCCCCAGACCACCAGTCGGATGGTCCATTGTCATTCCCTCATTCTCTGAAAGCCACAAAGGGAGCGGGTGCTTTCGCTAGTCTGAGGGTGGGACCCTATTTACGCGCAGCTTTGGCCCAGAGCCGTGTTCTTCAGAGGTCCAGGACAATCAGACTCGGTGAAGAGTGAGATGTCTCGCCCCCAGCATTTGCCCCCCAAATACGAATGAGACCTTTGGATTCTGGTCCAGATTTTCCAAACCACATGATGTCAAACAAAGTCGCTAGCAAAAAAAACACGGTGGCACCCCGCTGACGGGTCTTGGCGTCGTGCGCCAAGCGAACATTGGGGGACCAAGGCCCTTGGGGCTCTTGGAAATGAGAAAGAAATGAACATGGGGCACTTCTCAAAGTGGTCCACCATGGGTTTCCTTTTGGCCCAGCAACCATTTCGCTATGAAGCGGTTCCTCCCAAATCCCTCTCAACATCCAAATTGTGCGGCATTCATCTCCAACCGCATTCTGGTTCATGGTTCCAAGTATTCATGAATTCACAGCATACCAGCCACCGGATGTCGACAATTGGAGCCATAGACTTCGGATGGCTGACGCGAGCTTCGGTCTGATATCCTGGAGCAAAACACCGAACTGAGAGGTCAACGTCATTGATATAAAGGCCAAACAACTAGAATCGGGTTGTGAGATAGGATTAAAGCACACCCCATGATGGCGGGAGGATACTTGGCACAAAGGGGTACAAAGAAAATAACATGTCCTGATTCGTCATATTGGGTCTACCCTTTGTAAACAACTTTTGGAAATGCACATCCATCAAGGATTCCACATGTCCAACCTTCGCTGACCAACTGGGAAACTCCCGTGAGTTTGGTCATAGCTCCCTCAGGAACCCAGCAAGGTCGTCCCAATGCCCTCTGGGTCCAACCCCACCAATCCAAAGTCCCAAGTAAGGTCTTTTGACCGTGGCGCACGTGGGGTTGAGCCCTCCATACATTGTTCCGCTTGTGGGAAGATGTCTGGGGAAGGGTGTCTTGTTGCGTTGCTTGCGGGGTTGCCTCAAAATCACCAGAAAACTGGCCCCTGGTTGCGGAACCCAAGGAAAATGTTGACCTTTAGAACAACAAAACACAACTTGAGGTTTGGGTGTCAACATGAGTTCACAACGTCCACCTGAGTCATAGTCAAAACCCGGTATTGAAATGGTCTACCCAGCACCATGTAAAGAATGAAGAAAGCGGATATCTGCGGCTATTTATATGGCAAGGGGATTATCCCTACTCGGGTTTTTGGACACTTGGTACTTTTTACATGGAAAAAAACCAGTTGGTGGGCGGGTGCCGTGAGTTTCCTTCATCTACCCGCATCGGTTTTGAGCACGTGGCTCACCTCGGTGCAACAAGGCCTTCGCCAGCAAGCTACAGAGTGGCCGAAGGCCTGTGAGGCACGCCTGTGCAACCAAGGGGCATTCACGCCCTGCACTCCGAGTCGTGCAAAGTGCTGACGCACCGCCTGAGACGCACCGCCATCGGCGGAAACCGGAGGTAGGAGACTTCGGCATGTGGAACCCAACTGTGTCCACATCAAAAAACCCACCGTTATCAAATGGTTTGTTGAGTGAACTCCTTCAGGTTTTTCGGCTTCCTTGGTGCCTGGCAGACATGTGAGGTGGAAAATGCGCGTCCCCGAAACGGATCCGTGGCCAACGAGTAGACAGTCCCCAAAGAAGGCGGCCAAATGGCCCAAGAAACGGCACCAAAGAGGTCAGGAAGTTGACATTGAGTGGATTGGCCCACAAAAGTCTAAAGGTGCTGTTTCTCATTAAACTTGTCTTCCCAAGTCACTGAAGCCAACAAAAAAGGGAAGTAAGGGTTGGGTCCTCACCTCAAAGCACAAACTTCCGTGCGCCTAGCTCCCACAAACCACCTCTCGCCTCTTCGAAGGTCTTGCCACAGTCCACCAAAAGGTGCTGGGGCTCCGAATTTCGCACCGTCACCAGCATGCCTCGGGCTGTGAGTATGGATGAGTGGATGGATGGGTGGATGGATGGGGGTTTGATGTGTATATATATATACACATATTTGTGGACGGTGGATTCCAGAAAAAAAAGACTCAAAGCGCCGGATACTGATGGAGCTCATGGGAAGCTGGGCCTGAGAAACGAGGGTTTCGCTGTCCCGAGTCGGATCCGGCTTCATGAGCATCTGGGCAGAGTTGTGAGTGCAAGGACTTACAGAGCAACCAAGCGGCTCCAGCACTTACATATACATATGCACATAACTTAGCGGCTCCAGTGCAAGGACTTACATAACTTGTGTAATATAATCTACACATAGACCAAGAAACAACTGCGCGCGCAACTAGCACGTGCTTGCCTCAGGCTGAGGCCAGATGTGGTGTTTGCTTTCGGTAATGGACTCCTCCCTAGCTTGCATGCTTCTCTTGCGGATATGCCATGTTGCGGTGCCTGATGGCTTGATTTGCCTGCAGCCGCTCCGGGATGCGAACATTTACGCAGTGGATGCTTATTTGTCCGCAAAAGGGCCAAGCTAGATCCCCAAGATGCAATGAAGAGCTTCGTGGCTTTGTTTCCACGCGCCGAGTTTTATTCCCTGGTTTCAGTGGTCACTGAAAACCTCTTGCTCCAGTTTGCACATAGCTTGGCAGAAGTGGGCACAAGAAACTGCCCTCAGACTCCACTGGGCAGGATGACACCTATCGGCAACGGATGAGACCCCACGTTTTTTGCATTCCTCTGAGCATTTGGAAGCTCGCGCATTCCCATTTTTGCTGGCGCAAACCGTCCGCCCACGAAGTCTAACTTGAAAAGCCAGGAGCAGAGTGACAAGGCCAACAGCTTGGCGCAAAGTGGTCCAAGCTCTGGCAATCAAAAGAAGCACCTTCTTGGCATGTGAGCCACCGCGAGGAGTTTGCAAGGCATTGATAGGGTGGCAGTCGTTCAATGCTGTTGTTCCCCTCAATGTCCAAACTACGGCGGGCAGTGCCTTGAATGAAAGGCTGCTCAAATACACTCATGCCTTTTTTGGAGATGTAACTTGCCTGAGTCTGCTGATATGCACACTGAATCAGCAAAGATTTCCTGATGTAGCTTTCAACTGCTTTTCGCGAGCAAGCGGCTCAAGCTCCCCAGAGCCTAGAAAGTGGCGAAAAAAACACTGCGTTTTGCATTGCGGTGACTGAAATACCCCAAGGGCACATATCAACATGTGACCCAACCAGCCTCGTTCCTTTTCAAAGGCTGGTTCCCTTGGTTGCTAAGCAGGGTTTTTTGAATCATTGGGTTGGATTTTTCATGCAAAACGCCCCAACCAGACCCCTGAAACTGGCGAATCGCCCAGGCGCAGGGATTCCCCCTCCGATTCTTGGACTCCAGGTTGGTGGACGCCTGCGCAAAACACTTTTGCCGGCTTGATTCCAGAGAAAAGGTACTGGGCTGGACTCCCTCAGACGAAATGCAAACATCGCCCAAACATCTTGGGGTCCGGGCAGGGGCCCGCCCCCAAGGGAATGGAAATGAGCTGCCACCCCCACCCCCCGCCAGGAAGACAGGAGGCGCCTTGTGGGTGCTGGGGAAACAACATGAATGCTTACAAGAGAGGATCCCTCCACATGCCCACTTCCTGAGTGCACTGGCCCAAAACAGTCCCAAACTTTGACCTGCCACAACGATGGGGCTGGCAACTTTCGAGGGCGTGAATTCGGTCGAAGAGCCAACCGGATTCGGCTCACTGGCCGCGGCTCCAATTTCACCTCACCCTCCCAGCCAGGAGGAAAGTCACCTATCGGCATTTCCATAAAAGAAACTACCAGATATGGGCGTGTCCTTTTTCGGGGACCCCCCACCCATAAAAACAAGAGGTGCTTTTCTCCTGTTGGTTTCACTTCACATAAAAAGGACACGCCCATATGGTCTTAGCCACCCCAAGCAAACGAACCAACCCTACAAAACTGAGTAAAACGAACCAGCCCACTGACCCCATTTAGGCCGCATAAACCGTGTTATCTTGAACCATTCTGGGTCATTTCCCAAGGATGTAATCCCAGGGTGTAATACAAAAACCCTTATAGACTACTTATAGAGTCATTGACTCAAAGTCCCACTCTATGCTAACAGAGCCTTGGTGCGCAGAAGCCCTGTTCGGAATCCCACTTCCGTGATATGGGTATGAATTTTACCTCAGAACTCTTAGTGGAGATTGGTGTCCACCAACCACTTTGGAGGTGGTTCCAACCGTTCAAAATTATAGCCAGATCGTGATGATCCTCCCAAAAAACGGCCCCATTGGGGGGAGCTTTCTTGGGTACAAAAAGAGAAGCCAAGACCATTCCCAGATCTTGGGTTCGAAAGGTGGGGGGTCCCATCCCTCGTACCTTAAGGAGGAGGGGGTGGGGGGGGAGGGTCCCCAGTTCCATGTTCTAGCCGACTAAAAAAGGGCAGGCCCAACCCCCCCCCCCCCCCCCGCCGCCAGTTGCGATGGTTTCCCGACCCTCCTTCCCGCAACCCTAGTCTTGCCTCTTGGCAAACTTTGCACCCTGCTTCCTTCTGCAGCACATGCCTCGACAGGACACAAGAGCCCTCAAACCTGAACCCTAAAGATTTCTTGGCAAACGACGATCTCCGGGCAGAAGACCGTTATGGTGAGCTCGTGTTTACCCCCCTCCCAAATAGATGGTTGCAATTTGATGACCAAATTAGACACAATTGATTTTGCTGGGGCTGTAGCAGCATGTGCATGCCAAACAAGTGGCCCAAAATAAGAACCCTTTTGTACAGGTTAGTTTTTTGATTAAAAGGGAACAAAGTTGATCGGGGCGCCGGTGGATGCCGCCAAACACAAGAAAAGCCACAGCCAAGACAGAATTATTCCTGGGCGGGTGTGCTTATCATGTGCAGGGCATGTGCGGTATCCAATATTACTTTTCCTGAAAACCCTTCAATCGCCGGCCTTTCGCGCCCTCATCGCGACCACAGCGAGGCCAATAAGGCAAACTTGGTAACTTATGTCCATCTTACCGGCAATCACGCAAATGTTACCCCAATTGAGCCCCTTTCGCTGACCTTTGGCGATGCAGGTTCTACCAATCCTCACAACAAACAAGTTACCCGAATACGTACATTAAAGACATGAATTTGCGGACCGCCCCCGTGTGCGCTGCCGTGGCGACGGAATTTGTGAGCTGGGGTTGGGGTGCTTACAGGTTGCAGGGCATGTACGTGCCAGACATGTGCGCAGGCGTACGACGGGGTGCGTGGGCGAGTCTGCGTATCAATAACCCACGTGGGCTGGTATATCCACTAGCAAGACCATCCGCTGCGTCAACCAGTGGGAACAACCCCTGAACAAGTGCGCGGGTCGCCCTTCGTGCTCCCACAACCATCACATCCAGACCTTCAGTGGCCATGCTCTTTTTAATGGGAGAGGGGGGATTTTAAAAGGTTTTGAAGGGACACCCAGCCTCAAACAAGTTGAACAAGGGCGTGCACAAAGGCCTCATGTCTGGAGGCGAGCTGCCTCAGATTTGGAAGGCTGCTGGATCCTCCGCTGCCCACGATGACGAAGCGGCAGTTCACCGTCTTCATGGCCACAAAAAACAGCCAGTCGCAGGCTAAAAAATAAGGAGGACCGCGAACAGTGCAGGGTTCTGTTGCCTTTCTGAGTGGAACGAGTTTGGTCGGCGTGGCAACAAGGAGAAGAATCCATCACCACTGGTAGGAAGGCCATGCGGCTTTGCTTGAAAAGGTAGCCTCAGAAGGACAATCCTGAAACTGTGTAATTTTGCACGAACGAGAACTTCCTATTGTGTTTGCTTGGATTATCTTTTTTGTTTTCAAGCACATATCCAACATAGCAAAAAAGGCTCGCCACTGAGCCTAAAACAACCAACGACCATGCAGACTGAGCCTTGACACACAGACCCAAAAGCTGATGGATTTGGGGGGGGGGGGGTCTGAGGCGGGGGGGTGGGGTTCTTGAGGGGGTGGATTCTGAGGATACCTTTTTTGGAGTTGATTTACAGAAGACATACTCATGTTATGAGCGACCACTGCTAGACCTCCAGACCTCCAGCGGTTGCTTTCGAAGGGACGTTGGTGTCAATTCCAATCAGGGACCCTCTGTTGTTGGCATTTTGGCGGGCGCTCTTAAGATTCATAGCCACAGGGTTCCATTTTTGGACTACCCCGCAGTAGACTTCAACCCAGAATTGGTTCATGCCCCCCAAAACAAGACAGGTCCACTGTGGGGTGGTCAAAAGTGGAACCCCGAAAACGCCACAAACGCACCCGGCTTTCTGCGTGCCGCGGCAAGCGCGCGCCACGAAACGGGGTGAGACGGGAGGAGTTCACGTCCAGCGGGCTCTTTGGGTCGCGGTGCGCCTGGGGCCGCTGCAAGCGGATGGGATTCTTGGACCCACGAAAAGAGCGCGCCCCGACGTCTTGAGGCGCCTTCCCATTTTTCAGGGTATGTTGCGTCGGGGTCCAGGTATGCGGTTTTTTGAGAGGGCCTCTCACTGTGTTAATTACCTCCCACTGTTCAAGTGGCTCCAACTCTTAAAGTTCATAGCTCTGTTCGTTCGACCTCCGGAGTCCTTAGTAACCTTGGCTTGGCAACCTCTATCGAGGGGGTTCTCCACATGGCTTAAGATGTTCCATGTGATGCATCCGATTCATCCGATCGTCCCGCACGAGAGGGACTCCCCTTTTCACCTTCAGAAGGGGGTTAAGAAGCCAGTCGATCAGAACCAACCTGTCGAACCAAAACATGAAAACACAAAGCCCAACTTTGCAAGGTGTTGAAGGACTTTGGATGTTTTATTTCAGGATTGTCAGTAAACTGTTTTCTTCTTGGGTTGTTTCGCCCAGCGCCATGCAAGTTCCTACGAGGTTGATTGGCCGAAAGCAGTCCACACGTGTTTAGGTCCTTCTGATGACCCGTTGAATGGGTTCTAGCCCATGGGTGCCACGAATCTTCCTTTGCAAGCGAACCCATTTACCAGGTTCCTTTCAACTAAAACGAGAAAGACACCTGTCGAAGTTGCGAAACTTCACTTCTCTCCCAAAAACAAACCTTGAAACAACAAATGGATCCCCCCGCCGGGGGGAACAAACAACAAAGAACACTCCGGGTATCTCCAACAACCCTCGCCTATCTGGGCCAATCGACCCGACCATAACTGTTCAGCCGTTGGGCTGGAACCCATTTGGTCCAACTTTTAAACCTTGGAACGCCTCCTACCCCCTTACAGGGCTCCCCAAAATGTCCCCTCAAAACATCGCCTTTCTGAATGGGCAAAACACATGATGTTTGCCACCGGCAAAGGAAAATAAGTATAAAGGTGTCTCTCAGAGATAGGGGATCCCCTTTTTGGAGATGGGAAACGACATTGAGTCCTTGAAATGGGGGCTATTGTTGTTTTGGGTTTCACGACTCACCCCTGCCTTCCGGCGATCGGCGGGTCGGCGGACACCGAGGTTTCGGGCTCCCGGCGTTCAGCACATCTGGGCCTTGCGCTGGACGGCCTCGAACTGGGCGCTCTGCGGGCATCCTGACCGCTGCGATCGGATCCGATTCGGATTCGACCTGGACCCGGAAAGACCGGGACCCTGCGAAAACATTGGGGGGGGGGGGGGACTTTGCAAAAAAAGGAAAGTATGGTTTGTTTGGGGTAGTTTGGGGGGGGGTATTAGTTGGTTGATGTGATGTTTCTATTTTTGGGGGGTAGTTTGGGGGTGCAGCTAGATAGTACCTCTGTAGTAAAACCAAAGGAAGTGACCTACAAAAGTGGTCCACAGGGTGAAGGGGTATCCAAAGCCAGGGGGTTGAAGCAGGTCCAGCAACGACCGCTTCTTATGGTAGGTGTTCTTCTTTTGGTTTCTCTTCACCGCCACCTCAAAAGGGTCCCCATATTTTGAGACAGACCCATTTCAAAGTTAATGGGGTAATTCTTGGTTGCCTCGTGTAGTCGCAACCATAGGGGGACTTGGGTAAGTCTACAGAAACATGTCTGGTTGTTCAAAGCCACAAGTCGTTGCGGTCTGGAGGGTTTTGTAGACCCCTTTAGTACCGAGCGGTTTTGACTGCGATTTACACACCTGGCAAAACGTCCCGGAAAGGCTGGCTGGTTGATGTTGAAACCATTCCAACCAAAAGGTGTCCGTGGAATCCACTATGAATCAACCTGATTCAGGGGTCCCCAAAAGGAGATGTCTCTAAGCATCCGCTTTCCGGGCTTCCGTTCTGAGCAAGGCAAACCCACGTTGCTGCAGGGTATGGGTAAAAATGTTCAACCACCAACCAGCCCGCAGGTTGCAGTCCTTGTTTCCATTTACCAGGTTGCAACCCATTTTGCTGATACCCAATCTTTGTTGATCCCCAAAAAAACACAGGTTTCTACCGGGGTTGCAACCCATTTTGGGCTTACCCAAAACTGCGAGAAAACCAGCGTTACGGCGTTTAGGTCCTGCGCCCTTCATCCAGCACTTCAGGGACTCGTCCCAGGCATAGCTCACGGACTCCGGGTGCTCGAAGTCGAAGAGGCAGGAGGAGCTGCAGCTCGGGAACCTGCAGGCCCGGAGACGGAGCCTCAAATAAACAAATGGGAAGTCGGGTGGGACCCTGAAACCAAAAAAACTGCGAAGTCGCCCCAGTTGTTGGGGCAAGAATGTTTTTTTGTTGTTTTCTTTCTGTTTGTTGTTTTAATGGGCAGTTTGAGGGTGGAACCCTGTTTTACCCGGCGAAAAATGGGCGATTGCCCCCAAAATGATGCGGTGACTGGGTAGATTGCAATCCAGGTACCCTTTGTTCCAGAGTGGCAAGAACACTTTCCTCAAAAGGACAACTGCCTTCCAGCACCCCCTGATCGTCAGCTTCTATGATTGTTGGAGGGAAGGCATGCCCTGATGGGTAGTAGCTGCAGCTCTGTGTCGGTTTTTCCTCCTTCTTGGTGCATCTGTCCGCAATCCCAACTTCCAATCACGAGAGTCACAATCAAGACCTGGCAATAGGATGTACCCAACCATTGTACGTTTCAAGGGCAGCCGCATCAACTTGTGGTTGGGGCTGTCTATCCTTGATCTACCCAACGAAGCTCTTCCAACAAGTACCCGCTTCTTGCTCGTAGGCAGCCCCTTCTATGCCAAGATTTGCCACCCCCATGACTGCAATCACGTCCAAGGGAATGATCTTATCACAAGAAGACTGGGCGTCTTTGCTTGCGGGACCCCCTGTGGTTTCGGGAAAACCAACCGGAACCATGCGGGACCCCCAACCTTGGAACCGACCGGGGGTTTGGAAGCTTGGGTAGCTTCCCATTTACAAATAAAGAACCAGGGGTTCAAATCCAAATCCAGTCCCCACCAATCCAAACCGCCAACTATATCAGGGTGCCCTGAAACCCACCTGAAGATGCACTTTTGTTGGCAGAAAGGGGTGATAGCTCAAACATAACGTCTACAAACCGCCAACCAAGGGGTAACCTGATGGAATCAAGAGCCTCTCTGGGGCACCAGACATGCCATTGGCCAGCGCCTTGCGCACGTCTCGCGAGTAACTTGCCTGCGGAGCGCTCACGCGTGCGCGCAAACCACGGCCATCACAACGCGTGAATACTGCCCAAACAATGTGGGGTGACTGCTCCATGTCTAAGGGTAGTTTGACACCACAACAAGGGAAACCACTACCATCACAACGGATTGAGCATTCAAATTGAGAACAAGTCAGTTTGAAGGGAAACCGCTGAGAGCATTTTGGAGAACCCCTGTTTTCACTGAAGTTGGGTTGGGACCTCTGTTTTCCAACCACAGTTGATGGGAATTGTGCCCGGCAAGAATGAGAGGGCGCTCTAAGCGGGAACCCTGAAAAAGGGAAGCAGCTTCCATCAATTAGGGCTACAACATGTCGCAACTGCCCCCTTTCCCATATTTCTTATTGAAGCATCACCCCAACAGGAAACTCACCTTCTGTCTCAAAAGGTGATGTGTAACTCAGAAGGGAAATGCAGGGAACCTGGCTTTTGGCTTAAAAAAAAAAAAAACAAGCCGCTTCGTTCATCCGATGCGAATTCCCTCGATTCGAATTCGCCTTGCATCCGTTTGCGCCGGGGTTGCGATCGCCCACGGTCGTGGTTGAGTTGGCGCCTGGCACTCAGCTGGCAAAATATGTTATGTAAGGGCCAACGGCAAAATGTATGGATCTTCACCGGTTTTCCAGGTGACCTCGCCATAATCTGCGCAGATTTCGGGGGGAATCTCCTTTTGGGAAATGACCCTTTGTGGGCTCCAGTGAATTTGCAGGGTAGTAATTGAATCTACCCAGAAACCATAGCAAAAAAAGATGTCCATACGCTGAATCCTGCACCAGCTGGCAAGTGCTTCATCCCACTCATAGCGCTCATAGGCGTTCATCCTTCCCAACTGAACGATTTTGTCCACCCACGGAGTAGGTCCATATCTTAGGCCACCAGGGCGCACGGTCATAACAGGCAGGCTGCGCCGCAGTACCGATCCATCACCGACTTGGTGAGCGCGTTCACTTCTGGTATGCAAAGCTCAGCCTGTGCGGAGAGAGGCCAAGACACCAAACGACTGCGTCCCTTGAAGTGAACGTTGGCCCATTGAAGACCTTGAGTAATACCTCTAAGTCAACCCCAGAAACTGTAGGGGGTTCATGATTTACACAAGGCGCGGTCAAAATGATGAATGTTCCCCCAAGACATGGGAAAATCAGAGTCCAGTCCCCTCACTTCTGTGAGGCATTTCGTGGGTTCCATGTTCCTCCCAAATCTAAGACACAGACTATTAATATCAGACCGAACCTCAGGTCCTGCAAACTCAGTGCATCTGTTTCCCTTGGTGTAAGGGTTCCCTGTGCTTACCTATTAAGCTAAATGCCTCCATTGCTTAAGTCGCTTGGAAAAAAAAACATATGTCCAGTGTTGGATTCCCTTTAAAGCACCTTTAAGCTACCATTACGAAGGGTTCTCCAAGTCACTATTGAAATTGGGGGGTGGTTGGTCTTGCGTCTTGAACCACCAGTTGGCTCACGAATGAGGGCTTGCCCTGACGAATGAGCTTGGACACCTCACGGACTGAGCCCGAAATCAAACAATGACAACACTTCTGTCGATACATCACTGAATACATCACTGGAATTCCAAGTGGTCGGAGCAGGATCAGTTTGAACCCGTAAGAACATGTTCAAGCATGACACTGACATCTAACTGGACACAGCGCTGCTTTCGGACCTTTCAAGACCTTGATGCCAAACTATCAAAACATGTCGGAAGGTCTTTCAATGTGCCATGGTCAAATCAAACACGAGAAATGGCCATCCCACCAGGTCATTTTCCAGAGAGAGCGAGAGCGCTCACAGATTTGCCAGGCCAATTGTGCCTCGACCTTTGCCGACGGCTCTCTAGTCACAAGGCTGCACAAAGAAGGAACTGGCGCCGCCACAAGTATTTATCAGTCACGGCGCCACATGCAAAGTGAATGGCAAGGGCCTGCCCGCCTCCCGCCGGGCACGGGCCTCAGGCTCGCTCGCTCAGATGGAAAACTGGTCTCAGGTCATGCTCTCCTGCTTGGGAACGTCCCCATATTGGCCCAAACCTTTGAAGCCATGGGCGCCAGTGAACTTGGCAAGCAGGCTGATCATGAAAACGGCCGGCCCCTCACCTTCTGGGGGACCGCCACAGGAGCCACAGGCGTGGGCGCATCCAGGGATGCAGCACCAGCAGCAGGGAGGCGGACAACAGGGAAAGCCTCCGTTGCAGCACTGACAGCAACACACCTTCGCAGGTCCTGGAAGTTGGGTCCAAATCATATAGCCTCCAGGTCCGTGGCCGATCTTCACATTCATGGGTTGTGGCATGGGTGGCGGGTCTGCCTTGTCCTTGAAGGCCTGGGCTTGCTTCCCTTGGAGCACCGCCAGCGCCTGCGTGGCGCAATGCTGGCCAGCGGCCGTGAGGCGGGAGGTGATGGGGTGGCCAACCACCTTGGTGGTGGTGATTCCCACCCCAAAGACCTCTGGATGAGAGGTGGATTGGAGGCAGTCGTTGGTGACCAACGCGCCCCTGCCATCCAGGATCTCTTTCGAGGAGACCAACATGCCGGTGTTCGGGCCAATCGGATAGCAGGGGATGTAGACATCGAAGTCCACGGACTCTCCGTCAAGCTGAAGGGAGCCAGGGCTCAGGATGGCATCCGAAAACCTGGGATCTGACACCGATCCATGCTTTATCTCGATTTTGAACTTGTTGGTCAGGACATCGGTGACCTTCTGCACCACAGCGGGATTGGGGCTGGGAGCTTTTTCTCCAAAGTCTGTGTCCAGCACCGTGCCCGAGCGAGAGAGCAGAATCACTCGCGCTGAGTATCCATTGTTCACGCGGAAGTCTCCACACATTTCCTTACAAGTTGGCCCAAGCACCCTCAAACATCATAAGCGATGCAAATGACATCAGTGCACATGAATCTGAATGATCCTCAATGGACTCTTTTCCGCACAACATCATCCACATCTGGTTCACCACAACATCCCAGCACCATGAGCAGAAAATGGTCAGAACCAAACAACTGGAACAACCAATTTTTCATCATCCACATCGGAACCATCGATTCCGAAGACTTCCACCAAGCCTCGACCCCTACCAGGCCCGAGCCATTGAACACCACCGTCTTGGCGTTCCTCATTGCCTTTCCGCAGGCCTGGACCTCTGAGATCCTTTCGGACAGGGACATGCCGGGACTGGGGGTGATCAGAGGAGACTTGCTCCCGGTGGCCAGGATCACGGCCTTGTAGGAGATGACTGCTGAGGCATCGGGACCTCGGTCCATCAGCTTGATCTCCTCGAGATCCGTGGCGAATGTCATGTGAAACTATCGGAGGGCAAATCATCTGAACAGGTGTACAAGATCGGAAAGGTATGGGCAAAATGACTCCTCCCCATCCCACGAGCCCAATCCAATCCATGGGAGATGAAATCATCCATGGAAGCTCTTCCGAAACGGTCCGGTTTCACCAAGGGACATGGTTGAACAACTTGAAACCAACCCTTCAGGACGGGCTGAACACCCCAGATCATCTGGAGACTCTGTCAAAAGCAATGGTGAACTTTGGATGGACTAGAATCCCTCCATCATTAGAGTTGGGCAACCATCTATAGAATCCAACCCTTCATGGTCCTTCTTGTCACAGTCGATGGCTTCCACAGAGCTCAGGAAGTACTGGACATTCGGCCACTTTTGCTTGAACTTCTCTGGCACACCACACACCCATTTCTCGTGCTCACTTGGCTTGTTCAAGTAGACCGCTGCGGCCAAAGGCCACTCCTGGAAGGTAAGCCACGTCCATGGGCCATGGGAAAACAGTACGACAAAATCAGGTAACGCCATCCGCAGGCCTTCTTTCTCCCCGTTTGTTATGTTTCTTTGTTTTGGGGGGGCCTTGTCAATTAAGAAATGGTTGAAATGGAGACTCCTGAAAAGTGTAGCCATAGATGTAGGCCACCTTGGTATTCTTGCTCTTCTTCGCAATCTCCTCCACTGCATGGAAGGCTGCTAAGCCTGCCCCCACCACTGCGACATCAAATGCGGCCATAATAAAGAAGGACAACCCCAGCTTCCAGGCTCACAAGTTTCGACGAGCTTGAAGTGCAGCAGATGCGGCATACGGAACTGTCACATAGGTGGCCTTTTGGAAAAATCGCTGGCCCTGGGTGGACTAAACCCCCGCCTCAACCAGTGCCATCGGTTGAAAATCCCCAGCAACCCCCCCCCAAAAAGAAGCTCAGGCCACGTCCCTAGCACCACACCCTCCCCTCGCGGAGCCGCTTCCCGGGGCTCTGAAGCCTTCAGCATAGGTCCCTCAAAGCGAAGGCTTCACGGTGGAATCGGAGAGACGGCTCAGCGAAGTCGGCATAAGCAAAACCAGCGGCACGCAAGGGAAAAACCACCAGTCCAAGCCATCCATACCTCCATACCTCCGGCTTTGCTTAGGATGCCGCCTTGTAATTGTATCAAGCAAAGCTGGGCGATGCGTGCAATCGGGCCCCCGTTGATGCAAGCGGGCCGGGCCGGTTTTGCTTAGGACACCGCCTTCTGGCTGTAAAGTAAAGCCAGGCCGTGTTTTCCCAATGACTTTGCCCTGGTGTTTTTTTTTTTGGTGGAGCGAAGTGGACACGCTTTTGGTGCTTGGAGCTCCACCTCGCAGAACCTCGCAGAACCTCGCGGAACGCTTGTGGAACGTTTGTGGCACTTTGTGGCACCCACCACAGGGCCGCCTCAGACCCCATAAGCCTTCGCAGAACGTCGCACTGCCCCGCCCGGGAGCCTATCTGGGCTGAGACGCCAAAGCTTGCAGCTGGGGAAAAAACAAACTATATTCAGTCACCAACGCAAGGAAGGAAGCTGAGGCATCAGCGAGCAAACAGTTCCCAAATTGTTCCTAACCACTATCAACCATGCCTTGCAAATAGTTGAGAATGGAAAATAATGTGGGAATGTTCAACAATCAACCATCCCCAGGTTACCCATCAATGGGCCACCTTCCCCATTTGGTTTCAAAAGGAACCAGGGTTCAAAGTCTCAAACCTGTCCAAATCACCCATCAAGGGTTCTTCCGAAGCCCACGGCCACGTCCCTGAGGTCTGCGGGCCTTGCACAGCGTCTTCTTCCTTCGGATCACCAGGTTTTGCTCCACGTGGTTGATGCAATGGCCTGTGTCTGTCGCGTGTCGTTGGAAAAACGGCTTGGGCAAAAGGGCGTCCTGTTTGGGAGCTTCCGGAAGGAGGTGGCCAGGGCTCCTTTTGGAGAGCCCTGAGCTTTCAGGGGAAAAACAGACTCCGTGAGAGCTGCAAGCATGTTGCATCCGCATGGATCCGCTTCCGCATGGATCGCTTGAGGCGCCGGCTGGACTCGCGGAAGCACTTCTCCTTGCTGTCCCAGTAGTAGGAGATGTTGCTGGGATGGTAGTAGTCCTGTTGCAAGAAATCCTCTTCTCGGCACCACCGGTGGTGCAAGATAACCATCCACACCGAACGCCCAAGAACCTCACCGTTTCACTTCAGATTTCCATAGAAGTGGCACCTTTGGACTGAAAATGGGAAACCCATTCGTGTCTATCTTTTGGGGGAACCTGAAAACCAAAGGACAAACCAAAGTCTCTCTATTTTGTGGTGGGGGGGGCAAAGAAGACACACCCATTCTGACCTTTTCGTGCTGAACCCAAGGTCCAATCACCCTAGCACATTATTGGACTCGATGATGGTTGCGGGTTGCTCGACGTCGAATTGATCGGAAGGGTACAACATTGACCTTTGAGAAACGCAAAGACCCTGCTACTTGTTCTGTTTCGTGCCGAACTCAAACAGGGTTGCTCACAGAGTACACAGGCACGCTGCAATGCTCTGACTCTTTTGGGGTTGAACTAACCTTCCAATATATGTGGGACGCTTGTTCGGGAAATCACTTGCCAAATGCCAATCCACTCTATGGACGACCCTAGGTGGCCTCGAGACCCCAGTAGAAAATGAAAATATGGCACCCGCCATACGGATCGAGTGAGCATGACTTTTCCTGCAAAGCCGCCACCAGCCTGCTGTAGCATACGATTCCCATTTTATACGATTGCCATGTTTTGGGGGCAGTAGGACCATTTGCTTGTGGTCATATGGCGCATATGGTGGGTCTGAATATTTGAGGGGCCTCATTTCCCTATGGTCGTTTGGGTTTCGAAGAAAGATGTCTGGAGTCAATTCCAGTCGGCCAATTTGACGTGCTTTCAAGCTTCACGCCTTAAGCTTACGGTCATCACTTCCTCTTCTTACCCTTGTTTCGGGAATAGCCTCATTTTGCCTGCGCAGCGTGTCCGAAATACCATCCCCCTAAACCGCAAGCAAGGATGCGCTCTGCCGAGCGGCAAAAAGACAAGGCGATCCACAGTGGTTGAACCTGGGCCGAGCGAGACCGTTCCTGAAGCCTCGCTTTCTGGTGCGAAGCGCGAAGAAATCATAGCGCCGTCCGAGAACAACACGTTGCACTTTGCTTGGTGGCCATAACTTGTTGGTTTGCGGGAAAACACGCAACCTACTCATGGGAAATCACCAACTATGTGAGGGCACCCCTTTTGGATGAGTTTTGAAGGGAGACCAAACGGCACCCCGTGTTGAGACACACCCATATATCATTCGTAAGGGCACTGTGCTTTGCCGCCCTTTCGTTGGGAAACGATCTTCTCCGCCCTTTTGGTGCCCGATCCCGGAGCATGCTCGCAACTATGACAAGGCATTGAAACATCCTAGGTGAATCATCCCAACAGCTTGCAACCCAGAAATGGTGACCACTTCTAAGAGGACCCCGAAACAATCCCAATGAAGAACCTCGTTTTCGGAATTGATCCCAATGGGTGTGTCTGTGTGTCTGTTTGTTTGCGGCAGTGAAACACAGGCTACTGGCAACACCCTGGCATGATGCCTGAGCATCATGCATCAACGCGTGGCATGGTTGTCAAACATGTGCATGCCAAAGTGGTTGATTCCCGTTTAACCATGACTATGGTATCTTCAAGGGTTCAATTCCTTGGCCAATGACAACCTGGAAACCTTTAAACCCGATCATGTGCCCTTGCGTGCTCCGTGTCGCTCATGGCTTTCCGCTGCAGGTCCCGAGTCGTTTTGCAGGTTCCCAGGTTTGAGTGCTTCGTTTCAACTCAGACGGTGCGCCGGAAAACGGTAACGCCGCCTCCCCCACACACAAAAGAAAGAGAGAAGAAAGAACCAGTTGCAAATCCCAAATCGACACACAGCTTTGCTCTTTCCCTGCCCCTCAAACAAGCCTAAAGTCCCACCAGCCTTCCGCAGCCTCCCTGAAAGGATACACCCAACCAATCACCGGGATGCAGAAATCCCTCGAAACATCCGGAAAAGGCGACGAACTTGGCAATGCATCCTTTTTCCGGACCCGTTTTTTTCCTTTTTCCCGGTTTCCCGGTTCCACTTCGTTGCCGTTCCCGTTGCTTCCGTGTCGGGAAGGCCCGAAGGTTTTCGAGGCTCCGGCATGAAGTTGGCCAGCGCGCGGCGCACGAAGGGCGTGGTGGCCTCCTCGCAGCTGCGCGCGTTCTCGGAGAGGTCCACGGCGTAGCTGTTGAGGTCTCCTGGGCAGTCAGAAAAACGTCTCTCCTCTAGTCCGGTCCTCTCTAAACCATCTGGAGAAAACCGGGGAAAGTGGGGGAGCAGTCCGAAAAACCAAGAAACACCTACGGTCTCTGACCAGAAAAGGTCTCTCCTCTAGGGGAACTGGGGGGAAGCGGTTCACTAGTCTTTCAGAGGGAAAGGTCTCCTCCTACTCTCTAAACCATCTTGAAGATGCAACCAAAAAAAAGAAACTGGGGGAAAGCGGTCCAGGCGGTTCAAGATTCGGAGGAAAGGTCTCCTCCTTCGCTCTAAACCATTTGGAGGAAACCGCCGGGGAAACTAGGGGGAAGGTGAGGGTCTCGCCTTGGTCTCTCCCAAAGGACAACTGGGGGAAAGCGGTTTGCCAGTCTTTCAGAGGGAAGGTCTCCTCCTTCTCTCTCCCAAGCCATCTGGAGGAAACCGCCAGGGAAACTGGGGGGAGCAGGACTCCTGTGGAGTTGAATTTGCAGGTTTTGTGTCCACTCCAATGGTTGTCAGTGAGTGCTTCCCAGAGCAACTCACCGCTTGAAGATGCAACCAAAGAAACTGGGGGAAAGCGGTCCAGGCGGTTCAACATTTGGAGGGAAAGGTCTCCTCCTTCTCTTCAAAGGGAATCGTTTCGAGGAAACTGTCCAAAAAACTGGGAGAAGGCTGGGGGAAAGCGGCAAGAACACCATTTGAGGAAATCGAAAGGACCTTGAAATCGTACTTCCAACGATTAAACATGGATTTGGACGCGCGTCGATCCAAGCTTTTGCAGGAACAACACATCCATTGGTTTGGCTTTTCACAGGTCGAACCCGCGCGGCGATTTAAGCAACAGAAACCAAAGGAAGCCGCCGTAATGTGTCTGTCATGGAAACTGACACTGGGTCCAAAGGCTCGTCGGAGTTCTGGTGCCATTTCAAAGGAAACCCGGTCGCAAGTGAAGCACCCTTCAGAATGCCCCGTCCGGTCGCATTGCTTGGATGGTTCTCGGTCCACGTGTCAACCCAAATGGGGTGAAATGTTCGGGGCAACGGGGCAACGTGCGTTGCTTCTTCTTTTCGGAGGTTTCAATGCAAAGTTCAAAAATTCACCAGGTGTCCATCTGGAAAAAAATACGTACAAACCAAGCCAGGTTTACTGTTCAAAGCTGGTGAAAGAGTCTACCTGGACCCTCAAACTCCTGTAACAGTTGGCTTTTGCCAAAATAGGGGGGATGCCCCCGTTCTTTGGATAGCTTGAGAGTCCAGGTACTCAAAAGCAGTGGTAATTACAGAACTCAAGGGCCGCACCGACTGGTTGGGCCTCTCCCGACGATCCTTCTCAAATCGACAAGCGGAGCGAAAGTTTAAAGTGACCCGCATCAAAGTAGCCATGGAAAACCACCCCCAAGTCTGGCTGTCGAGTCACTCCATAGGAATGTCGATTGGCACTATCTTTGCTGGGCACTTTCCGACTTGGGTCTCGGCCGAAACAAGAAACCAGAAACCGGCGACGTTGCGGGTCACACGGCCTTGAGACACCCGGATCGAGCGGATCAAGACCTTGCTTTCGCCGAGCCGCCGCAGTAGCCGATCATCGTGGCGTTGGAAATCGACGGCTTCTGGTGGAAGAGGCAGTCCTGGCGGCCGAATCGAAACTTCCAACCCGTCGGGTTCCAATGGGAAAGCCTACCTGGACCCTCACACAAACATCTTGGGGCAATAGTCATAGTCTTCCCGACTAAGAAAATGAGAGGGAACTACCCCAAATGTTTTGGGCAGTATCCGACTTTCATGGATACTTTGAGGGTGTGCAGCTACTGGAGATGAGAAAATGAGGCCTTTTTCCCCCTGACTTTCGTGGTTGGCTGACCATAGGCCGACCGAACCTCACGTGAGCTCCATTCAACCCTCCCGGATGGTTGATGCCGTGCATGCTTCCTGAGCACTGACCCCCTAGTAAAGGCATAGCAAGAGAGCCGTGGGAAGGTCATGGCGCTATGGCTCTGAATCAGTATCGCTTCACCCTCCCCCCCACCTGAGTCAAACCAAAAGAACACAAATCCCTACCCTTGCATGCAAGCCTGCTTGACTTGCTGGGTTGTTCGAAATGAAGGGGTAATCCCCACTCCTATCCGAAAGTGTGAAGTGAACCACGCCAATCTAAGGACTGAATTGGGGCACCACCGTCCCTACTTGAGTGGACTGGCCAAAAGAGTCCAAATTGTCGTTCCTGCTTGCCACAAGGATTAAAGTCCAGCATCTCAGATATTGAGCTACCCGGATTTGAGGTCTGCTTGTGCTCCCAGCAAGCGGCTGCGGGGCAGTCCTGCGTCGTAGTGGTAGTGATGGTGGTGGTGATGGTCGTCGTAGTGTCGGTGCTGGTGCTTGTTGTCTCGGACGCAACAAGAACAAAACCGGGGGCAATCAGGGGCAATCTACTCGGGACTTCCTTGACCCAATGGTATTTTAAATATTCTAAAACCTGAAATCCCCCAAGTTGATACACCAAACTGAAAGTTGGACCGAGCATCAAATGAGAACTGCGAATCATCATAGTGCTCGCGTCTCTTTGATCTTCTTTGCAATAGGAAGGTGACAGTCACAATGCGCTATCGCTGTCCTGCAAATGGTTTGTCTCAAACAGGGGACCGGGACCCTCCAATGGTTTTCCTGTTGGTTTCCTTTTGAACCAACCAAAAGGGGGCTCCCTCACAAATAGACACAGCCCAATTGGACACAGAAGCCATGACCAGCATGTTCGCAGGAATCTTCTTCAAAAGAGGACCCGCTTTTTTGGTTCCATGTCATCTTAAAAGGGATGATTTATTGCACCCGCCTATTCAGTTTAGCTTGGATCCGCTGAACGAACAAACCTTGAACAGGCCGTGGTCCAAATGGATGTTTCTTGAAATTGGAAACCACCTCGTGGCTTCTCTTTTGAACCCAGCAAAAGGGAGGCTTCCCCACATGGGACATTCAGAGCTCGCCTCCCAAACTCTCCCACTCTGAGCATTCCGCCGTGGTGGTTTTGGTTGAAGTGGTCGTGGTCGTCGAGGTGATTGTGGTGGTGGTGACGGTGGTGGTCGATGTCGTCTGCGGAACCCGAAAAGCACCCGTCGTGTGCGGAACCCGAAAAGCACCCCTAAAATGATTCATAATCAAAACGGGTATTAAAATGGCTTCAACGCCAGGTAAAGAACTAAGAAGGCGTCAACCATTTATTGTCGGGACTGCCGACGAACCTTCATCTACCGGGTTTTGACTGTGGCTCAACGGGAAGGGGAATTCTCCCAAACTGATAAATGCGATCTTGCCACTGTTGGGATGCTTCTCCCATTGGGACAGTCAGGGTAGTCCAAGGCTCCAGGTGGTCGCTTTCCTCTCGGTTTCCCTTTCCACATCATCTAAAAAAAGCCCGCTTTTTTTTGGGAGAGAAACACCAACCACGACTCGTGGCCCAAGGCCCTCAGACCCGCTGAGGGACGGACCGTGGTGGTCCGCGTCGTTGTACTGGTGGTGGTGGTCGTGACGGTCGTGGAGGTGGTGGTCACAGTAGAGGTGGTGGTGGTCGAAGTAGACTCAGATCGACAAGTAGAAATGGACCCTCTGGCGGACATCAGCAAAAATGGGAGGGTTTTATCCACCAACAATTTGTGATTGTGCATTAAATACTGGAACCAGTCCTGTGTATCAGGGGATTGGACATGTTTGGATGGGAGGTATAGCCATATTTAGCGGGATTCCCATTCCAGACCCCAAGTGTCAAATCCGCAGAGATACCGCCGAGTAGTCAGCTCCGCAAAGTTCCACGCATTGCAGGCTGACGCCCTCTTTCAAAACCAAGGCTTTCGACCAAACTTCTAACAACATCCAAGGAGGGTCAGGATTTCGAGCAAGAGCCACAAGCACCTGGTACTATACGGGTCTGCCCAACACGATGTCATCACCCCTTATTTTGGGGCAATCGCATTTCTTTATGGGTAGTTTGAGGGTCCAGGAATAAGCTCCAAAAAGCACCACCTATGGATGAATTGCCCTGGATGGACGAAAGCCGCAAACCGCAACAGCTGGATGGATGACACCCGAGTTGAGTGGGGGAACCCACCTACGTCTCGGGCTGCGGCCGTGGTGGTGGAGGTGGTAGTGGTGGAGGTGGACGTCTCCGTGGAAGTGGTGGTGGTGGAGGTGGAGGTGACCTGAGTCCAAATTTGAGTACCACAAATTCTCCAAATTCTACAAGATGTGTTTGGGGTTTACAGGGTTTGGGGCTTGGGGTTCAGCTCTGGGTTTAAATGCCATCTTTCCAACAACCTTTCGAGTGGGGGGTGTCTGGCCCCAAAAGAGAAGTAGTCTTCCAACACCCGATTGTCAGCTTCCATGATGGTTGAAGGGAGAATACTGCTTCTTTTTTAGGGTCCGGGCTTAGGGTTTGGACTCCCTCTTCCAACATCACACACCTAAAGGAAACTCACTTCAAAACGCCCCATGCTGTTTAATATATCCAAGAGGCGCATAGACCCACGCATGGTTTGGGGCGGCGCTTGACGTCGTTTGAAGGGGGCTCGGTTGATCCCGAGAAAATCGAGGAACGCCCTCTGCTCCCAATGGAATACAAATACCACGACGCCCCGACTAGACCTCCAAAGCTTGTAGGATGCCTTCCCTGAAAGCATCACCCCACCTGAAAAGAAAGCACATATGGCCATGGGTCAAAATCAAAATCGTTCCCCCAGTGAACATCCCAATCCCCACTTAAATAGACTAAAATGGGTGGTGCACCTACCATTGGTTTTGACCCACAGCCATATCTACAGTGTCCTTGCAGCAGCCCTGGTACCACGGGCTCCTGCTTGGGCAATTGGATACCCCCAGCCCGTCAGCTCCCTTCGAACCACCAGCTAGATGCCAAAATGGACTTTCTGAGAGATGATGCTCAACTCAAGAAGGTGGGAAGAGCCGTCCCCTGTTTCCCCATCCGGGAGTTTCACCAAAACAGGTGGAGGCTGGGTCTGTTGCCGCATGGATCGATCTAACCTCTGAGCCTTGGGGTTCTTTTCAGCGCCAGGGGCTGAATCAAACGGCTGCGGGGGCGGTGCCAGGACTTGGGAATCAAAGGTGGTCGCCTGGGGCCACGAAATATGGACGAATCAAAGCCTAAGCGGTTGATTCGTTTTGGGCAAGTGAGCCGGGTGTTGGGACATGGGATCCTAACCTCCATTCGATCCAAGGCCGAAGCAGTCGTGGTGATTGTGGAGGTCGTCGTGGTACTGGTGGTGATGGTGGTGGTACTCGTTGTGGTAGTCGTGGTCTGAAGTTGCGCGAGAGCGGGAGCGAAAAAAAACACATCAACTCCAACGGTTGGAAGCGCAGTGCAAAGGACTTGCACCCAACTGCCCTTGATGATGCGGACATCACCTCGAACTGGTGGGGCAGTACCCCTCAAACGATTTTTTAAAATGAAGAACACCACCTCCAAATCGTGAGCAATATGTCCAATCTTTAAGGGAACTTTGAGTCGATACAGGGAGTCGCAGGTTGCGAATTGCAACTGAATGTGTGATACCACGAGGCACTGACGAAACAAACATATTCACTTCAAGGCCCTTCCCGTCTGAGGGCGCCAACCATTTCCACCCGCAGGCTTTCGACGAAGGTTGGTTTAAACAACATGTGTGGCCCCCTTGAAATCGAAACCAGGAAGTTTAAACAATATGGATGCGTGGCAACAGGGCCCCCCCCCCAAAAAAAAAACGGGAGGTTCCTGCTGGTGTCCCTTTCCAACCTCACAACGGGATACCCTTCCAAATAAAAACAAGCCACGTCTTGGTTCAAACCGATTTAAGCCGGTGGTTGAATCGCCTGACTGTCTGTCTCCGAGCCAGGCGCCGTCTCTGTGATGGTGGAGGTGGTGGTGGTGGTTGTGATGGTGGTGGTGCTGGTGGTCGTGGTGCTCGTCGTCTAAGCGGACGCACGAGCACATGCCACGGAAATGAGGCGTTTGGCGCTGACCACTCGAAAGACCAGTCCCCTTTAGGTACACTACCCCAACATCCACCATTTTGGCTTGCATCGTGGGGTATTGAGGCAGACTGTCGGCCCTTTCGAGGTTCCAATAATCTTAGGGTCAAGCCATGTCTCAAGAAGCCGCAAGAGGACCGTCGGCTGTTGTTGAGGGAAAAAACGTTTATGCAGGCGGTTGACAGGGAAACAGGCGGAACACCGCTTACCCATTCTATTTCTTGGAGGAAGCTCGCACTCTTGGAAGAAACCACAAACACAAGGAATTGGCCAGCTAAATGTCCCCCCGCCCAATTTCCCATGGCAAACGAGGAATTGGGATAACAGTCCAGCCGCTTTAGTTTGGGTGGGATGAGCGCCAAACATCTACCTGAAATAGGTCAGTTCAAAGGTCAAAGGGAAGCATGGACCAAAATCCCTTCAGGGTTGATGACAATCTTTAGCGAGCAAAGGGTCGTTCGATTGGCTGGAATTGCTTCTAACAGGCCTCGTCTATCTCTGGTTGTACCAGGTGTCAATAGGAGGTCTGGAAAAATGAGAAACTCCTCTGGGCGTGCTCTCCCCTTTGCTTTTCCCTCACCAGATGTCAAACAGGATATCCGCACCTTGGATGGGGCACCCAGGCGCAAGAATGAGAAGAAGCGGAACGGACCACGTTGCATCTGAGTCGAAATTACAACCTGGTCCAAAAAAGGTCTATCCAAACCCGCGTAAAGAGGCAAAGCGGATATCCGCACCTATTTGTGGCAAGGGGACTGTCTGAAAAAGCCTTCACTTGCTCTGCCCAATTCCATACACCCTCCCGCTTTGGAAGACGCGACTCCATTTCCAGTGGCCTTCTGGGAGCTTCATGTGCGTCTGGTACCCCGAATCCACCGGATCCAAATCGGCTCGGCCGACTCCGGCGGCTCCGAGGTCGGCACTGTCACCGTGGTGGAGGTCGAAGTGCTGGTGGTCGTAGTCGTGGAGGTGGTCGTTGTGCTGGTGGTCTCGGCCGGTCTTCCGTCTTCGGGGGGGGGGAAAAAAAACTCTTCAAACCAAGATGTGGCCTTTGCCGGTTTCCGGTGCCAAAAACCAGAGACGGAGGCTGATGGCCCTTTCTGAGGCCGCATATGCTGTGACCCTGGGAGACGCGTTTGCTTGCTTGTTCGAATGTGTTCTGGACCGGAGGTCCATAGTGTTGATGGACAATCGCCGATTTGTTCCTAGGAACTGGTGTAGGATGTTGTCCATCCACAGTAGGCTCACATTCGAAGGGAGCTGACATGATTCATTGTTCTGTTTCGGCAAGTCCAAGCAAGCAAGAAAAAAGACGCACCCCCTGTCTATGACATTGGAAAAACAACTCCATCATGGTTTCTGTGAGAAAGAAACCCCGTGAAAATCGGCTCTCCCAAAATCCCTGCAGGGGTCCCGCCAAATCCGCGTCTCCGACCTCCGGAGGCTTCCGGGGGCCCGGGCGGTGCTGGTGGTGGTGGTGCTGGTGCTGGTGCTGGTGGTCGTGATGGTGGTGCTGGTCGTCGTAGTGGTGGACTGGCAAACGGAGGCACTCTACAGGGCCCACTTTTGCTGATCAGATGCCAAAATAGCCAGCAAAGCAGGGAAAGGAGGGAAAGGAGGGAAAGGGAAAGGAGTTGGTTGAAGGGAAACTGAGGTCACTGTACACTTCGTCCAAAGGAAAATGAAGTGTCATTAGTCATTAGTTTCGTCTTTTAGGACAATAGAACTGGTCGCCAAAATGGGAAGAGCAACGAGCTAGGTTGGAGTTGGGCACCTCTCACAAACAGTTCGTGGAAGGGTTGTTCCATGCCGCTAACTACCCTTTAAATTGAGAGACCGTTGTTAGTTTGAGGGTCCCACAAAGCAACAAAACCTCATTCACTATTCAAATCCTATTCTTGGGCTAACAGGGGACAACCCAACGTCCAGGGGAGTGGCCAGATGTGACGCGCGCTCGAAAAGACAAGCAGAGCGTGGCTGTGCTTGTTGTGGTGGTCGAGGTGGTGGTGGTTGTGCTCGTAATGGTGGTGCTGGTCACCTCAGCAACCAAAACGCGGAGCAAGGAGACATGACCCCCCAACCAGCCGACAGCTAGCAAATGGGCTATCAAACAACCAGCCATTTCACAGCCATTGGGGATGGGGCGGGGGGGGGTTGGAGCATGTGTGTGTGTGTGTGTTCTTGTCAATTCGGTCGCTGGTTCCAGTGGCTTCAGTCTTTGCTGTGTTCCAAGACCATCTTCTTGGACCCTGAAAGCACCAGAAATTGGCGGGGTGGGTGGGTGGGTGGTGTGGGTGGGTGGGTGGGTGGTGGGTGGTGTGGGTGGGTGGGTGGGTGGGTGGGTGGGTGGGTGGGTGGGGGTGGGTGGGTGGGTGGGTGGGTGGGTGGGTGGGTGCGTGGGGGTGGTGGGTGGTGTGGGTGGGTGGTTGGGTGGGTGGGTGGGTGGGTGGGTGGGTGGGTGGGTGGGTGGGTGGGTGGGTGGGTGGGTGGTGGGTGGGTGGGCAGGCGGGTGGGTGGGTGGGTGGGTGGGCTTGGGTGGGTGGGCTGGGTGCTGGGTGGGGGCTGGGTGGCTGGGTGGGGGCTGGGTGGCTGGGTGGCTGGGTGGCTGGGCTGGGTGGCTGGGGGGCTGGGTGGCTGGGTGGCTGGGTGGCTGGGTGGCTGGGTGGCTGGGTGGCGGGTGGGGTGGGTGGGTGGGTGGGGTGGGTGGGGTGGGTGGGGTGGGGTGGGGTGGGTGGGGTGGGTGTGGGTGGGTGTGGGTAGGTGGGGTGGGTGGGGTGGGGTGGGTGGGGTGGGGTGGGGTGGGGTGGGGTGGGTGCGGCGCGGTCAAGGCTAGCCTGCAGACGCCTTTCGTGCGGCAGGGCCGCGTCTGGGCCGCGAGCTCGTGGAACTCTGCCTCGCTGAGGACGCGGGAGCCGGCGATGGTCACGCCGCCGTAGACCTTGCCGCCCATGCCCAGCCACACGCGGAGCGCGTGCCTGGTAGCCCGCAGTTCCAATCTTCTTGCCGCTCAGCACAAGGTCCAGCCACGGCTGCCGCATCACCAGGAGGCGATCTCCCACCGCAGGAGCGCTCCCGTCCGCCATGAGGCTTGAGAACTTGGCCGCGAGAGGGACTAGTTGCAAGAGCTGTAGCTACTCAGCTGAACAAAATAGCTGCGGCGGCCGCGAGATCGCGACGGCTGGCAAAGGCCGGGGCTCAAACGGCCGACTTCCGCAAGCCGACTCCAAACTCCGAATCGACGCCCTCCGCTTTTCTCGCGTCGCCAATTCAGGCAGTCGCCCAGGCAAGGCCCTCCCCTCGCAGCCTGAAGCGCCTCGTTAACTTTTTCCAAAGCCACGGCTCCCGCACCGTTCAGGCCGCGCCTTGCTTGCTTCAAGGCCTGCGGGCCAATAGATAGAGCAGAGCGCGACGCTGCTAGCGCTCTCGAACTCGCAGCCGACTTCTTTAAACAAGGTCTTCAACGGTCGCTGGCTTGACGGTCTTAAGGACAAGCCGCTTGCCTGAAGACTGCGACTCGGCCGTTTTCACTCGCCGCTGATGTCGTCCTCCCACGCCCAGCAATTGTTGCTGAGGTGCCACCAGCGCTTCATTGAAAAGGGGTCGGTCCACAGCGGCGAACGACGGTTGACGCGGCGGCTAGAGAGTCTCAATAACAGAGGCCCGGGCATTCCAGACCCCACTGGCGCAGCAAGCGCTTGCGCGCGGGCCAGCCAGGCACCTGCCGAGGCCAATCCCAGCAGCGCCCGCCCGTTGCCCCGCCCTATATAGCGCCGCCTCGCAGAGGCGCGCGCGCGCAAGTCGGCCGACGTGGTCGGGGGTTCCGCGGCGGCCTGCCGCGCAGTCCGAGGGGCGAGCGGCGCCGCTTCCCGCCCAGCCTCGAACTGCCGGACCAGGCTCCAAAAGTACTTCTCCAAGTCCCAGCGGCCGCGGAGAACAACTTAGCATTTGCGCCGCGATCGCGATCGAAGCTCGGCCGGAAAAGCAAGGCCCGCGCTCTGCTCCGACCAGTTGGCGCCTGGCAAGACGACCGCGGCGCGAGCACTCTCGGGAAGAAAAGCCGGGGGCCCTCAGCTTCTGGCGCTTCGAGCTCAGGCAGGCCGTCGAACATGACCTGCTCCTGAGCGCGCCGCGCTCAAGCGCCGCTCGCAGCTGGCTCTGAGCCGGCGGCTTGGGCGTACGCGCCGCTCATCGTGCCTGGTCAAGGGGGACGGGGGGGAGACTGCAAAGCTGCCCCGCCTACGCGGGCTGCTCGAACTGCTCGACGCGTTTCAAACTTTAGACAGGCGGAGCCGAAAGTCGCTCTGCGGAGCCAAGGGCGCTCGCCCTTGAGACAAAGAAAGCGGGAGCCCGTGGAAGAGCTTGCTTCCGGGCCTGCGAGCCAGCGGATAAAGCGAAGCGCGGCGGCCTGGGACGCGCCCCCATTCCGGCCCGCGCTGCCTCGACGATTTCTTCAAGCCCCCTGGGCTCGTCGCAGGACCTGCGGGCCAGTCGATAGAGCGAAGGCTGCGCGCAAGCCCTCTCAAGCAAGGCCCGAAGCGCCTTGCGAACGTTTCCCGGAGCCACGAGCGCCGGACCCTTCAGGCCACGCCTCAGAGCTTGCTTCCGAGCCTGCGGGTCGACCCGCTGAAAAGGGGGGGCCCTCTTGGCCCTTCCAAATTGACTCATCAGCTCCCTGCAAAGCGCTCTTCTTCGAGCTCTTCCTCCTCTTCTTCGAGCTCTTCGCCGCAGCTTCCGCTTGCGCGGCAATCTCCAATGCCCGAATAGCCGAATGATTCTGGAACACCAGTTTTGCCAATTCTTCCTTTGCTCCCTGCAAGGCTTTGTTTGCCTCCTTGCCCGACATATTAATATTGTGGGTTCCTGAAAAAGGAAGCGTCTCCTCGAACTTGTCACCGACCTCTCCTAGGCAAGGCCGCCTCTTTAACGTTTTTTCAGAGCGGCCCCCGGACCCTTCGGGCCTCGCCTCAGAGCTTGCTCCAAGGGGTGGGTGGGGTGGGTGGGGTGGGTGGGGTGGGTGGGGTGGGTGGGGTGGGTGGGGTGGGTGGGGTGGGTGGGGTGGGTGGGGTGGGTGGGGTGGGTGGGGTGGGTGGGGTGGGTGGGTGGGTGGGTGGGTGGGGTATTTTGCCCCAGGATTTCCATCTTAAACGATCGTTTGAGATATATGAGTGGTTTATTTTTTAAGGTGGCTTAAGGGATAGTGCCCCACCAATTTGGGGCGGTGTCGGATTTTCAACGGTCGCTTGAGGGATATTGCCCTAACAATTTAGAGTTGTCCCATTTTAAACGGTCGTTTGAGGGATACTGCCCCACACTTTGGAGTTAAACGGTCGCTTGAGGGATATTGCCCCAACAATTTAGAGTGGTCCCATTTTAAACGGTCGTTTGAGGGATACTGCCCCAACACTTTGGAGTTAAACGGTTGCTTGAGGGATATTGCCCCAAGAATTTGGGAGTGATTTCAAGCGGTCTCTTGAGCGATATTGCACAAGGCTTCGGGTGGGTTCCCGTTTCAAACGGTCGCTTGAGGGAAATTGGCCCCCCAATTTGGGGTGGGGTAGTTTGAGGGCAAGGACTTTTGGGGACGAACCCCTCAATGATTCCTCACCCCCAACAGTCACAAGTAGCCGCTAGGCTCCGAACGGTGGCTCCATGTACAGCCCCAATGGCGTCCAGAATATCTAATCTAATTACAGAGCAGCCATTGTTGGGGGCGTTTTAATCGAACGGGACCTCCATGCGCTTCGGCTTCTCCTTTTTACCTGAACAATCTCACAAAAGATGCTTCACCCACACATGTCATGCTCATGTACGTTGAAATCCAATAGCTTGGATGGCACGCACGTCTGTCAGAACCCCGACCCTGAGGGTCCAAATGAATGCTGTGCTTTGCTCAAACGAACCCGAAGTGGTGTGGAATTGGACCCTTGCTCCAAAATAAGACCCATCCTTGGTACAAATTCACAGGCATGGCCCCAATCCAAACCTTCTCGGGTGGCCAGACTATCCCTTGTCTTCCATGTGTGAGCCATCCCATCCTGTATTGGCTAGCAAGGCGGCCGGGGAATGGCAAAGGGTCGCCTACTGGTCACTGGTCGCTGGGATCCATTGGGAGAGGCGAGGGCTCATTTGCCAATCCCAGGACCCCAACTGTTTTTGAAACCACTGCCCAAGGCTCGTTGATCTGCTACCTCCTACTCCAAATACCCAGTTTTGCAATAGGCCTACCCTCCCAACATGGAGGTGCACAGACCCCTGTAGAAAGACTACTTTCCTCTTGGAAAGGGGTTTTTTGTGCACGTCCATGTTAGTTGGTGGACGGGTAGTTTGAATCACCGGGCGGTCTATGGTTATCAATTCCCCCAGCCCGCCGCTGGGGCAGACGGAACCCCTTGCTTGCCTGGTACATAGAATCACGTAGCTGGGTGCAAGGAACCCGTTCCCCCTTGTGCAACCCTTTGCCATCCGTTTTGTGGTAAACAACAAGAACAAACAAACAAACAAACAAACAAACAAACAAAAAACACAATCCAATCCAATCCAATCCAATCCAATCCAATCCAATCCAATCCAATCCAATCCACTCCATCAATCAAATCAAATCAAATCAAACCAAATCAGATCAATCAATCAATCAATCAATTCAAAACAAATCAAATCAACTCAAATTAAATCAACTCAAATAAACATCAACTAAAAATATGTTTCAAAAAAAAAAAAGATCAACCAACCAACCAACCAACCAACCAACCAACCAACCAACCAAGCAATCAATCAATCAATCAATCAATCAATCAATCAATCAATCAATCAATCAATCAATCAATCAATCAATCAATCAATCAATCAATCAATCAATCAATCAATCAATCAATCAATCAATCAATCAATCAATCAATCAATCAATCAATCAATCAATCAATCAATCAATCAATCAATCAATCAATCAATCAATCAATCAATCAATCAATCAATCAATCAATCAATCAATCAATCAATCAATCAATCAATCAATCAATCAATCAATCAATCAATCAATCAATCAATCAATCAATCAATCAATCAATCAATCAATCAATCAATCAATCAATCAATCAATCAATCAATCAATCAATCAATCAATCAATGCATCAATCAATTAATCAAATCAATTCAAATCAAATCAAATCAACCCAATCAATCGATCGATCAATCAATCAAATGAACCCAATCCAATCACTCAATCAACCAACCAACCAACAAACCAATCAATCAATCCAATCAATTCAAATCACTTCAAATCAAATCAATATCAAATCAATCAATCAACCAAATCAATGAAATCAAATCAAATCAATAAATAATAAATCAATTAATCAATCAATCAATCAATCGAGCGAGTGAGCGAGCAATCAAGCAAGCAAGCAAGCAAACAATCTATCAAACCGGCAATCAAAAAACAAATACACAGACACACACAAACCATCAAGCACGCAAACAAACAAGCAAGCAAGCAAACAAGCAAACAAACAAACAATCAAGCAAACAAACCATCAAGCACGCAAACAAACAAGCAAGCAAGCAAACAAGCAAACAAACAAACAAACAAGCAAACAAGCAAGCAAACAAGCAAACAAGCAAACAAGCAAACAAGCAAGAAAGCAGACAAGCAAACAAGCAAACAAGCAAGCAAGCAAACAAGCAAACAAGCAAGCAAGCAAACAGGCAACCAAGCAAACAGACAAACAAACAAACACCATTTCCTGCAAGCCCCCCCCCCAAAAAAAAGAGAGAGAAAAAAAAAACGAACTCCGTACCAAAGACCCATCGCCAGGAAGAAACAAATGTCCTCGCGGCCCGCTTTCGCTTCCACGGTTCGGCCTGCCGAGCTCAGCCCGGCACGGTAGTGGTGCTTGTGGTGGTCGTGGATGTGCTGGTCGTGGTGGAGGTGATGGTCGTGGACTCGAATCGAAAAATCCGATTCGGATTCGGAAAACGAAGCCGTTGCCCAGTGATCCCAGGAAGTCGGGGGGCCTCTTTGAGAGCGCATCCCCCCAAGAAAAGCACTCAATACAAGAGGCCTGACTAGTCCCCATTGGCCCCCTCAAGCTATCTAAACACCTGAGGCATCACCACAAACTTTTGGGTCAACATCTCATTTCGAAGCGCGCTCGTGTGGTCAGAATGGAATCCGAAAACCCACAAGTGAAGCCTTCTTGGTGTGGAATTCCCTTCGTCTTCATGAAGTTTGCACGGGGATTAGTTTGAGGCTCTGAAAATACTCTCGCGGCTCGACTTCGAGACTCCGAGGCAGGCACAGTGGAGGTGGAGGTCGTGGTGGTGCTGGTGGTGGTGGTGGTGCTGGTCGTAGTGGTCGTTGTCAACTGCAAAGCTTCTAACTGAATGACGCGGCTTGGACCTTCGAAGAACTGGGTCTGTCATTTTTTGGAGGGTACCCCCCCTTTTTCTGTTTTTAAGGGAAAGCCCAAAAGGAAAACCGGCATGTTAGGGAGTCCCCTAAAAGCAGACACACCCAAGTATCTCCCGATCGACAGGTCGCCAACGCCGTCCTCCAGGTGCAAGGGGCGGCACACGAGGGGTCAACGAGGAAAATCGGAAGTTCCATGAGAGTTCACCCAAAATAAAGCACCAATCAACCAGAAGTTGTGGTACTTCTGACTTCTTTCGCCCCATGGTCGCTACAGCTCGAAATCAACTGATCGGCGAGTCTTGCTTTTTCGCAAGCACATTTGTCTCGGAACCTCCAAACGTTCACCCTCCACGCCCCCGTCGCCTTTTGGCACCACCTGTTTTCCACTTGGCTTTGGATTGCGAGTGCGCGACATGCCCCGACCCTCAAAGACATGAGTCAAAAAACAAGGTTGTTGAGGGGCCAGTGGCACTTCATGGATGAAACCTTTCACGTTTTCGGGTATGGTTGAAAGGTATGTTGGAAAGTTTGTGCACGTGAATGGGAAATCATCCCAACATCTTGGGGAATATCCCAACCATGTTTACAGAAACTGTTCTCCGAATACCCTTGCTTTCTTAGCCAAGACAGCAAAATGAGACAGCAGGGAAAGCCACAACCCAACCTGGTTCTTTGTTCTTTACAGCTGTATGTTGCGGCGGCAAAAACATATTTTTATTCCAAGAGATGGAAGCACGGAATAAGAAGTGAACCCCAGATTCCAAGAGGGGAATTTTACCTGGAATCCCCAAAAAGCAGGGTCAAAAAAACTTTATGGACTCTGCAAACAGATTCGGGTGGGCTTCTCATACCCAGCGAACCTTTGAACCCGCGAGCGCACACGAACCCGAGTCGCGAGAACGAGCGAACCCGTTTCTCGCGCCCGGCAGGAGTTCTCCTTCCGCTTCTCGACCGATGCTTGCTCCGGATGGTTGTCGCAGCCTGACTGGCACATCTAGTCATGTCTCAAAGGGGGTTGCTTTTGGCATGGTTCGACCGGAAGCGACATGCAAAACTACGTACCTGGGTGCAGTATGAGCTTTGGGAGGTATGGACGCTTGGCTGTGTGTGTGTGTTCTTACGGTACCTTTTTTGGTGGCTTTAAAGGGGAATAGTCTGTTGCGGAAACTATCGAATTTTAGGGAATCCAATTCCCATTTTAGTGTCACAGCAATGTCATGTCACACATCCATATTGTCATACAAGCTGACATTGGTGGTATATGAGCATCCATACCTCAGTCAATATTGTCCCACTTTTCATTTGAAGGGACGCCTCCATACATACCAACACAGGCATATATATATATATATATGTATACATGTTGGGGGGTGGGGGCGGATTCTAAGTTTTGACACAGGCTGCTCCCTTAAACCTGCCTGGGCCAAACTTCTTTATAATTGGAACTCGGCCCAAAACTTTGAGGCAATAAGTAGGTAGTTTGCTTTCCTAATTGTGTGCATGAGTTGGACCCGTGTTTTTGGCTAGTTATATTTGCCTTTTGTTCATCAGGCCGGACGTTAAGCAGTTGGGACAGTTGTCTGGCATACTTCGCCTTTGGGGTCTCCAGAGCGCTGCAATATTTAGGGTGAAACAATCATGTTCCGCGTGCCCCAGACTCGGGCCAGGAAATTATTCAAAGGGCATGTTGCTCCGTGCATCACAGAAATGAAGTGGTGTTTCTGAAAATCAGGGATCCCGGTTGCATCTCTTCCGCTATGTTGAGACATCACCGAGTTTGGCATCATATCTCGGTTGCTTTCTGCTCCCCTGCCAAAAGTTTAACTTTTAATGATTTGATGCAAACCCCATTAGTTGGCAAAATGTTAAAGTCCTAACATCCAAGCAAAATGCACCTGATATCAAACATCCAGTTGATCCTGAAAGCTTGATGGGTGAGAACTCCAAGGCCTCCTTGGGGTTTCAACGAAGCGGCCTCCGCGGTTCCAGCAGCTCTTGTCCGCCACCCATCCGTAGGAGACCTTCGGGTCATCGAAGTCGAAGATGCACCAGGCCCCGCAGTGGTGGAACCTCGGTGGGAAACCAGGCCGGGGCCACGAGGCCGGGACAAAACGGATGGGGAACGGCGTTGTTTTCTTGGGCCCAGCATTTATTTCGAGCCATAAGGGGAGAGAAGGTGAGGGTCTCTAATGGTTCTTCATAGTCACTAGTCAGTAGGAGTGTATTGGCTCCCCTTGTGACACTGAATCAGAAAACGGATACCCCTTGGCCGTTTGCCACGGACTTGGCCTGGCAGCACTGGCGTGTGCTATCAAAGGCGCTTCCTTCGCCCACATCTGAGGTGCTGGAAAAGCAGAACACGAGGGGCTGCCTTTTGTTCGCGGGTGGGATTTGTTTAAGGTTTCTGATAAAGGGAATCAATTGGAAACACCCAAGAGGACCCAATAACAATTGTCTACTCTTGCGGTTTGGTGAACTTGAGGTTCGGACGCTGCGAATGCTGCGGCATTACACGCGCGCGTAGTCCTTTCAGGGGACCAGTAAGTGTGGTTCTCACACCTCTTGCAACAAACAACGTACCCGTCGCTGTTCGCCCAAAACGAAACCGAGTTCTGTAGATCACCAACGACGCAGCGGCAAAATCAGTTTCGTTTTTGCCCGCTTGGCATGTGTGGCTCGTTTGAGAAGACATCGCCTCGCTTCGCATCAAATATTGTGCCAAGCCCAGGCTGCTAGTAGTGAATTTGCTCAAATTCTGAAATCAAGACACTGAAGCCCTTTGAGCAAGGGCGTGTTTGGCTTGCAAATTGCTGCTAGAAACCCAGGTAAAGATGCGTGTATCAGCTTGTACAACTTCCTTGCCTGAATGTTCGTACCCCCTTTGCTACCACCTCCCGCAGCCGACAAGATGCCACGTCACACCACTCAGCGGATCCTCGAACTACGTGCGAAGGTTCATAACCTCATTCCCTGTGAATTCCCAAAGAAGTAAGATCCCCGCAGAGGATATGGCTGTGTGTGTATGGTTTGAGGGCACCCCCTTTTTTGATAGTTTCAAAGGGAAGACCAACCATATATTATATATATATATATATATATGTTTTTTTTTGGGGGGTGGGGCGGCCGTAAAAAAGATGAGCCACCCCACCCGTATGTTTCAGAACCAAAGCATTCGGCAAGGGGAAACCTTGAGATCCGGAGCTTAGGTGGGGCTCCGAGCATATGGTTCGCCAGCGCCTTCTGCACAGCGTCGGTGTAGCCTGGGCCCATGGAACATTCGATGATTGTTTTCCCACGACGACGCACCGGCCATCTCAACCTTTTTGGGGGCTGAAACGCCACAAAGCTCAGTGCGCAAATTTCCTTCGGAAAAGGGGGCCTTGTGCACCAAGCTCTGTTTGCGGGGGGGGGGGGGGAACCCGCCGCAGACCTAACTACGGACCCTCAGACTTCCCTTCAGAAAGGGGCATTCACTACCATAACTTTGGTTGCAATAGCCAATTTTTAGTCGGGTAGTTTGAGGGGTCCAAGTAGACTAACCTGGGCACCCTAACCCAAAGGGTCCTTGGTACCTTCTCAGGATGTACTTAGACCCCTTGTTGACCCCCAAACACCATCCTCAGAAGGCACTTGGACCCTTAGTGGTGGTTTGGATCGGTGGTTTGGTGGGGAGGTTTCCCATTTACCCAACATTTTACCCCCAAGCACCAGGGGTTCTAAATGCAAATCCCAACCAATCCAAACCAACAAGGGGCGTACCTGAGACCCTCACCAGACCTGGTTTCATCCGAGTCGTCTCGAATCCGAGGCCCTGGCCTGCTTCACAGCCCTTGGCCTTGGTGCTGCGGTCCTCACCCGAGGTGGACAAGTCCCCGCCTCAGGCGTTCTCATGGGGTGAAACCTGTGGACCTGGACATCGAGCAAAGAAATCATGCACAAATTATACGATACGTGGAATATGACTCTATATATATATATATACATACGTACAAGTATGTGTCGCTACCCTAAAAGGATAGAGGAACACTTAGGATCTTGACCCGCCCCACTTTTGTGTAAACTCTGTGAGTGCACGTTCTGAACACCAAATTTGCCACAAACAAAAAACAGGGTATGCCGACAGAGTACCTGTCACGCCCCGCTCCAACCCGGATGATTTCTGGATGCTTCAGATTGCGGATTTTGGGTGCTTCTTTCCTTTGATGGTACCTTCCTTTGGGTTGCTGCAAAGGTAAACTACCGAGAAACTACAGAGATACAGCTTCACCGTGGGGTCACCGAAATTTGAGACACACCCATCGGGGAATCGCAGTGCTTGACACGTTCCATATCACACGCAAAGCCAAAGCTGTTGGACCGGAAGCAGTTCCTAAGGGCAATCTGGGCTGCTCAAACTAGGGTTGAATTCTCATCTGCTCCTTGACCTTCAAATGCCGAAATGAAAAAGTCCAGCCAGTAAACAAAAGAAACCCTTGCAGAGGATGTCAATCCGAGGTACCAAACGGAAACCGCCCAATCTTGCCGCTTGTTTTGAGGGCATGTTCTGGAAAACCCGGTTTGAGGCAAATACCGCCTGTTTTAGTCAGCTGATATACCCCCCAAAAAGCTAGGCGGAGAAAGAGGGGCATGCCAGTGGCTTTTCACAAGGATGAGATAGGATTCGAGCACCCCCCCCCCGCGCCGGAAGTGGCACTCGGCACTCAAAAACACAACAGAGCTCACAAGAGGAAATTCGGGCAATTGATCCAATCATGTTTAAACTGGCTTGGGGAAATCCCAAAATGCCACCCATTGTTTTGAGCCCCATTTCGCAGCCGGCATGACCTCTGAATGAAGGCTACAAATTCATGCCAGGGGCTCAAAAAATGGCGCCCAAACTGGCGCCACTTGACATACTGAACACTGCTCCCACATCTTCATTACGTTTTTCGCCTCGCACCCGGTTAAGGCATCTCTGGATTGAGAAACACACACACCCTCAAGTTCACCAAGCACTTCGAGAGTTGGAACCCTCTGAGCTGCTGGTGGACGGAACTCACTTAAATGATGTCCAAATGGGTTCTAATCAGAATTCATACCCAAACTGGAAAGGGTGCCAACGACTAACAAATATATAATTTCAAGTGCCAGTATTTGTTCCATGCGACAAGGACATCAACCGCACAGCCAGAGATTGCAGCTGGAGCCAAAGGCAAAGGCAAGAAGTTCAATATGCCTCAGAGCACCTCCTGGAAGGACAACCAAGCCCCGGATGAGCCATGGGGCACACACGGCCCAAGCAGAAGCACCCCATTTGGATTCTCTGGGTAATTTACAATCATATGATCATATGTAGTATTGCTTGGATTGCCCAAGCAGGATCTAATCAAAAATCACAATTTGCCCAGATCAGGGCCCCTTCAGCTTCGCTCAGCTGCCGGAATTTACATGTTCAACTGCACCGTCTCGGACCATTTTTTTTGCCCAGCTCGATCGCCTTTCCCAGTGCTGTCTTATTTTTTTGCGGGGGACTTCAACACAAAAAGGTTTGCCCTTCCCACATGTTGGCTGGGAAAGACAAGAGCAGTGACGTCACTTTTGACTCTGATACTCACGACCCCACCTGTTAGACTCCCAAGTTATCCCAGTTGAGCAGTTTCCTCTTTGAACCATAAACCCTTTGAGCAGGTCGTCCCTACCTCGACATGTCCGTCAAAACCATCCAATAACTTCATTTCAACCGGCCAAACATGGTCTCAGCATACCCCCTCTCCAATTTGGATGTGCCTGGTTGCACTTTCTAGCGCACGTGGAGCTTCACCATACCCTTAGACCTTGCTTCCTCTCCTTTTGAGCTGCTCGATCCCTTCCTTTCATCCCCCGTCCCACAGACATGGACTCCTTGAAGCTACCGCCACCGCGCCGTTTTCAGATCCCACCGTTGGAACAGTCAGAGGACCTGAGCTGCCCACAGTAGCGCTTCATCAGCGCGTCGCTCATCTCCGGCACCATTTGAATGCAGCTCGTATCCTGGAACTCCGAAGGATTCGTATGGCTCGAGCTTTTTCCCGGCGAGTCCATGAAATTTGGGGGTGGCTGGTCAAAAGAAAAGAATGGGGCCGCAACCTTTCGAAGTTTCTGGGTGATGTTATGGTTCATAAACCGAAAATGGCTCTGGAAAACCATGCCTTAGCAGGGCCGTGGAAAAACCACTCGCAGGCACAGTCAAACTATGCCAAAATGAGTGAGCCCCCCGGTGTGTGTGGGAAAACTGAGGCCATGTCTCCCAAGTTGACCAAAGACTAAGCAGGATTGACCGAACAAGCACATGAGGGTTGGTTGATCCCTTTTGGTGTTTCGGGTTGGTTGAGGGTGGGTTTACGCTGCAGTAGGGCTGGTCTAGCGTGGTTTGCGTTTAAGGTTGGCTGAGGGTTGGTTTAGGGTTGGCTTGGGGCTCTTCTAAGGCTGGTTGAGGGTGTTTCAGGTTGGTTTGGAGTGGGCTTAGGGTTGGTTTGGATTTTGGGGCTTTCTTCCGCCCGTCGGCCCACCCGACTGAGCAACTGACTGGCCGTTGGCTCCCGCGAAAAAGCTCATAAGCGGGAGTTCGTGTGTAGAATGGGCCTGGAGTTGTTGGCCCCCTAAAGAATCTGTTGGATGTGATGAGTTGGGCTCCAACCCCTCTTTCGGTTGATGAAAAAGCCCACCCGCGTGAATCATTGCTGAGACAGTGAGCCCGCGCCTCGCACATCTTCTTCTTGCGCTCGATTGCGCCCGTCTGCTCCACGTGACCGAGACAGGCATCTGCACGGGTTTGGTGGGGTTGTGCCCCGATTCCCTCAACAAATAAGTCCACTGTCACAGAAAGCAGCAGCAAATTGTAAGGAAAGCCCACACAATACCGGCAAGGTAGTTGAACTTTTCTATATAGGGAAATGGGTTCCTAGCCCCTCAAAATAGCTTTAAGAAGCTCAGGTGATATCCCCAACAGCGTGCATTCCCAAAGCTCGGAAGCGTCACACCCCCGGAACCCTCCTCGGAACTGCCCCCGGAACCCTCCCCATGCCTCCCCTGCGAACCTTTGCGGCATCGGTTTTGCTCGGGGTGCCGCTTTAACTATAAAACAGAGCTGAGGCATTTCCCTGGCACGGTAGCCAAAAGGTCTCAAAATGAAACTAAGGAGACACATTCCAGAATGTTTTAAGGGAAAATGGACACCCAAAAACCTTCCACCCCTGCTCAAATATCTCTAGGGTTCTGTTTTGGGGGAGAAAGAGGGGCCCGGGCCATGGAGTTGCCTGCTTGGCTTGGCGGCTTCGGTTGGCGCTTTGGATTGGTGGTTTGAAGGGGGGGAACGGGGGTCCCATTTACCCTCGATCAGGATAACCAATCCCCAAACCAATCCAAACCAATTCGGGGTCTGGCAAAAACTGCTGCACCAAATCGCATTGCCCAAAGACAGCACAACTTCATCAAGAGATGGGTTGGTTGAAGAAACGAACCACCCGCCTGATCAACTTTCCGGCGGTTTGGGACGACAAACAGTCCCAACAGGTTGGAGGTCAAGCTGCACCCAATGCTTGAGTCTAATTCATAGGCAACGAACTGTCTGAGCCAAAAACCGTCCAGAAATGCCAGAGGTTCAGCCAAGCCGCCAGGTAATTACTGGGTTCGAATGAATATGCAAGTCTTAGAAGTGCAAAGAAGGGAAGCTGGGTGGCCGCGCATCACAAAGCCCAAAGGGGCGGCTGGGGCACACAGCAGCATCTTGTGATTTCCTTGCGGATCCCAAACGAAACATTCCCAACACCTTGGGGTGACTTTTTCGGTCGTGGAGCAGGTCACGTTTTGACAGCCAAAATCCCGTGTGGCAACTTGCCCGACGTCTGGTCCCCCAGGCCGTCTTGCTTGTAGCAGCCAGCGTTGTCCCAAGAGTAGGTCTGGCACAAGGCCGGGTCTGGAGGTGTTCATGGTTTCAAGCCTTTTACATCCGGGTTTTGTTCCTACTTAACGCATTTTGTACCTGTGTGGTAGGTATACACACACATATACCTGTGACCTCCATCCCCCCCCAAAAAAAATACAAACAAAACAGAACAAAATATGGATCACTCGACCCCAGTTGCCAGCGGTACAACAAGGCTCAAGATCGTCTGTCCCCAGTCGGTGGGTAGGTATCTGGGTGTGCTTTTGAGTGTGCTCTTGTCTAGGAACCAGTTTTTGGTGTTTTGAAAGGATAGCAAAACTTGCTGGTTCTCAGCAGGGAATGAGGGAATGAACCCCACAAACCATCCCTTCCGGTGTCCATTCAGGCATTAAGGGAAGCCCTAGGTTCATTCCCAGCACCCGAGGCATCACAACCATGATTTTGACACCCGTCAAGCCCACAACCTTCAGCAACCCACCCCCGAACCCGACCCGAACCTACGGCTTTGACCCCATAGCCGTCGCTGGGGAGAAAGACAAATGCATCAACATGTGGGTCAGAATAGGTGGTTCGGTGTTCTTTTGGTTTTTCTAACCAACCAGCAATAAGTTGCTACCCACAGAACAACGCGCCAAACCCACGTGGCTGTTTTTCAAGACGTCAAATCAAATTCACATTCAGACAAGTCCAACCCACCCTTCCTCTCAACAACTGTACCCATGCGGAAATGCCCCCAAAAGCCTTGTTACCCGACAAATAGGAACAGAACATGATTCCCAAAGTGAGTTGTGTCAACGGGGGAACCAACAAAAACTCTAACAAGAGAAATCTGGGTTTGTCCCAAAAAATGGGAACCCCGAAAATCGGTGGGTGCCCCTTTGTTTCCCTTTGAAGCAACCCCAAGCGGGTACCCTCAAAAAAGCGCACACCCGTGCGGAGTTGTCTTCAACTGGAGGACCCCGACAATGGCTGGTGTCCTTTCGGTGTTTCTTTTGCGCACCCAAAAGGGTGCCATCAAAAGGCACACCCACATCAATTCGACTCACAAAAAAAGGAAAGAAAACACTGGACTGAGAGCGCGGACGACGTTATCGGGCTTCTCGAAGTCATAGATACAAGATGCGCCGCAGTGGTCGAACCTCCGAGAGCTTTGGAGGACTTGTGATTTCATCGGGTGATTCAGGGGTAGGTACAAGGAGGGGAGTGGAGAGACCTAGGGTTTTCAGGATCTCTCTCAGGGAACCAAACGAGCGCCCCCCTTGTCCCCCCCCCGGGCCCTTAGGGATATTTGGCGCTTCGCCAATTGGCTGGAGCACAACCAAAAGGCCCGTCTGCCAAATCGGGGTTTTGGCCATCAACACAGGCACTCCCAAAACAGCACTGGGCTTCCCCCATGCAAAACGGGCATCGGGGACTCGCACGGAAGAATCCAACGAGGTGTCCCTGCCCGGGGCGTGTGTCAATTAAGCACCATCAAGGATCTACCAAACTCTGCATGGTGTTCCCTTGACCAGGGAAACCACAGGAATTGTACAACACAGGGCCCCTTCAAAAGAGTGACCATCTGGCCAGACCACCATCGAAGGAAACTGTGGTAAGCCCCATACCTCCGAAACCCATAAAACCAATAGACAATGCCCTTGAATTCTCGGACCTGCTTGGATGGTCCGGAAGCAATCGCGAAGTGGTGATCTTTGCCCTCAAGAACCTCCCTAACCTTGCAGGGTGTCTAGCCATTGCAACGCTGATCCCCGGATCATCTAAGCATACACATGTTGAAGATGGATTTCATGAACGGAGGCTTCCCCAAAGATGCTACCTCCTGGCGCCCAAAAAGCAACTTAGCTGTTTCTGCATTTGGGGCCTGATCCTACCCCGGAAAAAGCGGGAAACGCCGTGCGGATTCTGGAGTTGAAGAGTGGGGTCTTCCTGGCCACGGGAAATTGCCGCTGGGTCTCCTGGCGACGGAACTTTTTCTTGTGCCAATCTTTCCCATGAGGCTTTGTGACTCAGGACCCGTCTCAGGGTAAGCCTGGGGGTAGGTGATCCAGGTCAAAAAGTGACACGCCTTCTAAATGCCAATTCCAGGCGCCCAGGTGACCCAATCCCAACACATTCGTGCGAATATCCACCCTCTGGATTCTTTACCTGGTAGACAAATTTGATACCAGGTTTTGATTACTCAGTTGTCAAACCACCTTGTGGTCGGCCATTTTCAGGGACCTGTGCCACAGAACTGCAATGGTGATGTATCGGACTATGAATTTACCATTTGTTGAGGGTAGTGGGCAGGTCTGGTTTGTAGTCTTGAGGGAAAGCCAAACGAGCAACGCTTGTTGAAAGCTCCCCTAAAAAGAGAGACACCCCCACCAAATCACCACGAGGCAAAACTGCGGACAGAAGCTCTTCTGCCCTTCAGCTAGGACTCTACGAACACAAGTGCCAAGCGCAGGTTGAACCGGATCAAGCCCCGCAATGCAAACTCCACAACTCTGTAAGTCACGAAGATGAGAGCAGCTGGGAATATGGCCATGGGTCAAAATCCAAATCGTACCCGCAGTGAACATCCCAATCCCCACTAAAATAGACTAAGATGGGTGGTGCACCTACCCCAAAATGGTACCATTGGTTTTGACCCACAGCCATATGGGTAACAGGGGGAGAAAAACAACTCACACGAGTGTTCGAGATTCCTTGGCGTCGCTGGGGCCGCGGCATCTTGTTGGCCAAGGATTTCTGCAGAAAGGGCGTCAGCGCGTGGTCGCATGCCCTGGCCCAAAAAAACAAAAAGCGAAACGCACCTTCGGCTGCCCTTCTAGCCCTTTCCTCAAGCTACCTGGCCAAGGACCTGGAAACAAAAGGTGGTACTTCTGGGACTTTGACTCATGGAAGGAAAACACCAAGGCTTGACAGACCGAGAGTACCTGGACTGTGGGCAACTTCAAGGTTGGCATGTTTTTCTCCCTGACCCTCGTGCAGCGTCGGCAGATGCTGTGCGCGTTTGCGCAGACAGCCTCTACAAAAGGGGCCAGGAGCAGTGCCAGCAGAACGGCGATTCTTCTTCTACACCTTCTTCTTCTTTTTGAGGATAGCAGGCACTGGCTTTCCGTCGTAGCCTCCCTGGATCATGTCCACCGTCCCATCCTCCTTAATCTTCGCCAGCGCACCGTCACCTTGGATCTTGAACCTCATCGGGAATTTGTTCTCCTCGTCCTCCGCAGCCTTCTTCTCGTCGGAAGGAGTGAAGGTGAGGAGGTCGCCTGACATGCTCCAGGCGCCCTCGTACTCCCATTGTTTGGCCGGGCTGTCCCTGAAGTCGCACCGCGTGATGTTCACCTCGGCCTTCGCCTCACCGATCTCGAGCCGGATGTCGTAGTCGCCCCAGTCCCCGTTGCTGGCGCTGGCGAGGTAGGTCCCCAGCACCTCCAAGCGCGCGATGGCGGCGAGGAGTTGGCTCCGCTCCTCGCTGGACAACTCCTTCGCGGAACTCGCCAACTCCGCCACGCTGGCGCCTGCGACGCCCTCCGTGAGCCGAGCGGAGGCGGCACTGCCCATGGCTCCAGTACCGGTGCCAGGTGGAGAGCAGCTTGAGCTAAAAGATGGGCATGTTTCCCTTCCAAGAAAACCTGGCCAGGAGGGAAACCACGCCTTTTCTGTGATACCAAAGCAAGCCCTGCCCATGACTCAAGATTCCTTTCACAGAAAATGGCCCTGAGCCCAGCATTCAACCATTTTCCGGGCAAAATGTGATACAGGAAGGTGACCCACTAGAAATCCAGGACGGAATCTTCACCGTGACGTCCCAAACACCGGAACGCGACGCCGCAAATGCCTAGACCAGTTTGCAGACACCTGGCCACCTGGGATTCTTTGGATCCTGAAAAGAGAAAAGTGAGTCGTAATCAAAGCCTACTAAAATGATCTCCAGAACCGTGTAAAGAGTCAAAGAGGCGGGTCCACCCATTTATGGTTGGGAAACTATCCGAGTTTCAATTTTGGCTCGAGTTGTCCGCAACCCGAGACCGAGCCTGGCTCCTCCAGAAAGGTCGTTGGCGTGCGCAGCGTTATCTGGCAGCGTGGTGCGTGAGATACCCGCACAAAGAAACAAAACTCAGCTTCACCGCTGACTGGCGGTCTGTTTGGCGGCAAGAACGGGTTTCCCATTTACCCTCTACACGAAGCAGGGGTTCAAATCCCCACCAATCCAAACCGCCAACTTGGGGGAAAAACAACACCAGAAAAAAACAAAGAAAACGCAAAGACACAAGGAAACAAACAACTAAACCTGGAACCCAACATCCTTTGCTGACATCTCTGTGATCAGAGCCCCCTTTTGGGGTTCTATCTGTTCATTGTTCAGGGGAGTATTGACTGCAGCAATGCTTCACATCAGCTGGAGGCTACCAACCTGATCAAGAGCAGGTTTATATAATATAGCCCTCACAATCATCCCTGCTTGGCGGGTCCTTGCATGATCCACCTGAACATTGGTGGAAAAGGTCATGTTCTGAATGGTCAATCGTATCTTCAAGAAGCCCTACTTGGCCAAGGAGTAAAACCGGGGTGGCTTATCCACTTGATGGAAGGGTGTCAAAACCAGAAATCAACCCACAGCTTTTTCGTCCCGCCCAAATAAACTAATTATGTTTGCTTATGGTCCATGTTCAATGAATCTTCAAACGTAAAGCCCACAAAACAAAATAAAGAAACATTAATCATCCCAGTGACAAGTCAGCGTCACGAAGCTTGCCTGAGTTGCTGCCCATTCAACCATCGTTCTGCCAAAGAAACAGGCGGGTTTTCTGCCAACAAAAGATGGATCCCTGGTTAAATAATGGATGGACGTCACTAGATCGGTGGTGTCTCTAACGCCCATGCCATCGCCAAGCCCTGAGATCGGCGCCGCAATAGCTCGCCATGATCTTGTCGCTGCTGACCGGCTCCACCGGGATGCACTCCTCCTCGGGGCTTGATATCTCGCAGTGAAACATCAAAAGGAGAAGGAGAAAAGTGAGGTTCAATGGGTGTTGCTTTCTAGTAGGGAGAAGCTGTTGCCCCTCCCGTGTGAGTCGTGACATGACCTTCCTACGGCTCCATGGCTCATGGAAAGCGCAGCGTGCGCGGAAGCAAAACGCTTTCAGCCAAGCGGCTTCCACGGCGCCATTGTTCCGGATTGCACCCTGAGCCGACGGATGCGGGGCCTGGTGTTGCAACCCCAAACCTGTCTTTGCCTTTCGGTTTCGGGGCACCCAAGGCTGGGGATCCAAAAGAAAACGGATCCCTCGGACCTGGAGGGTAGGACCACTTCCTTGGAAGCCATACCCCTTGTTTGGTTCACACAAACTATAGCTGCGTGTGTTTGTGCATATATATATATATGTACACATGTTATTGTGACTATTTATGCATCGCTTGTACTGTTTTGGGCTACGTTGAGACATAGGGTGTGACAACGAAGCGCCCTCCCCCCACCCGCAAATAACCTCCACTTGTTTCAATCATCGCTCTGGATCAAGAAGGCAACTACGAACAAGTCACAAATCACCAAATGTCCGGCCATGGTCCAACCATACGTCGGGTCATTTCTGTGGATTGGCCTGAACTCTTAGCTTTTTGCTTACACATATGTCTTTCCAAGAAAGAAGTCCAAAAAGAAATCGATCACCTATTTCCCCTGAGGCACATATCCGAATTGCAATTAGCGTATACTGTGGACGATCTCCACAGGAGTTGGGTGGGTTGTCCCATCCGTCAGACTGTATTTATGCCAACTGGTGCATGTTTCGGACTTTCTTCCACAGCGTCTCCAGTTTAAAGGTTCCCCATATAGTTTTGAACAAACCGTTGAAACCGCGCTGGGCATCCTTTTTCTGATCCACGGTCGAGCGAGCACGGCTCCTCCGGTGGGTCGGTTGCTTGCCAAGGGGCAAACTTCAAGGCCGACACTTGGCTTAGGAGCAAGCCAAGACCTCAGCTAGTCCCGCTCTTGACAAGGCAACAAGTCCATACTGTGCCATTGGAAGATTCTGTCCTTTTATGGTCCTCAATTGCCCCTAACAGTCACTGCTTGTCACTATTTGGCTGCTTGGCTCCCCCTTGCTATGGCTCGAAATTTAAATATGAGAGCGGCAAAGAAGTCAAACACTCAACCGTCCGTGCAGAGTTCCCCAAAACATACATCCCAATTTCACGTGCTTCACTAGATGTGATATTCAACATTGACATGTATCATTTGAGCAACCCTGCGGTGGCAAGGAAACTGATTTTCGGCAAGGAGTCAACAGTCCTTGGAATGTGTGTATCTTCGCTTTTCAACAAAAAGGATTTAAAAAAAGGCCCCATGGTGTCCCTCGTCCGAAAAATGTCGTCACCTCAGCTGATGCTCAAGATGGCAAGGGGACAATCATTGAGACTCTGCAGAATCCCTATCCACAGGAGAAAAAATAGGGCAAAGCCCTCCGAACAAAATATCCCTCTACACAAATTCCACAAAGCAAATGTGTTGAGGCCTCGTCCATACATTAACGCCTTTGGGCTTTCTTTGGATTGTCCTTCACCTCAGATCAAACATTTACTTGATCCAATCGGCCAGGGTTAACCCACCATTCTGTTAAACATGCTCAAACCATAGGTGGCCTGTTGGCAAAATAGATGGACCGTAACTGGAATGAAACCAATCTTTACCAGTGCCATCTATTTCTAATCAAACTAACCCAAGAAAGGACGCCTATAAACCTGCTTTTGTTGAAACGACCTCCTGTTGCTTTTCCCTAGCAGAAGTGTTACTAGTCTGAGTTTTCAAGCCGTCTGATCGCGAGTTGAGTCAAGCGGCAGGCTGACTTCATTACGCTGGAAGTGGACCGACTTCCCGGCCGGCCACTTCGAGGCTTGAGCCCCCTACAGGCGATTCATGGCGATTCATTCCGTCGAATCCGGACAAAATCCAAAGAAAACAGGAGAAGAAGCATGGACCTTGGCCACCTGGGGTACACAGCAACGAGTGAAATGCCCAAAACCTGCTTGCCTGAAAATCCACACGGGACCTAAAGGCTCACAAAGGAACTCTTTTTGACGTGGAAACCACATTCAGTCATGCTCATTTCAACATAGCGTGCCGTGTACTTATTCGCCCTCTGAACAAGTGTGTTGAAACAACCATCAACAAACTCACCATCGACACAACCGGAGATTTTGTTTCAGAGCAAATCTGGGTGTTGCCTTACAAACAAATCCGCCGTACAAGGGAAACGGACAAGAGACCGCAACAAAGGGCTCGTTTGGTTGAAAACAGGCTCATTTGAGCGGCATGAACAAAGCTATGCCCCATCAGGATCGGGGTTCCCTTTGTGCCAAGAGCAAAACGGCAGCCCAATGCTTTGGTTAACAGGGTCATAACGCAGTAAACCTCTACGTAGGTTTAGAACCCAATTCGGCGGGGGAGACGAGCCTGGCTTTTTGCACCGCGCAAAAGGCACGTGTCTTTGAAACGAGCGAGGAGCCTCGCTCACGGGATCGCTCGCAGTGGCGCCTCCGCGTACAAGACATCTGGACGAAACGTATTTCCCTCAGAACACCATAGGCCATGGAGAACAATCACCTTTCCTGTTGATTTCACATGGAACCCATGCCCAAAAAAGAACAAGGGGTGCCACTGCAACTGGGTTTAGGCTCGTCCCCCGTGTGGAAATTCAGGCCGTCTCCCCTATGCCCCTCCCAAGTTGACCATATCTGCATGCTTGACCAATTGGTTGGTTCCTGGTTTTTGTGGTTGTGTTGGCTTGCCACAATGGTACATACCAATAATATTCTCAGCGCCTAGCGGCTGTCGTTGTCTCCAAAGCCGGGAGTTAAGACTTGGGCCCCCAGCTGACCCACTGGGCCCAAATGCTTGAGCTGAACTTTCAGTTAACTGCAAAGTTTAACAAAAAGCAAGGGATCAAGTAAAGGTGAGCTCATCATGGTGAGCTCGTTTTACAACCCCGGATGAGCCAACAAAAACCATGCCGCTCCCTCAGCTTATTTCCTAAAACCCTTCGACCTCGTCCCTTTGGCCAAACCAGCAATGGTGGCCTCTAGGACCCAAAGCCGACCCAGTCACCAACCAGGGAAGGTCCATGTATTTCAAAGGAAAAGCTCTGAACCCAATCAGCTGGAACTCAAAGTGGAAGGGAACAGGGCATGCCCAATGGCAGCTGCAACTGGCCAAAAGCCTCAATGTCCAGTTCTGAGAACCGTTTGGGAGAAACTCAAAAAGCCTGATACCCTGAAAAGTGCCTATCAGCAAAGCCGGCATAGCCCTTTGTGTGTGCTGCAAATCTGCTTGGGGAAAGACAACCCGAACTCTTGGAGCGACGCCAAATTTGAACGAATGGCCCATCGTTGATCTGTGCGGCCATGTACAATATCAAAGAAAAATCCTGCAGCATGTTCAAGCAGCAATACCACCGCGAGGAACGGTCACATGATAGTTGTGTCGGCTGCCTGTAGGCCACTGCTGCAACATCACGTGGATTGGAAATGTCGGAGATTTTTTGCGCTAAACGTGGAGAATGTCAAAGATTGAATGAGGCTCTGGTCATCAGTCCTTGTACCACAGAAGCTCGACAAGAAAATGTGCGCGCTGGCAACCTCACTGAGAATCACTGGGGGTCGGCCAGCTGCGCTCCACGTGTTACGGCTTCTGCCACAAGGCCGTCTGTCCGAGAACGCACTGCTGCTCAGAAAGCTGGTGCACCCACAGCGTATCAGTTGACCTCTAAGACTTTGTCTGCAGCAAAAGCATATCGATTCGCGTCCACGTGGCCCCGAGGCCATGCGCTATGCGCTGGCCGAAACCAGCCCGCCTTGGCAGACGGATGGTGTCGCCAAAGTAGGCGTGCACCCAAGCCGCAAAGGGCGCGCACTGGTAGAAAGCAGGAGGGGGGAAAAAGGTGGAGGATGCCCGCGGCGTTTCAAGGAATCCCGAAAGGGCCATTGGTTTGCAGAAGGAGTTTCGGCACAACGGACATGCTGCGCCTTTCCTTGGTGTGACCCTCATCCGGGACGCCATCTTGCCCCACCAGGCACTCCACGAGCAGAGGTCCATTGTGGTGGCATCCGACACAAGCATTTCCCCCAAAGCAGACTTGAAGGCAGGGGTGGCTGATTTCTCCAAAAGGAGAACTCTCTAGTCATATATCCTTTTCGGGGTTCGCTCAAACTGGCTGTGTTTTGCGGACACCCTTTCACGTTAAGCAAATCAAAATGAGCACCGAAATCCATTGTTGGGTTCCAAATCCCTATTTTGACACATGACCAATTTGTTTGTCTCAAAATAGGGGGCCTTTAGAAAACCCGAGAAGGGCACGAGCCAATTGTCAAAAGTCATTCTGAACCTTTATCATTTTTTAAGCTTACTAAGGGGCTGATGACCAAACCGCCCAGCAGGGTCGGTCCTTTTCTGATGGTACCATTTGGGCTTGCAAGACACCAGAAACAAGCCGACTATGTTTTGTTTGTTTCTGCGAGTGTGTCTTTCTTTGAGGGAACACCTGGTACCAAAAGCAAAGCCGCCAACCCTCCTTAACCACAAAACCGCCCATCCACCAACTAGATGGAAGCTGAAAAAATGGCCGGTGGGGGGAGGGGGGTTGCCCTACCAAAAGAAGACACACCCGCGGACCCCTTGGTCAGCCCCTGCCGTCAGCTTCTCAGCAGAACTCTTTGCGGCGCTCCACCACGGCGTGCCGCTCCGCCGCGGGCCCGCAATCTCCTGAGCTCGGCGCGGCAACGCGAGCCGCGGAAACCCCAAAAAATGGGGAGGGGGGGGGGGGGTGTATGGCCTAAGCCCAAGCTCCGTTTAGATCTGAGCTGTCGGGTTTAGAACCTGGTAATGATCAATAAAACACACGGCCAAGCAGGCGAGTTGCCAGTTGCGAGTTGCGAGTTGCGGGCCGCGCGAAGGCACGAAAGACAAGACAATGTTTGTCTTGATCAAGGGTTGCTGGTTCATCCAAATCCCCACGCAGTTTCCGCGTTTCTTTTTGAGACAAATCCTTCCCTCGTTTGCGACTTTCAGGAACCCGGCTCCCTCCTCCGCGTGACCAGCACTTCTTGCCGTTGTCCCAGCCATAGGACACTGCCTCCGGACTATCGAAGTCAAAGAGGCACCAGGCGCCGCAGTGGTGGAACCTCAGAGGTTTCTTCTGGGAAACCCAACAGACTCCTCCCTGCTTGTGGTAGGTTCCATGTGAGCCTCGGACAAAACTGCGAACTTTTACCCTAGACATGGGACAACTGCATTACCCTTCTCGTCCTCATGCTCAGGTGACCAGAGGGCGTCTTCTATTTGTTTGGGCTCGCCAAGGTAGACAAAGATACCGAGGGGTGTGAAAGCAAAACACATGACCAAGGAGGAGGTTCTTCTGCGGGAGACACCCAAGGGAAACTGAAGCTTTCTTTTTTCATGTTCCCTGTTCGGAGACAATCCCTATCAGCAAGTCGGGGGGTAGTGCACGAAATGGCGTGCATCGAGCCGAGTGAAGTTTCATCCAAGTATGACAATGAGAAATGTTGCCGAACAACTTCACCCCTTCTGAGGGGGCGCTGGAAACAACAATAAAAATGGCCCATCCACTGTTGGCTTCATTCTTGGGAAGTCGAACATGCTTATTGGAGCATCACCCGTGCCATGATACCAAAGCAAGCTATCCCCAATGACTACTTTTTAAAGGGGGAGCCCTTGGTAAGTGTCCCACTTGCACCACGATCCCATACTTCTCGTGTCAACTGACATTGGATTTTGGTATGTGCCCCATGTCATCCTTTCCCCTTCCCACAGTAAATATGACTTGACACACGGCCGCAGGGAGTAACAAAATATTGTGACCCCACGCTGGGTTGCCCCGGGGAAAAAGGGGGGGGGGGGGGAAACCGGAAACAAGTCGACTAAAATTCCTGCGGTCTGGCGGAAACAATTTGTTTGCCCCAACAGCCCCAGGTGGGCCTTGTCGATGGCTCAAGGTCTAAGTCTGGGGCATGAAGTTCGCCAGGGCCTTGCGCACCTGGACCGAAGGACCGAAGGACCGAAGGACCGAACCGGTGCTCAGCTGAAGGCAATGAACCATCCGGTTCTTGGGCTTCCTTCAAAGGGAAACCCCTTTCGGTTCATTCCCAAAACCCGGAACAAGATTGTGGGCTTCCTTTTGGTTTCGCCTTGAATAAGGGGCCAACTCCAAACAAGGACACAATATAAGGCTCCGAACAGATGCCAACCTAGCGATGTTTGGGAATGGGTTGGTTTAGGGCTCTGGCTCACAACTTGCTTTCTGAATTGAAACAACCAGAATCCCTTGAGCCTGAACAACATGTGGGGGGGTAGTGGGTTCGTACTGGAAAGGTATTTTCAGGCTTCCCTGAACTTGGTGACTGGGAGATGAGTTTGAACCCCACACATGGTGCCCTTGGCTCACATTGGCGAGAACAAGTTCAAGCTTTTTTGGCCACTCAAATGGTCTTCCCAAAATAGCGATTAAAAGCTGGGATCTGAGAGAGTGAGTTTAAGGGGAAGATTCCCAAAACACCCTGCTGACAACAAGTGACGGCAGAACAAGCAGCACAGGGCGTTCCGGCAGTCACTTTCCCACGTCAGCATCTGTTTCTCGCTGCCAGAGTTCCAATGTGGATGTGGGTTGGTCTTCGTTTCGGGAGAAGCCCGTCAAGATACACGCCCAAAGCACACGCCAATACCCAGAGGCGAGAAAAAGGCCGTTTCTCAAAGCGAGTGTCATTTTTTTTCGGAGACTTGGCGCCCAAAATATTTGGGCTTGGCAAATCACAGGACGGACTCAACCCCAATAAGTTCTCCTTTTGGGGGGCACCCCTCTGTTCAACCTTGGGCTTTGCTCACAAAAATGGTGACCCTGACTCCGCCCCTGGCCGCCTCTGTTTGGTGCTTACTATAGGAATTAAACCCCACAAATGCCCCCAGTCCATGCATTCCCCCACCCTCCCGCAGGACAAGGAGTCGTATGAATCTTTTGTGTTTTAGGGTTTAGGTTTTGGGTTTCTTGGGGTTTAGGTTCAGGCAGGGCTTAGAGTTGAAGGATTCGCAAAGGGTTCACTTTCCCAGCTCAGAGATTTACACATCCTTCTAGGGCCACAAGGGCTTTACTTTTCTACCCGCAAAAAAGCGCCTTGGAAAAAGCAAACAAAGCAACACACGCACAAACAGGCCATTTAGGAGATTCTCAACATCAGAGGCCCTTGTTGGTAATTCTTGCCTGTCAAAGGCGGCCCCCAAGTACGCTTGACAATGTATGTGGCTCTGTCTTTTTTGGGTCGGTTCCCTTGTTTGTTGGTTTTGAAAGGGAAGCCAACAGGAACACCCGAGGCCATTTTAGGGGTCCAAAAAAAACTTTGCCGTCCAGCTTCCTTTTAAGGGAGTCAGTTCCTGTCCAGGCTCTTCGTGGCCATGGGTCCAAATCCCGTACCCCCGCTGAACATCCCAATCCCCACAGTCCGAAAATGGTTGGTGAATTCACCTCCCCCAAAATGGGATCCCATTGGTTTTGGTTGAAACTGGGAATCCGAAATGGAACGCAGGTAAATGGAAACATGGACCAAAACCAGCGGTCCATCTCCTGGTTTCATTTTCACCCAGACCCTTTGTGCTAGGTCCTCCAGTAGAGAGGTTAGAATAAAGGTACCAACTTTTTGTTGTAGTCTATTTTAGTAGGGGGGTTCGAATCTCCCCCCAAAAAAAGGGAAAACGGGCACTACTGCGGGACCTAGCCGCGTTTCTTTGTGTGAGGGTCTCACCCCTCAACCCCTCCAACCCCTCCCCCCCCCTCCGCGCCTTGGGGGTGTCCAAGGCATCGCAGGCCTCCGCCTCGGGGCTCCGGTCCTCGCCGCTGGTGCTGAAGTCCTCGTCGTTGCCTCACGAAGCTGAGCGAACGGGCAGCTTCTGCCAGGATGCCTGGCTCTTGACCCGCCCCACTTTCAGACTTTGGGCTGTTACCTATGTTTAAGTTCTTCCTTATTATCTATGTATAAAATAAACAATAAATATATATATATATATATATCAAAAAACATGTGCAACAAAACCTGACGCCCGCCGGGCAGCTTCTACCATTGCCCCCTTTGAGACTTTGGGCCTTCAGCTTCCACCTGGGCTGCCTCTACTGGTCATTTGGCCCCCTTTCAGACTTTGGGACCTGGTCCAACCGTCCTTCATCTCCAGAGCAAACCAAGGGCAAAGGGGCCAAATCAATGGAAGGAACTTTGGATTGCCAACATGCCTCATCTGGGATTCATAGGGCTAGCCAATTCCAATCCATTCTCCCAGGGACTTCCGCGAGTTACTGTAATGATCCTGCAGGTTGCCGCGGTGGGCTACAGTAACCTGGTCAGCTTATCATCCTCTTGTCGAGAATGGTCATGGCTCCTTTATCACATCTGCAATTGTTGTCTAAACTCTTTTCAAGAGGTTGCTGGCCATCCATAGTGGCCCCAAGTGTCAGGGTAGTTGCCACATAAAGGCCTTCCAACAAAACCCGAAGAATCAAATGACTATTTGAACTATGGGCAAGCATTCCCTCGGTGGAAACTCCAAACAGACTTTCGCGATTTGGCCCTCGAAATCAGGAATCACCCTCATCTACCTCAGTGATTGCCCCAATCTAACCTGACATGTTCTTAGAGTCTGTCCACAACACGTGAAGTGTAAAACCTGAATGGTGTCATTTGACAGAGGTCCTGCATATGCCCGGCAGAAGAGATGTCCAACTGGATTGTGCTTAAGAGCAACGAAAAGGGAAGCACATGACCCATGATCACAAGTCCTTTTGCGGGGCATGGTTTATTTGGGTCTAAAATTCCCATCTGGAAAATATTCGCAACCCTTGGTATGGTAGAAAAACCTTTTCTTGGTGCCTTCTACTAAAAACATGGTCAGAAATGGAAAAACAACTTATGGAAAAACCCTAGAAACCAATGGGCCTTTCCTCCAAGCCTTACGTCCAATTTCACCCGAGCCGCAATACGAGAGCATCACATTCTTCGAGAGCGTCTTGTGAGATGGCAAGCACGTCCGTGCCTGTCGAGGCAGGGCGGCGATACAAACTGAATCTACCTGGGCTGGTGCCCTTTCCTGCCCGTATTTGGGTGTGGGTCAAAAAATAGGTTCCCAGAATGGAACCCTGGCAAATGGCAACAAAGACTAAAACCTGCGGTCCCCTGGTGGTTTGACGAAATCAACTGGTAAACGTGATATTCAGCAAGGCCAACATGTATCCTAGTCAACTGGGGCGGGAGCAAAGCTAACTTGCCAAGTATCCAAGTGGTGAAGACGACGCAGTTGCCGCAGATCCGAGACCGGAACTGTCCTGTGACAGATAAACATTCTACCGGCTCAATGCCCGAGCTCCCTTTGAGCAGTCTTTTCGTCGGCCCATACTTCTATGTGATTAGCTCCAAACATGTGTCCAACGATAGGGCGGTTGCCAAAATCATCAACGCCTTTTCGGACGCCCTTTAAGCTAAATGTTGGCTCCCCCTGCAAAGGAGTGTGGAACCCTCCCCCCCAAAAAAAAACAAGGGGTCCCCCAAAATTGAGAAACCGCTGGCGCTCCCAGGGATCCCTGATATGAGTGGACTTCTGAACAAATCCTCTGCACAATGTGCATGAACCTGCCCCTTCCCCAACAGTGTCCAAAGGAATCTCTCCTTTTGGGAGCAACCCTTGGCTTCCTTCTCAAGTCCCTTCCCTTCATTTTCCTGAGAGTTGGTATGTCGAAATGGTGTATACTAGAAACGAAAAGCACGGCGGTTCTCCTTTTGGTTTCTCCTTTTGGTTTCTCCAACTCCCCCAAAAAAACGTGCAGCCCCATAAATCCCTTGCCGCGTCAAGCCTCGCCACGGGTTACCGAAGCGATCGCTCAAATTTTCTCCCGCCTTGCAGAACTTCTCCCTGCGGGACACGATGATCGCCTGCTCCATGTGGCCCTCGCACCCCGTGCCTCGCGAACTCGCTTTCGATGGCTCGATGGCCATCGGATCGATCGCGGATTTCGATGGCTCGTGTCTCGCTGCACCGAACATAAATCGACTGGCAGGCTGAAAAGAACACCCGGTGAGCCGGGTACGAACTGCGGAAAATGCGAGAAAGGGAACGACTAATCATGGAAACAAAGGCTCGTAGCACGAGAACTGTGCTCTTCAAAACTCTTCTGTCGGCTTTCCTGATTGTTGGAAAGAGGGTACCTATACCTATTGAAAAATGCGGTTGCCGCAAAAATATGTAGTAATCCCTTTTTACGGGTTGTTTGAGGGTCCAGGTACATGTCAGCCTTATGACCCAGAAAAAAGAAAAGCAATGGGCCTCTTTGGTGGCTGGTGTTCCATGTTGCTCCGAACCGGCTTTTCCAACCCCACACCTTCTTTGATGTTCATATTACCCTGTGGTTGCGCCCAAACCCTCCTGAGACGCTGTTCCCACCTCCTTCCCGAGACGTTCCTAAAACCCCTGTCGTAGTTTTCCAAGTGTTCTGTCGTGAAGGGACCCTCCTCTTGATCTACAAGCCTCTGAAAAACGGGCTCGAACTCCCGCAAGCCAATGGCAGACTCCCGCGCCTTTGTTCCAGCACTTGTTCAGCCCATCCCAGTTGTAGGCCACCGACCCCTCGGCGCAAGCAAACCCGTAACGACGTCTATAGTACAAGCTTGGGGCTAGGCCCCCGACATAGAACCCAAAAACCCTCATGTGTAGAGGACTCGCCTTTGAGGGAATCCGTTGTTGGGAACCCCTTTTTGGGAACCCCTTTCTATGGTGCTTTGCTCAGTCAGCGCATCGGTGTGGTTTTCACACTCGTGCCAGACTCATGTTCGTGGGCGATATCAAAGCGGGATCCCCATCTGTTTAACTACTTTATCACTTTACAGGGAATTGCCGTGGTATCATAGAACGTGGTCATAAACCCTCAGTCTGCAGTCTCCCCAACCATGCACTCGCGCCAAGACTGCGGCAGGCTTGAAGAAGTCATACAGGCAGAAGGCTCCGCAGTGGCTGAACCTCGTGCCGAGTGAGGTACGAAGCTTCCATGCTCGCCCGCTTCACAGAAAGGGTTCGTTTCTTCGGATTCTGTGCAAACTGCGAATGTGCGTGGTGAGACTCCTTCCCCCGGATTCCGTTCCCGTTTCAAGTATTATAACTCCGACAGAAGGAATTTTTAAGGCGCCTTCATCATGGTCGTCGCTCGTGTTCCTGATGTACTCGGACGGCAAACTCATTCTAATTAAGTTGCTCATATTGCACACTTCTCATAGACCCCCTTCCCCTCGCCCCCTCCCCCTAACCTGTGAAATGGCAAGGACCTCCTTTTGGCATCCCTTGAAATAACAACCCTTAAAGAGAGGCTCAAACAAAACTTCGGCCTTCCTCTTTTCCAAAAAAAACAACTCCCCAAGCCAAATCTTCCAAATCTCCCACCGCCCATCTTCCGGTGCCCGGCCCTTCCCTTCGATTGGGTGCCGGGCATGTGGTTGGCCAAGGACATCTGCACGAAGGGCGTGTAGGTCTCGGAGCAGCCCCTGGCCTCGCTGCTGCGGTCCTCCGCTTGCGAGCTTCCGCTTCCCGGCGAGCGGCTTCCGCCCCGCGGAAGCCCGGGTGGGAGCCAGGGACGGCCGGTACGGTGGATGGTGGCAGAACCCAGGTTGCACCAAAGAACACCATGGTTGAAACCAGAAGGTCTGTTTTGTATTTGCGTTGGGAAATCATCCGGAACCAAGGTTTCTGAGGTGGCGCGAAATGGACTTCGTAACCATCCGCAGTAGGTGTTACAGTCAAACGTAAAACTGAATGAAGTACCAGGAAGCCCCCTCTCCGACCCAAACCCATTCCATAACCTGGACAGGGCTGACAGGATTTTTCCCCCAAAGCAAGTGGGTTGGTTTACTGGAGGATCCCCTGTTGGATTGGTGGTTTGGAGCCCGGCGGAGGTGCAGGGTGGTTTCACATTGATCTGCAAAATGGATTTCCCAAAAGGTATAAAGTCCATGAACTCGGTGAGTGAGTAACTAGATGTCCAACCAAAGCACGTCGCCTTATCCATTCCACAATGGTTTAAAACCCTGCTTGCAACCCTGATAAAAGAGTCACGGGATCCGGTTGCCAGATTCACCCAAACCATCCCAAAAGATAAGGCAGTGTACCTTGAGTGCATTGTGCGCAAGCTCAGTACCTCCTAAACTTATAAGTTCATACTCGAACACCCAGAGCTGAAAAGGGGACCAATGGGGGGGCCTATCCCATGACAAGCCCGAGGATAAACCTTAATAGAGGCCCGAATAAGGCCTTATCAAGTGTCATGTAGATGATCGCCAAAGCCCCCTTTCCCTAAACAGGAATCTTCTAATCGGATTTGTTGGCTCCTCTCCTGGGTCCAAGGTCCGGAATCCGAAGCTCCACAACACCAAACCATTGTGGCCACCACTCAGATGCCCAGCGGCCATGGGAAAAAGGGGCGCCATTTTTTTTGTTTTAAGGGGAACCCATACCCCAAAAAAGGGAGAAAAAGGGGCGCCACTGGGCAACAGAGACTTCACGAGTCCATCCGAACCCTCGCTCCAGCCACCATTGACGAACAAACGCCCTCACCTCCGCCGCCCTGCTTTCCGCTTGAACCTTCCCGCAAACACGATGCCCTGACTGAGCCCTTCTCAGCCGTGGGTTTGACCATCACGGTGTGCTTCGATTCACCAGCAGGACCTTCTCGTGTTTGACTCATTACGTGGTTTGACTTGCGCTGAGGGCTTGCCTCCAAATTTAGGCCCCAGATGGTTGATTTCCCTTTGGCTTCCCTAAAAAACACCCAAAAGGCCCCGCCGGCAAAAAGAAGACACACTAAAACATCCCCACATGAGGTGAGGTTGCCCGGAAAGCCTTCTGGTCAACAGATCAACCACCTGGACACCCAAAGTGCCCATACAATGGGAAATCACCCCGAAATGTGTCCTTAAACTAGGGAATTCGCCGAACAAAATAGAGCACCATCCAACTTTTGAGCACCCTTCTATCTTAAATATGACTTTATGATCGCCATTGTGCTCCAGCTTTCTCTTAATTAGTGGTGTATTTTCAACTCTGTTTTGCCTTTTGCCCAAAACAAACATAATAGGTGATTCTGGTCCGTGGCTAGTGAACCTGCACATATATCTACTCATGTCAAACAAGATCAAACAAGTTTTCCAAGAAGGGCGGATGGGAATCCCACTCCAAAATCAAACAACAAGCCCAAGCTGCTTGTTTGCCTCTGACATGGCCTTCCCAAAGTATCCGTATAAGAAACCACGGAGCCTGAGGGGGGGGGGTCAAACAAAGGACTCAGGGAGTGAGGCCACTGTCCTCCCCGTTGGTGGAGAGGTCGTCACCTTGGGGCGAAGCTGCTGACCCGCTGAAAAAGCACGACACGCACATCCATGGCACTCCAAACGGAAACCCGAAAAAGTGACCGCTGAACGTCTCGCGCTGGGGGTTCCACATTCTTGCCATATTGCAGTTGTCACATGCTTCTGTGTCAAAAGGCCTCTGCAAAATCCTTTTGGAAGTGCTGTTGGGTTGCCTAAGCAACAACAGGAGGGTGCTGTTGGTGGTCCTTTGCCCTAAAGTGGGTTCCCTCAAACAAGTACCAGCTCCAAACAAGGGGGGTCCTTTCGGTCCTTTGAAACCTCCCCAAAAATCCAAAAAGTACCGGCTCCAAAAGGAGTGGCTTTCTGTTGTTGTCCGTTTGACCAAGACTTCTGTTTGACCAAGAAAAGAATGACTAAACGCGTTCCAAAAAGGGGGTTGCCCCCAATCCTGAAGAACATGTCCAGGTATGAGTCTTGGAGGTCAGGATCCATACCACCAACACAACCTTGTAACGCGCATAGCCCTTGTATCCCCAAAAAAGGAATCTAAAATAGCACCAAGTCCCCAAAATGCTCCTCTAAACCCAGCCCCAATTTCGGCAAAACCGCTTCCACACCCGGTTCTGACTCTCCGGGCAGTACTGATGCATGACGTCATCGGAGAGGTCGTAGGTCACAGGGGTGCAAACCTGTTCTTCACCACACAAATGGTCCCCAAAAGGTCCTGGAACTGCTTGTTTTGCACGCAAATGGGCCAACAAAAAAAGTCCCGGTAAGAAAACAAACTGCCAATATGGTCTTCCCAAAGGCCAAAACAAGTTACTTTCTAAAAAATTGATTGTTCCAAAGCAGCCGGAAACAAAAAAAAACCCAAAAAGTCCTCTAACTGGGGCAGTGAGAGTCTAGGTCGGGCAACCTGTTCAAACATGTTTCTGGGGCAAGCTCACCTGGCAAACGAGCGAAACCCATGAAGCTTCCTTGGCTGCATTCCTTGTGTCCGTTCTGTGAACATGTGCCTAGGTATTCTACGCCTGTTCTAACAACGTCCTTTTGGCCAAATCGGGTCTCAAACAAAATCTGCAGCCAACCCTGCCACGAAACCTGTAGTCCAAACGGACATGTTTAAAGGCTTTCCGGGTCCAACCTTCGCGATTCGCCAGGAAAAAACGAACACATAGGTTCTTTGGGGAAGATGTGCCAAACATGGGCCCCCGTTTTCGCCGATTTCCCAATGGATCCCGTATGTGTTGTTTTTCCTAGGCATCAAGGCCCAGACAAGTACTTTCAAACCCCATGGTGCCCCAAAACGTGACTAAAGTCCAGGAAATCAGGGAATGAGCCCTCTTCAAGGAACCTCCGGGTGGGCTCCATCGTTCTGAGATGATGTTTGCAAACGCGCTTGTCTTTGGAAACCGGCAAGCGGCCGCGCATCTTGTGGATTCCAAACTGCCTGGTACTCATGCAATCCTTGAGTACCCTTCCATGGGTTCACAAAAGGCGCGACTTGGGTGGCGATGAACAAAATCCAAGGCCATGCCATGTTCGATGTGTTGGGCAGCGTACATGGACTGCTCATTTTGCGGAGGGTTGGCCGATTTTCTTGAGGACCTCTGAACAAAATGGAGCAGGGTCAGGAAACAAAGTCTTGGCCCCCGCGCAGTGGTGGTCGTGCTTGTGGTGGTGGTCGCCTGCGAAGGGAGTCTACCAGCTTACAACCTGGGCGTCGCCCTATCAACTGTTGTTTTCTAGTCTCTGCAAAAAATGGAAAATGGGGTACACCAGATCGCCAGTCGAAATTCCCCTCCTCCGAGCATGGGGCTACCAAATCAAGCCTCGCAACCCGGGCGATCTGAGACTGAGTCTTCCCTTCCGCTCCATTGCCGTGCCGAAATGAAGGGCGGGGGTATGTCCGTGCGGCTTCCTTTCAAGGTTTCTCTCAAAGTGGGTGGACTGCCAAAATAAGTGGTTCCAAAAAGGCCGAAGGAGGGAAAGGCGATCTCCTTAAAAGGAAGATCGGCGCACCAAAGTCCCGTTTTGGGTGATTCGGGCTTCCCCTGCGTGCCCAGCTCAGCGCGGGCACTTTCAGGGTCTTTTCCTCTCCACTCCAGCGTTTGCAAGCCAACACCATTTGGGTGGACAAACTCCCAGCTGGCAAGTGGCTTAGCCCAGTATTCATAGGGGTTCATCCATCCTAACTGGTGCAGGATTTTGTCCAACCACTGTAGGATCTACTTGGGAATTCCCTACATGAGGGTGCGGAAGCAAACAGGGAAGCGGGTTGCACCCACAATGCCCGCTTGGATCACCTCAGGTGCTCCAACCTGACACCAAGCCACCCCAGGTGCTGAGACCCTCGCAGTGCTCGTAGACGTGGTCGACTGAGCGATCAAGAGCTGCCCCCTGCTCGCTCCAAAGCCGCCCACCCGTTTGTTTGCGATCCAAACCCTAAGAAGGGAAACCTTCCGGGAAATAGTCTAGACATGTCCTGCCCTGGATAGTACTAACACGTGGACCCTGGCAAAGGAGATGCGGACCCTGTGTTCGACTGTTCGCGGCCCCTGCAGGTTTGATCTTGTCGAGTCTCGGAGCAACCCTGTCAGAAGTGTGCAACAGGCAGCAGGCCAACTGCTCCTCCGTCCCGCGAATTTCGGACCAGACATCCGTGCGCATGTGTGTGTGTGTATATGGTCCTTCCAGTAGAATGTCTTTACAAACCAGCTGACATGTCAACACAGATTTATTCAAACAGAGTTCAACTCGAATGTCCATTCAACAAACTTGGAAAACAAGGAGAGTCTGGGCACCCAAAACCAAGATGCGAACATTTTTTGTGAATGACTGTCAGCGAACTGCTTGCCCAAGCAGTTTGCAGGCACCACAGGCAGACCGACAGTGCTGCTGTTGCTGCTGCGTGGATTATGCCTTTTTGCTATGGCCCCTTGAGGGCTCCACGGACAATTGGGTCTTTGCAAGCAGCAAAAGCTCGTGGCAGCCTTGATCTGAGCTGCAAGCGCAAGAGAAATGCGAATCCAGGACGCGGCAGTCGAAACTACATCGTTGCAACAAGCCATGGTTTATCACGTTTTCTCGGAGCTTCTTGCCGGGCTTGCTCCTTCTGATTCGCTTGCAATGTTTTTGGGCTATATGGTGGTTCAGAGGGGACGACCGCCTGGTCGCGCCTTTCCATGTGATGTTGAGCACGTCGAAAAGGCGCGCCCGCGGCGCGCGAACAGGCTTGCCCGATCTTGCCGCCGGCACGACCGGCACACGCATGCACAGCTCGTTCTCGCTGCTTTCCTGGAACCAAATCCCACCAGCATTCGGACGACCGCGCCTCGTTATCGCCGCGCCTCTGCGGACCAAATCCCACCGGCACGCGGCCTCCAGCACCTCCCGTCACCTCGGCGCTGGTTGCATCTGCAGAAGCGAATCCCACCGGCACACGCCGCCGTCACCTCCATCCTTGCCGCCTCCGCCAAGCCAAATCCCACTGGCACACGGATGACCCCAGCTCATTCTCGCTGCTTTCCTGCAGCCAAATATCACCGGCACATGAAGCCCGACCACCTGCGGTGTGCGGTAAACTCGGCAAGACTCGGCACACTTGAGACCGGTCACGTTCTTGGCGGCGCTTGCGCGGTATGCTGCAACACCTGAGACAGGTCCCGGTCTTGCCGGCAATTCAGCCGGCAGGCCGCCTGTTTGGCCATTTCCCGGCCAGTGGCGTTTACACGGCATGCTGCAACCATGGTACACTTCAGGACGAACCCCTGCCGATCCTCGCTCCCTCGCGGTTAGACAACTAAACGAAAGCCAAACCCCAGAGGGTTTTTTGGCCTCTAACTGGGGCAGTGAGAGTCTAGGTCGGGCAACCTGTTCAAACATGTTTCTGCATGGGACAAGCTCACCTGGCAAACGAGCGAAACCCATGAAGCTTCCTTGGCTGCATTCCTTGTGTCCGTTCTGTGAACAGCAATGTGCCTAGGTATTCTACGCCTGTTCTAACAACTTCCTTTGGCCAAATCGGGTCTCAAACAAAATCTGCAGCCAACCCTGCCACGAAACCTGTAGTCCAAACGGACATGTTTAAAGGCTTTCCGGGTCCAACCTTCGCGATTCGCCAGGAAAAAACGAACACATAGGCTCTTTGGGGAAGATGTGCCAAACATGGGCCCCCGTTTTCGCCGATTTCCCAATGGATCCCGTATGTGTTGTTTTTCCTAGGCATCAAGGCCCAGACAAGTACTTTCAAACCCCATGGTGCCCCAAAACGTGACTAAAGTCCAGGAAATCAGGGAATGAGCCCTCTTCAAGGAACCTCCGGGTGGGCTCCATCGTTCTGAGATGATGTTTGCAAACGCGCTTGTCTTTGGAAACCGGCAAGCGGCCGCGCATCTTGTGGATTCCAAACTGCCTGGTACTCATGCAATCCTTGAGTACCCTTCCATGGGTTCACAAAAGGCGCGACTTGGGTGGCGATGAACAAAATCCAAGGCCATGCCATGTTCGATGTGTTGGGCAGCGTACATGGACTGCTCATTTTGCGGAGGGTTGGCCGATTTTCTTGAGGACCTCTGAACAAAATGGAGCAGGAACAGGAAACAAAGTCTTGGCCCCCGCGCAGTGGTGGTCGTGCTTGTGGTGGTGGTCGCCTGCGAAGGGAGTCTACCAGCTTACAACCTGGGCGTCGCCCTATCAACTGTTGTTTTCTAGTCTCTGCAAAAAATGGAAAATGGGGTACACCAGATCGCCAGTCGAAATTCCCCTCCTCCGAGCATGGGGCTACCAAATCAAGCCTCGCAACCCGGGCGATCTGAGACTGAGTCTTCCCTTCCGCTCCATTGCCGTGCCGAAATGAAGGGCGGGGGTATGTCCGTGCGGCTTCCTTTCAAGGTTTCTCTCAAAGTGGGTGGACTGCCAAAATAAGTGGTTCCAAAAAGGCCGAAGGCCAAAAAGGTGATCTCCTTAAAAGGAAGATCGGCGCACCAAAGTCCCGTGTTGGGTGATTCGGGTTTCCCCTGCGTGCCCAGCTCAGCGGGCACATTCAGGGTCTTTTCCTCTCCACTTCAGCGTTTGCAAGCCAACACCATTTGGGTGGACAGCTGGCAAGTGGCTTAGCCCAGTAGTCATAGGGGTTCATCCATCCCAACTGGTGCAGGGTTTTGTCCAACCACTGTAGGATCTATTTGGGAATTCCCTACACGAGGGTGCGGAAGCAAACAGGGGAAGCGGGTTGCACCCACAATGCCCGCTTGAATCACCTCAGGTGCTCCAACCTGATACCAGGCCACCCCAGTTGCTGAGACCCTCGCAGTGCTCGTAGACGTGGTCGACTGAGCGAACAAGAGCTGCCCCATGCTCGCTCCAAAGCCGCCCACCAGTTTGTTTGCGATCTAAACCCTAAGAAGGGAAACGTTCCGGGAAATAGTCAAGACATGTCCTGCCCTGGATATTACTAACACGTGGACCCTGGCAAAGGAGATGTGGACCCTGTGTTCGACTGTTCGCGGCCCCTGCAGGTTTGCTGAGTCTCGGAGCAACCCTGTCAGAAGTGTGCAACAGGCAGCAGGCCAACTGCTCCTCCGTCCCGCGAATTTCGGACCAGACATCCGTGCGCGTGTGCGTGTGCGTGTGCGTGTGCGTGTGCGTGTGCGTGTGCGTGTGCGTGTGCGTGTGCGTGTGCGTGTGCGTGTGCGTGTGCGTGTGCGTGTGCGTGTGCGCGTGCGCGTGCGCGTGCGCGTGCGCGTGCG